AAAATTTATGAATAAAACTAAAAAGGTTTTGACCACCAAACCTCAGCAGACAGACAAAGTGGTTAGACAAAGTGGTTTATCATACCACTTAGATCATCATTAGCAGAGTGTTTAAACAAACAGGCTTGTAACTCTCTCAAACATGAACCCTCGTTATTGTTTATTTAGGTCTTGTGAAAGTGTTGGAAACATTCATACCAAACACATTGAAGTTCAGATTCAATATTTGCTTTTAAGAAAGCTTCTCTTTTATCTTCAACACTGGCACAGAAAATATATCCCTGTAACTTTTTCTCTTTTGCTACGATTGATCATTTCTCCATTAACTATAGAAAAAGAAACATATCAAAAATCCAATTGGACTGACAATCATTCTTGTCAACGTTTCAATCATTTGATCTAATTTACCTTTCATATAATCGATAATCATATTATAATGGATTTCTTTCAGTCCAGTACAACAATACCAATTCCAGCCCGAACAGATTAGACTGGCTTTTGGCAACAATTCTTCACATTGGCAAGAGAAGTTACTGCGGGTTTCTTTGTAATGGTAATAAAAGTAACAAAGCCATCAGTGCAATTTCTCTAATCTCGTTTGTAGAATAAATAAATCTATATGTACGGTAAATATTCTCAAAGTTTGTTTATCTTACTTAAACAATGGAAAGATGTTTCTAAATAAAACTGACACTGGTATTAGATAACAATGACACCAGTCTATCACATATATGCTTCCTTGTATATGCTATAGTACATTTACACAGGTCTATTGAGTATCCAGGTGCTTCGCCACAGGATTTTGGCGTACATGCTGATGAGAATGAATTTGGGGTGACCCCTACCATTGCTTCCCCCTTCCCCCTTATGCAGCAGCCATCCCGAAGTTCACAGATTACTGCTATCAAAAGCACACATTAACTACTGCAGTGGATGAATGTAACTCAGACTTGTATAAATCTACCAACAAACCAGTTTATATTGCTCCAGAAATGTTCTATAAGATGTCATTTGACTGTTGAACTCGGGCCCGTATTTGGAATAAAATATGTAGCAAAGGACAAATAGGGTATAACTAAACTATGTGATGCTGTGTATCCAGTAAGACATGAGCAGAACATTAGATACCCATCCTCCGCAAACAAATAAAGAAATACTTTGTTCTATGGTAATGAGTACAAATATGGAAATGAAACAATAATTGTCCCATCAAATTGCCACATTAAATGTACATTGTCATGTCATGACATCAAGTTTACAAAGTTCAACAAAATCAGCTGGGCTGAGTCAAAATGGTGGAAAGAGTGCTATGTTTTAATGACAAAGAATATCACATTTAAAGAGATCATACGAACCTAGAAAATTTGATCTCAGGACAAGATGAAAATGTAGAAAACAAAGAACAATAAATCTTCTGAAGATTGTGGTATCAAAATGCCATTCAGGAAAACATATTTCATGTCAAGGTTGTGAAGACTACTACCATTCAAGGATATAAGTTAATCCAAAAGAAGGAAAAAAACCAATGGGCAACAGCTCCTCTGAAAATTATTGAACAAATCTGCAATCCAGGAAAACACAATTTCATGACTAAGTCATTAAGTCGGTCAATTATAAAACAGATCTGTTAAAAAATGGAGATTTCCACACAAATCTAAGATTCTAAAACAAACAAAAGGCAATAAATGTTTTTAATAAAAACTGAAATTCAGAAAAACATAACTACAGGTCATGATGATTAACCCTACAAAATGACATATGGAGAACGTTTCCAGACAAAGTTTACAACAGATGGACAGGCTAGAACTTTGAATATTGATATCAGAAATATTGACCAAGGTGGCCAAGTTAAACTGTTAAATAATAAAGATTTCAACCATTATCAGACTAAACACAGAGGTAGTACAGACTACATAGGACTGCAGTGTTCCACTTAAGGTCAGACTAAACACAGAGGTAGTACAGACTACATAGGACTGCAGTGTTCCACTTAAGGTCAGACTTAACACAGAGGTAGTACAGACTACATAGGACTGCAGTGTTCCACTTAAGGTCAGACTTAACACAGAGGTAGTACAGACTACATAGGACTGCAGTGTTCCACTTAAGGTCAGACTTAACACAGAGGTAGTACAGACAATGTAGGATGGCAGTGTTCCACTTAAGGTCAGACATAACACAGAGGTAGACCAGACAATGTAGGATGGCAGTGTTCCACTTAAGGTCAGACTTAACACAGAGGTAGACCAGACAATGTAGGATGGCAGTGTTCCACTTAAGGTCAGACTTAACACAGAGGTAGACCAACACAAGGTAGACCACAGACAGTACAGACAATGTAGGATGGCAGTGTTCCATGTAGGATGGCAGTGTTCCACTTAAGGTCAGACTTAACACAGAGGTAGACCAGACAATGTAGGATGGCAGTGTTCCACTTAAGGTCAGACTTAACACAGAGGTAGACCAGACAATGTAGGATGGCAGTGTTCCACTTAAGGTCAGACTTAACACAGAGGTAGTACAGACTACATAGGACTGCAGTGTTCCACTTAAGGTCAGACTTAACACAGAGGTAGACCAGACAATGTAGGATGGCAGTGTTCCACTTAAGGTCAGACTTAACACAGAGGTAGACCCAGGAGGTGTTCCACTTAAGGTCAGACTTAACACAGAGGTAGTACAGACAATGTAGGATGGCAGTGTTCCACTTAAGGTCAGACTTAACACAGAGGTAGTACAGACTACATAGGACTGCAGTGTTCCACTTAAGGTCAGACTTAACACAGAGGTAGTACAGACAATGTAGGATGGCAGTGTTCCACTTAAGGTCAGACTTAACACAGAGGTAGTACAGACTAGACTGCAGTGTTCCATTAAGGTCAGGAGGTAGACCAGACAATGTAGGATGGCAGTGTTCCACTTAAGGTCAGACTTAACACAGAGGTAGACCAGACAATGTAGGATGGCAGTGTTCCACTTAAGGTCAGACTTAACAGAGGTTTTACAGACTACATAGGGCTGCATGGTCCCAATAGGATTCATAGTGCACCACCAGTAACCACATGTACATACCCACTGATATATGGAGATGTTGGCCACACTTTAAAATGGTAATGTATCTGAAATCTTATAACCTTCCCTTAAAACATTCCGATGTGTCACAATAAACTTACAATGGCTAATAAGGGGTGCCACCTGGGTAGGGTCAGCCTAAAGAAAATAGAATCAGAAAAAACAGACTGAAAGTATTTAAAATTAGGGCTGATGATTAGCTTGGATTTCTTTGCATAACAAAAAAAAAACAAAAACTATTTTTTTATACCTGTAGGGAAGTGCCATACATCTTATTGCTTGTAACAATTATGCAAATTCTTGTCAAATATTTTTGCATTTCATAACCTGCATCAGCTATTGAGAAATAGTGCTTTTAATCTTGTATATAAAACATAACTTCTGGTCGAAGTGTGATCAAGGCGTATAGCAAAATCCACATACACATCTGAACTCTACCTTTAATAACGATTTGCATTAGAAAAGTTGGAATCTGAACAAGCAATGGAGAATTTGTACCCTTAGTCATGACCTTGACCTTAGGTTTTCAAATTCTGTTAAAAACACATTTAAACTTAAGTTAAGTATAACTCTGACATTCAAAGATAATCTCCAGAAAAATACTCTGGTGATGACCTTGCCCTTTAAATCAGCTGTAAGTATTCTATTTCAGTTTGTTGCAATATTTTTATCATAACTTGTTTACTTATACTTACATACATTTCAAATGTTGATTTTCCAGTGTATGGTGCTGACTGATGTCAGTGATATTTTGACATGTAATCAGTTGTTACAGGTGTAACTATATAACTAATGTATAGTCACTATTCTGGTTCACAAGAGCTGGTTAATTTGTCAAAAAGACACAAAGGAACAAGTAGCTGGTTGTGGGTTTGCACTGTGGCCATAATTGCTGATATAAGCCACAACTGACAAGTATCAAAAGTACTGACTCACAAAAGTTGTCTCCCATCAATGTGTCAAGCTTCTGAACTAAGGGAAGATAACTCACAAAATAATATCAACAACTTAATTGTCTTAATGTAACCACACATGTAAAATACGTATTTGAAATATCAATTAGTAGACCCTTACACAATCTGTATAAAAAAACTGTCACGGTACACCCTTAAAATTGCATGAATGGCCTAAGGGAGATAACTCTCAAGATAATCCAACAAACACAGCTTGTAGAACTTTTCAATATGACCCATTACAGAATACAGAAGTCAGTACAGTATCTTTACATTCATATCTAGTATGCAGAAATTCATGATACAACCAAGGGAATTTTATAACCTGTGGCGTTATGACGTCTGCAGTTTTACAATGAAGATGTCAAATAATAGTGTAATGCTGCAAGCAACAACACCAAGTGTAACAATGAAAATTATGTCAAAATTCATCACACTTGAATTTGCTGTGGTCAATGAAAACATAGTTATTTATGAAAACAGAATTAATTACTTTCATATAGTTTTGAATTGGCATGACATCTTTTTAAAAATGGGGCAAAGCCATAATTGACCGGTGCGGGATGAGTGCAATGTTATATATCAAGCTCAAAACAACATCTCAACCAATGAGAGGCTAACATGCTCAAAACAACATCTCAACCAATGAGAGGCAAAGGCTGCCATCTTGGATTTTCCACGCCAGACTGTTAAAAATGACCAAGTTCCAAAATATCAAGAAATACCATCCAGAATGAATCCTAAATCAATAGGTGCACATCTTCAACATATCTATAAACATCCTACAAATTTTCAAGATTCTACAAAACTTGTACCCCTTTTCCTCTCCCACCTGCCTGCCCACCTGCCCACCCGCCCACCATTCACCATACTATATAACCCGGATTTTAACTATGTGCAACCCAGCCAAAAATAAAAACTTCCATATCTTTTTTTTTCTTTGTAGTTGAATATACCATAGAAAAGTTGCCTTACCTAAGTGGGTAGTTTTGATGTCCAGAGCTCGCTGTAATAACTTCACAGCTTCACCCTTTGCTCCCTGGCTTGATTCTTCTTGCACCAACTTTGCTGCAAGTGATTAATTACATAATTATCACTGTTTTCATTATTAATAAAATGTAATTCAATGTCTATCAACATTTCTCCCAATAAATCTGAGATATTTAAAATACTTTGACTTATGTCGTGAAAATTTGTAGACCCTAAAATCTTCTCCCTCTCTTCAAGAAGATGAGATTTAAGATGGAAAGTTGGAAGTTTAAGGAAATTTTGACTTCATTAAAACTTGTTGATGGCTAATTGATTACATAGCTACACTTTGTTTCAGATCTAGCAAGGCATACCTTCTTTATTATTTATTGGGCTTAACAAGAAATTTGTAGACAGTAGTTTAGGGTATGAAATAACCTACCTAATTCCATAAGAATATCAGAAACAGATAGGTGAGTTGCACCCAGACATGTCTCCCTAATTTCCAGTGAACGTCTGTAGACAGTCTCAGCAGCCACTTTGTCATAGCTTAAAAAATAATGAAATATTTTATTCCATATTTAAGATATATTAAAATTCAGATACAAGTATAATTTTATTCATAATTTTGGGATATTATCAAGCCTAATACTGGTATGTATTTATTTATCTGTATATAAATAATATCTGCAGAATTCTATTTACCAAATCAATTTCATTTACATTAAAACATATTACAAGTCAGTTAACAGACCCTGCCATATAGAATTACATAGGTTGTTGTCTTTAAAGAAACATACCCTCGAATGTTTTGAGGATTTCCCATGATGCCAGCTAGGACATACAAGATGTCTGCCACCAGAGGATGTGTTCTGCCATACCACTGCTCTCGAATAAGAAGAGATTGACGGAGACAGCTTTCTCCCAGTAAAAACTCAAACTGCTGGGACCTAAAGACATAAAGAATCACCAGAATTAATGAAACAAATGGGATGATGTTACAATTTGAGATAAATGGATATTGAAATAAATAAACTAAGTAAACATTTGTTAAGAAGTTCACATATAAAATACATTATTTAGAACAAGTACTCCACTGACCTAAGAATGCCTAGATGGTAGAGAATTGTTGCCCGTGTTGCTAGGTTACCACAACTGGTCACACAGTCGAGCGCCTCTTTTAGTAGATCTTCAGCAATATCCATGCTACCCTGTTGAAGCCTCAGGTTTCCATGGTGATTTAGCAGTCTCCCTATTGTTAGAAAGAATGTTGCTTTTCAATTACTTTTCACTGTCAATCAATAATTCACATCATTTTTAGAGTGAGATGTGATGTTAATCAGAGAAATATAGTATTTGAACACGAATGTCATTGATGTTTAAATTCAGGATTTTCACAAAAAAATTTACCATCTGGAAAACTATTAAATGTCTCAAAAATCAAAAAGAAAAATTATGGTTGCATGGCAACAGATCACTCAAATGTATGAAAATATTTGTGTGGCTAAACAGAAATGTTCAAATAAATATGACTTTGAGGAAGCCTTTGCCAACGAAAATAAATGAAAATTTTACCTTTAAGATTAGTTATCTCATAGTACTTAGGTGTTCCTTCTTCAATATCTAGGTCAGAAATATCCATGACAGTTCTAAGTGCACGTCGGAACCACTTCTCTGTCTGTTCCATGTCGGCTTCCACCTCCTTACTGAACTGACCCAACATCTCCTGGACACGAGCGTGCAGAAGCTGGTCATCCTCAGACAAGGGGTAGTTCTGAATCATGATAGAACACTTTAATAAAGTTACCTACTCAAAAAATAATTTACGAGAGAGAAAGCATATTATTTAGTTACATACAGCTGAAAATTGAATCAAAATCATTGCCAAGAAATAATCTAAATAGACCTACCAAAATGAATAAACAAAGAACTGGTACTGTAATTTATATTTAGAAACTCTTCAATGTCTACAAGGAAACATTACGCATGTATAGTACATTAATTCTTCTGTATATTCTATATTCTATTATATACTCTACCTTATCCAGTTTGTCATTGAGTGCCCTACATATGGTGTCCGTGACCTTGTGATGTCCAGTGTCCTTGAGAAAGCATGCTATCATGAAGGCCAGCTTGATATTAGAGGAGGTCAGCACAATCTCCTTTGGTCCTTGATCTATCATAAAACATTTCATAACTTCAGTAACCAGATTCAGCTATGAAATTACATAAAGATAAATATGAGATATTAATGAATTATAAGCCATATATTTCCTGGAGAAAAATTTTCATTAAATTTCTTTTCTTTTCATTGCTTTCAGTAAAGTTAAAGTTAATTTTCCAGTGATTTCTGAATATAATAAAATAAATTGTCTCTGAAAATTCCATGACAAGCCACTGTTACAAATTAACATGTAATGGTCAAAGGGAGATAACTATATGATTTTTTTTAACCTGATTTGTAAGTATAAACAGGTTTTTTCCTGGACAACAAGTCACTTTCTCCTTAAACTGAAATGCAGATATCAGAGGATTTTTTATGCCAAAATTTTGCTTTTCTTTTCACCTAAAATTTCCGTGCTCATCACCTTTACCTGAAATACACTTGATGGACATTTTAACAAGAAACCCCTTAACAAGGGTTTAGTGTATTTACCTGATGTGATGCTTGTTTTACTCTCTGTTAAAAAGATGGTGTCTATCCCATTCTGTGCCTCTGAGATTGTGATCCTTGGCAGTTCATCTTCCCCTTCCTCTCCATACTGTTGATCACAAAGACAAGAGATGTGAATTTATTACACAATTAGATTTTTCAAACCTGACTGTTTGAAAGACATTTATGATCTTAATAAATTATTTCAAACTTTATAAATCTATGAATGTTTTGAATAACCAGATAATGCCAAAAGTAATTGTATGGAAAAATAACAAATGAGGAAAAAATGTACTTAAACACGACTGGCAGATGAATTTTATCTTTAAAATTTGTTTGAAATTGAGCCATGTTGTTCTGATTTTGCTATCTGTAAACACTACCGTTCATACTAGATGAGTACAACTGAACACTGACCCTAAAGCTGTCTGCAACACTTGATGTCTCTTCAATCACCGACAGTGTACGTTGTTCATGCGGGGATGATGTTATGATTCGAGGTACATTGGTAAAAACATGGGGTCTAAACACTTCTCCATTCTCGTCTAAGGTAGACACTGACAAAGCGTCTCCGTTCTCACTGACTAGAATGGTCCCGTCACCATCCTATCAGGTAAAGAAAAATTCATTTTGTCATACTGGAGCTCCCTTAGTTTTATCAGACCCTGTTATATTATTGAAATATTTCACAGCACCGACTTAGAATAGACTGATTTTTGTTTGTTGATTGGTTTTTGCTTGATGGTTCAAAATTTCCAAGTTAGAGTTTTTCTCGTACTTACATTTCCAAGTAGGAAAAGAATACTGAAATTGTAAAAAGGAAAAATTATTGACTTCAACTTAAGAACATTACTTAACTGGGTTTGTTGTCCTGAATTGTACCTACCTCTGACTGGTCATCCAACACACCAAGGCTGGTCAGCAGCTGTGTGTAGGTGGATGTTATGTCAATACCTTGACCAGCTAGAACTGACCAGTAATACGCAAGGTCCAGTTTATTTGATGGGCATTGCTTTTCTTCATTCAGGAAGCCATTTATGATTCTGGCAAATAAAAAAAAAAAACCGAATGACCCAAAATTAGACAGCTTTAGAACAAAAAACAAAAAAAAAAAGAAACTTTATATCAGTCTATGAAAATTTATAATAAAATTAACTGAAATATTTGGCTCTGTGTTTTCAACACATGCGAACTCACAAACTGGAATGGTGACTGCAAACAAAGGGACCTACTGTAAGCAACATTTGTGTTGCAATCTGGTCAATTAATCAAAACAAAACCAATATATTACAATTATTTAAAACACATGTTGTTCTGAATATTTTAAAACCTACACAGGATCCATGAGGGCCTTTGACAGTCCCTCAAAGTCTCCAGCCATCAGTAACTGGTGAGGCAGTCCTAGAAGGATGACATTGGAGAAAGGCAGCTGCTTGAAATACTTGGTCATGTGGATATGGAACTTCTGTTTCTCTCCTCTCCATTCTCTGTTGGCAGCATCATTAGCTGTCACTTCAGAACCAATTGACTTGAATGAATCTATTCAGCAGAAAAAAATTGAAATATTCATTTTTTTTCAAACTGTTTCAGATCTGCTAATGATCTTTAAACAGAATCAGTCAATAAATAAGTTTATTTCCGTTTTCACAGAGTAAAAAATTAAAAAGTAATGCTTTTCTAAAATTACCAAAAAAAAAAAAAAAAGTTAATTATGGCAAGACTTTGTGAATGTCATTAGTTTCAAATTTCTTTTTTATGCAGGTTGTTATCAAAGTAACTGTCCAGGGTCTGTTGGCTTTACTCCATTGTTAGTTTTAATTCACCAACAACAGTCAGCCTTTTATTGGGTTCAAATACTGGCAAAATTTTGAAACTAGACAACAAACTAGGTTAGACTTAAAAAATGCTTAATTCCCGAAATGATTCTTAATTGGGGTCATAAGATATATATATATATTCTTGTGTATCAAATTGATGATTACAAACAATTAGAATCTGACAAATTTATCACTTTCACTATAATCACTAAGATGTCACAACAAAGTCATAAGAATTACAAGGCAATATGACAATGAATATATATATATAATTGCTTGAAAATACTTAGATGATATTACAAATATTCTGAACATTTATATACATGACTAAACTGTATTTTGATAACTTGGTTTTGCTACATGAAATAATAACTTTATTGAAAAGTTAATAAAATCACAAATTTTTTCCTAAAACACTTCCTAGCCAGAAAAACAAATCACACAAATCATATCTAAAACAACATCTCTAAAAACATCTACCGCATCAATATCGTCATTCTAAAACTCGTCAGCATTATAAGCATGAAAGCAACAAATTTGTTTACCTCCTTATCTTCAAACATATTTTGAAGCAAATTTCTTTGATAAAGGTTTAAAGAAATTCGAGCTATGAAATTTCAATACATCGTAAAATAACTCTGGGCAGATAACTCTTCACCTTGACATTTCAATACATCGTAAAATAACTCTGGGCAGATAACTCTTTACCTTGACATTTCAATACATTGTAAAATAGTTCTGGGCAGATAACTCTTCACCTAAAATTCAAAGAAAGAATTGTGACATGCTATATAATTACGTGGTACAGTCTTTGTGAATATTAGGTAAGCTGATCCAGGAGAACATGTTAGTAATATAATTTTGTGATATTATGGCAATTTATTAAGTGAAAATAGCATATACAGAATATTTGTTAAATGAATACATGTATATCATATAAACGGTCATGATAATAAGTTGATATGGTGAAATTTTTTGGAAGGTATCATATTAATATCCAAGTACCGAGAAACACGGAGTGAAGAAAATATTTTGAGGTTTCCAAAATACATGTATAATTCTTGTCAATTCGATGTTAAGGAATCATTAAGTAATAAAAGAAATTTAACCCCAGCAATGCCGTAAATATTTTAGCATTTTCAGTTATCTAAGAAATTAATCAAACTATGCTATACTTTTATATAATTACAGTAAAATCAGGATATACCCCTATAAAAAACAAATAAGATTTGCTAATATCTATAACCATGATGGGAATCTCAGCTTCTTTGCCATTTTTCCCATTTGTAATTTGATTAAAAGCACAAATTTCTACAGGAGCCAGTTTTATGAAACCATACCCCATTTAGGGATTGTGATACTACTCTAAGACAACCACAGACAAAAACGGGTAAAACTCTCAACAAGATTATTAATTAACACACCAGGAGAGACCAATTAAATTTAATTGACAAGAGGTCAGAATGTATTAACCTTAATTATATCCCTAACAAAGCAGCATCTACACACAAAAACCATATCTCTACAAGTCACTAACCCATTTAAAGAGAGATAACTCAATATTTAGACAGCCTTTAGTGTAAACCAAAATCATATCACATATCTACTGGCAATTCAGATGGTAAACAACAAGGCATTTAGACAGACTGGCCTGCTGTTCACACAGCATTATCAAACACTGGTGGTTTCAGTCCCTACTGTATCAGAAAATTAGGTTTAGTCTAGGTATACCTGATGCAAGGCTCACATTGAATGCGAAGGAAGACAAGGGAGATAACCCTTCTAACAAGGATTCAAAAAAGCAATTTGAAATAATCTTTTGATAATCCTAAATTAGCTTGTACTGTCTACTATCTCCATATCATAATTTTGAAGATTATCATTATCCATTCTAAAATATTAAAACAAATATATAAAAGGAAGAGGTGTAGGGGTAACTAATACGACACCATTGTAAAATTCTTGTGAGCTGTCATCAGGTTTACTTAAGTCACACAGGCATAGATTACAAGATTACAGCCTTATACAGCCACACTGTGTTACAGCAGGTTACATCCAACTTCAGTGGTGTACATAAGGGGTGCATGTTACAAACATACTAATATTATACTGTGTTCGTTGGTTTCCCTTGCTTTTCTTCTTTTTTGCTCGACCTATATAAATCATACATGTTCATCAAAACCATTACCAGTCATGCAAATTAGTGTTTTTCTTGAATAGCAAATAACATTTATTAATATACATACATGCAAATTAATATCATGTGCCTTATTTAATATATAAAGCATGGTGACATGCATAACTTTCACAAACACATAAATCCTCAAATTACCAACATGCTCTTTTTTATGGCTCAGAAAAATGTTTTTATTTTCTTTCTCATATTTTGTCAAGGAGTGACAAGTCATGAAGAAACAGACATCATGATTGATATGCTAATTTACTTAATCTTTTGACCCAGAGGTCGGCTAACTAAATGAAACTTTTCATGTGTGTAAGAAACCTGAATTACAACATATTGGTGATAAAGTCCTTTTTTGTGAAATCTCAGTAAACTGTCCAGGACAGGTATGGTAATTACAGAGCTATGAACTATACAGGTAAAAATCACAGGGATAAATTATCTTAGATATGTACCTAATAAACTAACTTATTTCTTATGACAGACCAGTTATAAGCAGAAAAAAAGTTCATTTAAGTCAAATTGTCTGTAAAAACACCTCTCTTACATTCAACCTATTTACATTGTGCTATATTTAATTTTCAATCTATAAATACTACATTTCTCTGACCTTTCTACCTGTCTATAAAAATCATTTATAAACTATCATTAGAAATCATCTTTCTATTAACTTTCCACTTTTCTATAAAGACCATGTTTCTATCATATTCCAAAAACCTGATTCATTACAAAAGCTGTCTATAAATAGCAAAGAGTGTTTGCCAAGAGCACCTTTATATACAGGTTTCTGTCTATAAACTCTACATATAATATACCTGTGCATAATGACCACCTGGAAAGATTTCTTCTGTTCTATTTTAGACAGTTTTGGCTATATTTAAATATATTGTATCTTACAAAACACCAGCTTGTAACCACTATTCTGACAATGACAGTCAATATGTAAGGGGGATAACTGGAACCATATGTGCTAGACAATTGGTACAGTTGATATACACAGAGTTGGCAAACCTCCTTCAGCACAGCTGTAGTTACAAAGTAAAACACTAAAGGAGATTATGTAACACAGCATTGTGTAATCTGCTGAAATGTTGTGAGCAGTACGGTACCATCAATATATCCACGCGCAAAACCTGCCATAAATAACTTATGGGTGAGACCTACTGTAAACATCCTTATTAGCGAGACCTACTATAAAGATTCTCATGTGTGAGACTTACAATAAATGTCCTATTGGGTGAGATCTATCATAAGTATTTTCATGAGCGGACCTACCGTAAATATCCCTATGGATGAGACCTATCATAAATATTTTCATGCGCGAAACCTACCGGATTTATCCTTATGGGCAAGAGCTACCGTAAATATCCTTAATAGAGAATCAAATGGTCTAAGGGTGAGGAAACTTTCCTGTTCATTTTTTTATTCATTATGTTCGTAATTTTGAGTGAGACAATTCTGCCTGCCAAGAGTGAAAATCATGAATGACATCAGTATAACACTAGATAGAAATTGATTAAATGCCAAAAACTCTTCCCATGATCACAATATGATGTCTGAACAGAATACACAAGGTCACATTATCACTGTGAACCCTGACGTACCTGTTCAGATATCTTTCAATAGTCATGACTGTTATACCACTAGACAAACAACGGTTGACTTAAATTAAATCTAATGATCCCTTAAACTAATTTGGAGTAAATTACTTTAATGAAATCTTTTGACTAGGATTCAAATTTTTCAAACTTCAGATACAAGACTAAAATAGAACATAAATTACATTATTGAAGAAATCTGTATGTGTATCAAAATCTCATTACAAAATAGATTTCTTTGAACAAATGCCAATGTATTGGAGAAAATAAGTCAATTATTCAAAACTGCTTGGTTGGCTTCATAAAAATAAAAATATCATTATTGAATGAATATTTTACAAAAGGATACAATAGCTGTGTCAGACAACGAGCTTGTTCACGCAATGTCAAATTATCAAACTGTTCATAATGTAATATTGTTTATGATGATTCTTTACACTCTATGGATTTCATGAAAGACAACTATCATCATTTAATGCTATTTGTATCAATTTACCACCTTATAAAAGCCTTTAACCATTGTTGACTGTGTTCCAGTAACCTAGTTATCATACAGTACAGTAATTATACTCATCTCAACACATCATCAAGGTCTAAGAACAATCTAAACACAAACCCAAATTCAAGACAGCTTTTTTTTTAAGGAAATGTTTTTTTGAAATCAATATATCAGTTCTGGCTTTGAACCAATTTTGAATTCATAAAACAAAATATTTGTTTGGTAAGATGACATGTCCACATAATGATGTATATCGAGTATAAAATTTTGATGAAATGAACAAAAGATCAATATTCTTCTGCTTACTGGAAAATACTTAAAACATTTCAGGAAAACGATTGTCCTTTTCTTGCATCATAGATGTAAACCTGCATAACTTTGAAATTTACCAGCACCAAAATTTTGACAACCATGAGCTAGCCTTATTGAGCAGGTCCACCGTGTTTACTTGATCACAAAGCTTTGTTGCTTCAACAATGTTTCTAGTTTAAAAATTTACATACATTTTGATGTAATAATCTTTTATATTTAGAAATCATTGACATCTGTACATAAGATTAATTCTGTAATATCTTTTACACTTTATCAGGAATAAATTGAGGATTTCCCAAAAAGTCAAAAAGAATTGTACAAGTGATTTTCTAACTAGTGAAACTAAATGGAATTTTAACAAACATTCAGGGATCTATAACCTATACATGTATATAGAGTGGGTCAGTACTGATACACTAACTAATTATATATATATATATATATATATAACTATCTACCAGAAATCCAATTGAAACAAGGTATATATAGAAGAAATCCTAACACAAAAACCTTTTTAGGCCTATGCAGGCAGAATTAGATAAAAAGCCATAGCTGATGAATTATCAAACATTAAACAAAATAACCACAAGTCAACAATTTTTAAAAATTGGTTAAAATAGCATATATATCTTATAAAAAATATTATCAGATTACGAAAACAAAATCAAATTGATAAACCAAAAGAAAACACAAAACCCTTGAAATTTGAAAATGATCCAATTAATAGTTTTATTTTGAAGTATAAGAACACTTACGCAGCAGCACATATTCCACAATTTCCTTGAAATGTTGATGGGCATAAACTAGTCTCCCATCTGGACCTTCATATAGAAGATTCCCAAGACACGTGCGGAACTGCAGCCAATCAAATTTCTTCACAATGCGACTTCCTGTGTAGCCAATTCTTTGAAGAAGTGCAAACAAATCAGTCTCGGTCAAACCCATTTTGGATACAGCAAAGAGTCGAAGGACATCAGGCACCCAGCCTTCAAACTCTATAGAACAAATACAAGAGTGAAAAAAGGTTAAACACATGTGACTCTGTGTTTATAATCTGTAAGTGTTATGCGTATTTTTCTCAAACCTCTCACAAGTCTTTACGGTATTTAAAACAGAATTCTTTATGGTCATTGATTGTGTTTTGCTAGCATCTTATAATATCCATTCAAATGTTATTGGCTAAAGAACAAAATGTATACTTCAGCTGTGTGTGACTATAATGGAAGAACAAATATTTTTCTCCTTTTGATACAGGAACTATAATTCTAGGTCTGATCAATATTGTGATCAATTAATTGTTATATAGAACCTGTTTATAATTTGGGATAGGTTGAATAATATAGCTTTATAATTGGTCAAAATATCTTAGATATGAATTGATTGAGCAAGGAAGGGTAGTTCCACTTACATCTACATGTATACAAATATTGAAAACATACATCAATACTGTGAAAGCTGAGATTTTTAAGAATTCAATAATTTCATCAATTTTTGTAGAGTAAAATCAGCGTATATGAACATACTGACACACAACTGGGTACATGCTATATAGAGTCAACCAATATTTTTTGTAATTCGACTAAATTGTCTGGATATGAAGTGACAATTTTGCTTTGAAAGTTTTTGAAATTTCTTGTTGTCTCGAGCTACATACAATGAATTAGGCCTATTGTAAATGTTTCTATTTCTAGCACATTCGTACTATAACACGTCATCCTAAACATGCAATCACAGGTTACATAAAACAGCGACTGAAAATCAAACTGATCAGATGACATGTAATGACAAATACATATACATGTATGATATTACTGATAGTATAACATATAGGGTACATTTACAGAACAATATGGAAAACACTGATGTCTTCCACATTCTTCTACAATAGGTCACTGTGACATATCTTTCTAAGGATGATGGGCTAAGATATGAGAATATCACCCTGGTAGTAGATTTAGCTACAGATAGTAACACTGTTATTTATATGGCACCAAATCATTTAGACACAACTAGAGATGTGATTTGTTCATACTTCATAAAGATATGAACTCTAATCATCACATCATTAATTTTAACACTCAACAGATAGGGAGGATACCGTATACCAGTAAATAAACATCTTAATTAGAAAACTTTATCAGCTTCAATCAAGATCAAAAGTCAAAAAGTCAAAATCTAGAGTCCAAAGTGTATTCAAGAACATGTTCTTTGTCAATTATGAAAGAGAAAAAACAAAATGACTGCGCCTTCAAATTTTACTAATTCATGCAAATTTCAAATTGTTACCATAAAAACAAAATTTAAAAATAAGGAACTAAGAATTTGAATCTTGATGACATTTTGGGCCAATAAATGGCCCAAACCATATTTTGATAAGATATGTTAGTACTGATATTAGAAAAACATTCAAAAGGCATTTGTACAAACAAAAGGTTTTAACAATACCAACAACAACAACAAGGTTATGATATATTATCCAGCGTAACTATGAATAAATAACACTTTTAATTCCGTTCTAGCTCCACACAACCCAATAACAATCTATACATGTTAAAATTATTCCTACTATCACATCTGGCATCAGTGCATGAATTCAATATCATCCATAGATCATGCATGAATTTTTACATATCAAACACAACCACAAAATCGGCATTATCTAAAGCAATTTCATTGCATTCTGCTTGTAATTTTTACCTTCCTTTGTTTTTTCTGGAACTTAAAAAACAAATCACATGCAACAAAATACTACTGAATTCTGAAATTGAACAGGAAAACCATGCTATACTGTTATCAAATGGCTGATGTAATGATGTGGCTTAGTAAAACCTGTATCATGGCAAACATGTAAGGATGTTTAAAGGAGACCAGTTTTTAGGAGACGTTGCAATATGTTGATAGTAAAGCAGACAGATAGAAGATTTAATTGTTGTATTTAGATTTTAATTAGTAACTTTTACCTTTTATGGATATTCCACTTAGATACCATTTTTTTCTTCCCCTTTCTCCTCTTTAACAATTCCCTTTCTTCAGCCCCATCTACATCCCTAACACCCATATATCTACCACTCTGTCACTTCTCCCTAAAATCACCCATCTCCAATTTCTTCCTCCCTTTTCCTGTCTTCTAACACCACCCTCACACCACCCCCATCCCCATTTCTAACACCCCTTTATCCCCAGCCCTGTCCCTTCTCCCCCATATCCCCATCCTGTCCCCCTTCTAACACCTCCCTCTCACCATCCCCATCCCCATTTCTAACACCCCTTTATCCCCAGCCCTGTCCTTTCTCCCCAATATCCCCATCCTGTCCCCCTTCTAACACCTCCCTCTCACCACCCCCATCCCCATCCCCATTTTTAACATCTCTTTATCCCCAGCCCTGTCCCTTCTCCCCTTTATCCCCATCCTGTCCCCCTTCTAACACCTCCTCTTACACCCCATCCCTCCTATCTCACACTCCCTTCTCCATGTCCCCATCTCTCTTCTTTAACACCCCTTCTCCCCTAACCTGTCCTTGCTCGCTAACATCTTCATCTCCTCACCTCCATCCTTCCCTAACATTCCCCTCTCTCATATCCCATCCCCCATCACTTACACTACTCCTCATCTCATTTCCCCACATCCATTACTTTCTAACCTTTTGAAGAATCAAGTTAGTGGTAATACATAATGTTATAGCTAATAAAAACCTTAAAATATGATCAATTTTACAACAATAATTAGGAACCAAATATTTCCATTAAAAAATCACATTAATCTGTATGATATGAATATTCTGATCCCTTGTATATTTGATAAATACTTTATAGTAACACAGACATTGACCTTTGAACCCTGAAACAAAAACTCATGTGAGGTTATGCTGTAGTTGACATTTCTATAATTTGCTTGATAACAAAGTTGGTGGTTTGTATCTTATCCAATATGAATTTTAATCAGCACAATTTTGTAAATCCAATGTGCTTCCTTATTAAGAAAATCCAAATTTATTATGGCATTGCCCAATTTTCTAAATGGATAAAACACAGAAATTACTCTGTATACAACTAGATAGAGATCAGTACAAGAAAGAAAGACTTCCACAAAGGGAGTTAACAACATACCTAGCTCTGGTTCTAGTTCTGTGGAGTCTCCGTATAGGTTCTCTTTCTGCCAACTGTAGTCCTTAGTCCAACGTTGGAAACAATGCACACACAATTCACGGAGAGAGGCACAATTGTCATAAACGTCATCAAGGTATTGAGTCAGATGTGTATGTACATTAAAAGTCTGCATTTCGTTACAAAGAATATTCAGATACAGAAGATTGTTGCAAGCTTTCAAAGAGTGTATGTTTTCAAAGTCAACAGGTTTAAGGTACATGAAATGGTGCTGCATGTGTTCTTCCAGGAAGTTTCTGCGGAGTTTATCAGTATCAAGGAGTGGAACAGGATGTAAAACAATGTCACGCCGACTTGTCATAGCATGATAGGACAAATCCGAGCGACAGGTCGTACAGATAAAACGACACTGGGGAGGTAGAGGGAAAGGCAACCATTTAAATTCTTTAATCTGAAAAGGAAATGAAATTAAAGAGTTAGAAATCAACAAATAAAAGAATTGAGATATTTAATAGTTCATGCATTGAAAATGAATATGAATATTTGACAATCTGGACCAGACGAATGGATCTTAATTATGAAATGATTTTCAATTTGTTGTGGAGTATTAACATTTTAAGACCTGAATAGAAAATATAATAACCTGTCTGTTAGTCTGGCTAAGAGTTAGTCCCAGCTCATCAATTCCATCCAGGACAATTACACAGGGGCCTAGAGAGAGAGCCGAGACAAATGCTTGTGACACTTCCTCAAAACTCCATGGCTGATCTTCCTCTGTAATTCGTGGCTTATCCACCTCCGTATCTGTCAACAATACCACATAATATCAATATCACTTCCAGGTATGATGTGCAAAAAAAATTCATTTTAAATGTAGTGTTACAAGTCACACTGGCCCCATCATAAAAAGAAAGCATATTGTTTTTAAAGATCATTTATACTGGTAAATGAACTTGAAGATCTAACCAAACTGCTGAAAAAACAAGCACTGACTAATGGTTTGTTGTTGTGACAGAATTCTTTGCTTTGTTTTTATTTCAATTTAAAGATACCTGCCAGAATCTCACTGTTAAGGACCTCATTTCACTCATAAACATAAGCAACACAAAAAGAACTTGTCAAGAAAATATCAGTGTAATACTATGATCTTACCTGGTCTGAGATACTCTTCCCTCAGTTCTTTGATACACTGCTTCAGGAATACAGCGACGTTTGTACTACGATGACTGCTACCTACAAAATGGCTGATGACCTTGAGGTCAGGATGACTGGCCTTGAACCCTGGTAACCAGTTAGCCACAAGTGTGCTCTTTCCACTACCGCGGTCACCATGTATCAACATCATAGACTTATATTTGACTTCCTGAGGCTTTCTGTAATAGAAACCAAACCGGATTGTGATGTGTTATTTAGTAATTAAAGTCTCTCTCTCTCTCTCTCTCTCTCTCTCTCTCTCTCTCTCTCTCTCTCTCTCTCTCTCTCTCTCTCTCTCTCTCAGAAATTTGTATAAAGAAATATGATTAAAGACTCAGATTGTCAAGCCTCTAGGCTTTGCTATAGCTTTTTTCCAAATGACACTGGAAAAGTTAATGCCGGTAAATCTTCTAACAATATGGTTTTAAGCATATAACCTGTATATTCCAGGGAGGTAGAGGCCTAAATATTATTTCTGAACCCAAAACAGGACAATGAAATTGTGTAATTGTGTAATTCCATTGAGCTGAAATAGATATAGGTAGATTCACTTTCCCGATAATCGGCGTATTGTCCGATAAAAATGGTACCCTTCTGTGAAAGTGCTCATTATGTAAAAAACTACATAGTGACGTAACAATGGTACAACAGTTTACATTACTCAAGTGTTCTGTCAATGTAAACTAAACATGGCCAAACTAGGTTTTATTTCATCATTGTCTTTGTATCAAGTCTTTCTATTTCACAATCTGTCATTGCTGAAATAAACAGTTTGGTTTTATCTTTACTCTGAGTCAATAATGACAATGGTATTTATTTCAAAACAATATATACTTGTATTTGAAAACAGTTTTAAATGTTTTCACAGTTTGAATAACTTTATATGTTATATGTAATTGTTTAAACACATCTAGAATTACATGTCTTTATATTCAACTTACAGAAATATTTATAATAAAATTTTATTACACTCAACTGTAACAGATTTTACTAATGAAATTTCACACAAGCTAGTAAATTATAAAGTGAAAACTTGCCATGGATTCCAAATTTTACATCAGAAAAATATCTAAATAGTTGAATCTACACAGTGAATGGCACAATTTACACAATGCCTTGAAATGTAAAATGAAATTGTCAAGGTGTGGGTAAAGAGAAATTTTACTTTCTTTGTCATCTGTTAATGAAATACATGGTACAAACTTACGACAACTTTTGATTTTTGGCATAAACGTAGATACATCAAAAGAAAAAGAGCTGAAACAGCAGCAAGCTCAACAATTGGAATTATTGATTGCTTGTTGAATTAAAGGGACATTACGATGAAAACATTTTGTTTTTGATTGTACATGTTTTTCATACTTTGTTTTATGTTTCTACACTATCCAAATATTCACAGTCGATTTCCAATGTTCACTTTGATCACTTCTTTGATTAGGGAAACTGCCTCCCAAATTTACCACTGATAACATCATGCGATAGTTTTGAAAATGAGGCAGTTCACTTTGTAAACATGAATGCATGATGGCCGGCTAAAATGACAGTGACAGTAGTGACACAGTCAGTAAAATTCCATTTTTCCACACCGGATTTTGTTATTGGTGTGGTAGATTTTATTTGATAACTCTGAGTTAATTCAGAATCACCAAATAAGTAACATCAATCACAAACCAATTCAGGCAGGAAGCCTTTTTTGTTTACAGATGATGGTGTTTTGTGTGCATGCTTTATATTATATGACACAAAAATTTACATATCCAGACCATTGACCAGGATTTCCTTTTTATAATTAACAAGAAACCTCATTATGTGCCTATTTCTGTAATAACTCACTATCATTGTTCATAGGTGATAAACTTGATATATATGCAATAATAAAAAAAATCAGCAAAAATTACTGTTTACCATGATGCCATTTTGACCTGTGCCTAAAATTGGTGAGTTGTTGCTAATTTCACTGAAGACTACAATGTATGGGGAAAGAAAAGTCATGTAGATCTCAAGAAAGCTAAATCTCAAACACCACAATTAAAGAAGAAAATATGAGTTTCTTTATAAACTGCACCAATCTAAGGAAATGGCAGTCCTAAACACCTGCTGTTCCAAGTTTTGCATTATTTCTTAGAAATTGTTATAGCAATTGTTTAACATGTTCAGATATATCTATAACTAAGCCTGCGATCAATTACCAAGATCTAATGATGTTGTTGATACTGGTCACTGCTACTTACTTTTTCTTGAGCTTTGTCACTATGGAGTAAGACTTGAAGCGGTCTACCTCTTCCTGTACTTCCTCTGGTGGGTCATCAAGAGCAGCCTTGGCAAAGGTCGTCATTTCATCATGGAGTGTCTTAATATCCACTGAGTTAACAAACACCTTACGGCGACTTTCGGCAAACATCTCGTTGCACACCCATTCTTGATAATCTTCAGTATCTAATGAAAGTCAAATATTCAAAATGACTGACACAGGCTTCTAACAGGGTAATGATAATTTTTCTACACAATGAAATTCTAAAAAAAGTTATTTTTCTAATTTAAGATACTGCATACATCTACTTTCTTTAAAATTCAGTTAGTTGAATAGAGGGGGAAATGATTAAATGTTCTTTTTTGAAATGAAAAAGAAACTTGCATAGGATATTAACAGAGGTCACTATAGATTAAATTACACAGGTACACAAAAATGTTACAAGGGTATATTCATTGAATAACAAGGCAATAAGGCATTAAACGATTATGCAAAAAAAATATATACCGTATTCATGCATATATAAAGCAAATCCAATTCAATGTCACAGATGAAAGTATTCATTTCTCAATTTTGCAGTGACCAGAGTTCTTCAAACTTTGAACTTTTAAACTTTATTCAACAGCCTTCAATGACACTTACCAAGAGTTGTTACGGGGTATTCTAGCGGTGGGTAAACCAAATCTATTACTTTAGTCCAATCCTTTATAACATGAACACCTAATTCTTCCAGCACTTTAAAATATTTCACTGGAAGTCCTTTGTTGACAATTCTCTGCTTTAAATCCCTTATATTAAGGTCAGCATATTCGTTGACAGGTAGGTAAGGTTTGCTGAGTTTCTGTCGTGCTTCATCTGATAAATGTCCAAATTTCTTGTCCAGGTGTTCGGGCTGACGAAAATAAAAATGGCAATAATCACAATCATTGAGAAAAGTGGCATGGATGATTTCGAGTTCGGTGAGACTGTTGTTTTGGTGATGTTCCTGAAGAACCCACTCATAGCCGGCAGAGGCTGCCACAAGGTAATTTCGGTCCAGAGAAGTTGCGTATTCAGGAAGCTGCGTTACCTTTTTAGGCAGTGGTAGTGAGTCGACAGGTCTGTAGGGTCCATAGCGCTCACCTAACAGGCACAGGAAATAGGGTAAAGACTTACATATATACTCTAGATTTAGTCTCAACAGATGACCAGTGGCTATTTGGTCATCTTGCATTCCCCACGGAATATCCACAGGAGAAAAGCGGCATCCACGCATCATGCATAATTCGTTGATTTGTGGAAAAATTTTCTGACTTAAAAATTCACGCTCCTCTGTGAAATCATCTGGCGTGGAGCAGATGAAAGGTTTAATGGATTTTCGGAGGGAGTATTTTTGAGGCGGTGCCACCAGAACAACACCTTCCTCGTCATCCAGGAGACTTCCCAGTTGAACCATAGTGACAAGATACTCCTTTACACACTGGTCACTTAGGCTTGACCAAGGTCCATCCACAAAATTTCAGCCAGTCCATCTGTCAGTCTGAAACAAGTGACAACAACCAATAAATAGCTGGTTCACCTCCGCTTAGAAGTTTCATTTATAATAAATCTGTCATGTGATAAAAACTTCATAAATCTCAACAATTTCAAAACTCATCCTAAATTAATCTGAAAATATAGTTGTTAACCACATTTTTCCAATATCTGAAAACTCACTTTTTTGACTGGGTGATGATCAGCATTCAAGGAAAAAGAAATATAGAATGCAATGTACCCAAGACATTTGTCATTATATTCAAAGCTTATTAACTAAACAAAATACAAAAATACCCAAACCTTTTCAACATTAAAGCAAAATGCTTAATGTAGCTGTAATTTTGTTAAACTTTTGTTTGACATTTTGATATTTTTGAATTATCAAATGAAACTGGAAAAAATGTACTTTTCATTCTATAGAAAATGACCAAGCATTTCAGACTAAATATGCCCACCAAAATCTCCATTAAAATATGCCAAAAATCTACGAGCAAATCATGACAATAACTCAGAAATCAAAACCATGATTACAATATCCATACGCCGGGTCAGCTCCTGCCATGTTTTAAATGATAAGACTGTGATCATCACAAAAACAGCACTTACCTTATGTCCAGATTACCTTGCTTATAAATCTTTTAAACCAGACTTAAAATCTTACCCAGCACTCTATATCACTTTGTTGTAATGTATCAAACATGTAAACTCAAACACCACATTACCTTTTACAGAAACATGCCTATCTAGAGTTTAGACACAAAAGAACTGTTGAATATCTTGGCCTGATGTTCTCGATACATTTAAATCTCCTGTATGATCCTGTAAATTAATGTAGTTGAACCATAGATACATGAAAATGTGGGTTGTCTGACAAGACACGTTGTATTTGTAGTTCCTTATAAAGACTGCTTAGCATGAAATATACCCGGTATATTATAAATGTATGTATCTATAGCCATTTCAAGTTTACCCAGCAAACATTTACTTACTCATAGACAAATGTCTAGGTGAACATATTGTATCTCAACAATAAATCAATCCGGAGACCAATTTAATGCCTTTGTGTCAAGGAAACTAATAATTAAAGACAAATTTCAACATCATTTATATCAAAATATTCATGTTAACTTCACTTTAATTTTATAAGTTAATGATTTTTCATCGACTTCTTAGATGACAAAGACATAATAGGTTTAATTAATGAGTAAGTTTTTTCAGGAAATGGTAGATTTCTTAATTTCTTATTTAACATAGATATTTTTTCTGTTCTCTAAACATTTCAAAATCTTAATATAAAAAGTTTTTCCATTGAATTTCTGACCAACATTCATGATGTTTTAAATTGAAAATGATTATTTTGTAAATATTAATGTTTTGTCTTGCTTCCCCTCCCATACAAATATTAAATTTTCCATAAAGTTATAAACACTGTCACTTCCTCTAAGAAAGACTGCGTAGCCGACACACCTAACCCATCAGCCTTTAGATACAATACACTTATAACCATGTAAATTCCCCATCATACAGTCAACTCATTTATTTACTCATTAAATCATTACTTGACAATTTCCATTAATGGCTGCTGATTTTAGCCATCAAAGTGGCCCCACAGAAACTCTGTTTATCATAATTGGACAATTAGTTGTAATTATTGTTTACCTGTCTCAGGAAGGTTATTGATTTCCAAAGTCAAATATCAGAAATTGTGAAAATATTGAGAAATTGAATGTTTTGAGGAGAAACATTATTCAGCTATTTCCCATTATAATGTACAATTAGAAGTACTTAATTATCCAATATCTTTACATGAAGGGAAATGATTCAAAAACCAAATTTATTATATTGAGTTGTATGATAGTATAACAAAAGATTGACTCTTATCTGGTAGGTAATTTGAATAAATTACATTAATGGTCCCTTGTAACTTATATTGAATTCATTATCAACAGTTCAGCAAATTATTGTTGAAACTAGATATACTGATTTAAAATGGAAAGAATTTGGTTCACTAGGTACACTAGATAATTTACATATAAAGGTGATGTGGATCTACCTGGTACAAGTCCTCCTCATCAGCCAATCACCTACAGACACATCACCCACAAGTGTGTATCGACTTCTAGCAGGTCCTTTAAGATAGATTTTGTTTTGTCAATAAGAAACATAAATTGTGTTCTTTTTAGTGATTTTACAAAACCTTTTTTACGCATTTCAAGCTTTTTCACCCCAGTTGTGTGTTACATTTATTATATAATTCCATTGTATTGTATATTTACAGATATCAATTATTTTCCTTCCTTTGTTTACCTTGGAAATTGCAATTTTCAAACTATGCTTAATGCTAGTTTATTCAAGTCAACAGGAGCTAACTTCTATCATTAATATGAAATTTCAATCTGTTATTTTACACCCACATTATTCCATTAGCAATGGTCAGTTTTTGTGGGCTATATTCAAACTGTTAATTTGACACTATAAACTGAAACCTAAAGTGAATGGTTTGTTTAAGCTTATTTACTGTAACAAAAACAGCAAAACACTCTTTCTCAATTCATGAAATCTACTTGATTTTCTTTTTCATTTAAATTCATCAAAGATTTTCTTTCCAAACTCTAAAGAAAATGTTAACTAAGAAATCAAAAGATATTGTTGACTCAGTCAGGCATGTGAAATTTAACTGTTTGTTGTAAATTTCACACTTTCCAAATGGTCTACATTTCGTGAACATTACTCATTTTTCATCTACGTTTATGCACAATGAATCAATATATCTAACATTAACTTTTTACACCCAAAAATAAATGGTAGACTTGAATTAATCAGGTATGTAAAATGCTTTGGGCCAGAAACTAATGACCATTTAAACATTTAACTATGTTAGTTAAATTGGTAAAATTACTGGATATATCTATACATAGTACTACCTATTTAAACACTGTTAAAAATTCGAAATATGCACCAGTACAACAAATACAAAATATGAAGCTTTTCTTTAGGTATAACAGTCAATTAGTTGTTTGCCATGGCCTTCACTTCTTATTCGATACCATGTTGATCACGAAACAACTTTATGTCTGTTAATAAGCCTATCTATGTATCTATTGGCGTTTTTGAAGAAATGCAAATATTGTCTGTAGATTGCCTCTACAAGGAACATTTGATTAAATTTTGGTAGAAGTTCACCAGCTGAAGTTTACAAAGTGTGTCAGTCAATGATGACAATTATCTTGATGGGAAAGGATTCACAAGAGGGGTCTGTATCAACTTTAATTTAGAAACAGGCAAAACAAATTTTAACTGTATGGCTTGGCTGGAAACTAAATTACTCCTGAAATTTATACTAAGAGAATGTATCTAACATTGGTAAACCAAACCTTTCTGATAAAATAGGTCCTGTTTCTCTGGCCCCAGGTGATAACACTGTTAAGATCGCTGAGGAATTATTATGAATGAATATGCCAGAAGAATGTGCAACTATAATAAACAGTACTGGAGGAGAAGTGTATATATAAGATTTCTTCTGTGCTACAACCTATCACCAGCTCTTTGTCCTTGTAGCAACTCAAACAAGACAAGAAAGGTTGATTCTCCATAGATATAGATTCAAACATTGAAAGTGTTCAACTTACAGAAGGTAGCCTTTATGGATTTACTCAGTACAGTCTTGTTAAGCTGACAAATCTCTAGCAAAGATATGCCTTAAGTCCCCAATTAAACATTAAATCAAGCGGGAAATAGGAAGAAAAGATAATCTGGATTTAAGTAGAATTACAGGATCAACAGTTCTGATGTACAGTATACTTGTTTGTTTACTTGTATTTAAGGATATGTAACGAAGGTAAATAAAAAGGAGTATTATTTTGAGTAAACAGGAAGTTTTTTATCTGGGTTTAATCATACACTTTAAGAAATTATTTTTGCTTTGTTTGAGTAATGTGGTGATTAAATGAAACAGATAAGTATATGATGTTGGAATAGACAAGAAATTAAAATTTATCTCAAACTATTAGTCAGGATATTATGTAATTAAATGTATGATTAGACATTTTCTGCATGAAAAACTGTAATTCCAATAGTTTGTGTTTTGAAGGACAAAGTAATTAATCTTTAATTAAGCATAGAGTACTGTAATAAAATGTCATCATATTTATGTCCATTTGTTTGGTAAAATATGATTCTGTTCTCCTATGTGCTTTTTATTGTCCGAAAAATCAGCGAAGTGTAAAACAATCTCCTTTACTGTCTTTATAACAACTGAGGTTATTATTTGTATGAGTTTGTGTGCTGGGTATATTGCCACATGAACAGCCAAGTTCATTTTGAGTTGGGATCTCCATGTTGTAGCTGGTGGCTATCTTAAGCACTGAACTGCATGCTGGAGTCCTCCCACATGCAAACTCTCCCTGATAGGGATTGAACTACACACCGTAGATCTTCACTTGAGAAACTTGAACCTGTCCCTGAGAGGGAGTGAACTACACACCTCTGATCTTCACCTGACAAACACAAACCGTCCCTGATAGGGATTGAACTACACACCTCTGATCTTCACTTGAGAAACTTGTACCTGTCCCTGAGAGGGAGTGAACTACACATCTCTGTTCTTCACCTGAGAAATACAAACCACCCCTGCTAGGGATTGAACTACACATCTCCGATCTTCAGCAGCGAAATACAAACCGTCCCTGTTAGGGATTGAACTACATATCTCTGATCTTCACCTGAGAAATACAAACCACCCCTGCTAGGGATTGAACTACACATCTCCGATCTTCAGCAGCGAAATACAAACCGTCCCTGTTAGGGATTGAACTACATATCTCTGATCTTCACCTGAGAAATACAAACCACCCCTGCTAGGGATTGAACTACACATCTCCGATCTTCGCCAGCGAAAGGGAAGGGATTGAACTATGCACCTCTGATCTTACAGCTGAGAAACACAGACCTATCCAGGGAAGAGACAGAACTAAACATCTTGGAACTTCACTTGAAGTTGAAAAATCTAATAATCTACCATTTGAACTATTACAGCCCACAAATTATTTGATATTTCTTATATTGTAATATCAAATCACAGCTACGAAATATGATTCAATACACACCCAAGTTACTTAAAAATTATTTTTCACTACCATATCCTATAACCAAAACTAGTAAATAAAAGCTTTAAAATGACATGGATATTTTCCCAAATGAAAGTGTTTTTCATTGAAAAAAAGAGAATACCGGTACTTCAGTAAAAAAGAAAATAAGTGGAACTATTTAGTATGAATCAGAATCATTTCCTAGATCATAAGATGGTTCATGTTGTGGGTAAAAGGTAAGTGTATTACCACTGTACCGCCTGACCAACAGTCAATATTAGTTGGAATCACATAATTAAAGACTAATTTTCAAAGCAGAGTATGGTTCCTTGTTGGTATGATAAACAACAAAGATGTATCCTGTGTATATTATGTTGGTGTGTGTTGTGTTTTCAGTAAGGACAGAACACCATACATACCTTGCATTACCCCCCTGGTTCTTGAATGTTCAGTAATGCAAACAATCTATTATCTGTTCTTTATTGGAAGACAAACAAGTGGTGTAAGACTACTTTGGGGTTTTGTCACACAATGAACCATTAATATTATCAAACATCTCATACAAGATTCAGTTAATGAAGAGAGCATAATGTCACACAGTACTTTGTGTCAACACTTCAGCAATAGAATTCTTCCCTTGTTTAAAGCAAATATATGGTATTAAATGGTTGTCCTTTGATTCCTATATACCTGAACATATGTATAAAAATTTGGGCAAATATTCATATGTTGATGATTGTGAAGCATTATTGTAAAATAAAGAATTGTTTTCAAAAACTTATGGTAATCAGGAGAAACAAACTGAATTTTTCTTTCTCTCATTCTTCTTTCTCTCTTCTTCTTCTTTTAACACAATATTTGTTACGACTTAACATGATCAACTTTGGCACAAATATTCTGTTAGCACTTGTTACTGGAGGATATGATAGGGCTGTTGCAGAGGACTTCCTGATACAAAACAATAACAAGATAACAAGAGTTAACACAGTTTTGCACTACTAAAAAGAAGGAGCAGACTAAATCTGAGGAAGTATTCTTTCTGTGAACGGGTGATAAACCACTGGAATTCACTTTCTAATGCCGTTGTAACGTCACCAACAATCAAAACTTTTGAATCCCGATTGGATGAACATTGGAGGCAAATTGAATGCATTTATAATCATAAACTGGACAATAACACACTGATCCATATTCGATCAAAATTTCACAAAATGTGACCAGTGTTGTTAACAGTATATTGGAATCAAACGTATGCAATATAGGCACAAACATTCGTAGCTTCTACTTTTCTTTAAGAATCATTGAAGCCGTGTTATTGAACATGTATTGGCAGTTTCCATTTTACATACGTAACAAGATGAAGTAGATTTACTGAAAACAAACCCTGGGGAAAAGTGAGTCATCAACATCAACAATTTCTCATTGATTGTTTTGGGTTTACATCCGCAGGACAGTCAGGCCAAACAAGAACGGGAATTTCTAATTTAGAAAATAGTTTCACTTTGAATCTGATATACTGTGTACTGTATATGTGAAGTAGGACAAGATCTTAAATTGTTAAAAACAATAAATTGCAAAGATACTTCAATGATTTACATGTATAGTGTTTACTAATATTTCTCTCCTATGTAGATCATACTTTCCTGAAGTAAATAAACAAATATCTCAATCTGGGTTATCTGTCACTAAACTGTACATGGGACAGCATCTTCTCCATTTTTATGACAATTTTTTAAAAACTTTAATTATTTTAATTCTTGAATAGAAAAAATACCTACATGTTTATGTAACCTTGTATATAGATTTTGCCATTAGGAGTAGGGCCCATGTTTGGCCCCAAATTCTGTTGCATAAGATGACTTGGGAATGTTACAGCAGCTGACCATCTTTTATGAAATAAAATTAGGTTTGATAAAACATAGTAAAAATATATCAGTGCTAACAGCTTTTGTTTTTTACACTACTATGGAATGAGACCAGTACCACCATTTGAAAATATCGACCCGGCACAAACCCTATAGTCAAATCCATGTACTGGTAAAACAGACACATAACTGAAATGTTTACTAACATCTTATTACATTTATCTATAATTTATACCTAATGGTAATGTGTATGGTATATTCAAGCAAGATAGACAACTGCATGGTGTCTGTTGAGAGGGAGATTGTTTTTACTTATATGTTTGCATCTGAAAATCATAGAACTTTGGTATTAAAATATCTCAATATTCTTTCCCAAACCAATGTAGCTGCCTATACACCCTATACCTAGCTTAGACAATTTCTTACCGATGACAATCTTTTGGCAAAATCTGTGATTCATATTTATGTCATGGTTTATTTCCTGGGAGGCCATTATGTATAATAAGGGCTTTGCATAATCAGTAAAGAAAGCACAGAACTGACACAGAGTCTTTCTTCTGATATCAATCTAAAAATTTCAATATTGCAATATTTTCTAAGGTTTGACTGCTGCTAGATTAAAATCATTTGATTACCTAATATCTTGTTCAATGTGAAATTAATACCATAGTATACTGTTTACATAGTTGATAAAAAACTAACTTATTACATGGTTCACTTGTGGTCAGTTTTGTTTCTTTGGAAATTCAATGAGCTTTAACACTTAATTATAGTATGTTGTAATATCACGATATTCCTGCCTTCTGTAATCATACAGCAGTGTTAATAACCAGGTACACAAGTCAAATGGTCAAATACTCTCATCAGTTTGAGTTACAAAACATTTAACAATATGTATATTTAATAAAACTAATATACAAAAATGTAATATGTTTTATCAGATCAATCTAAAATTGTATTTTATGTTTTAAGATAAAAGTGTTTACACATTCAAATTTCAATCACTGTGTGCTAACAATTGTTTGTAAACAGTTACTAAAGTTGCAATACAACCATTTGGTTTAGGATTCCATAATATCTACTTTAAAATGCCAAGAAAACTTTGCTCCTTTTCAATGACTGAAGCTGGCAGGAATTGCTAATTATTGAGGAGCAAATATATTCAATTTTCGAAGAAACAGGTGCTATGGTTTCCATTTCCTCTACCAGTAACATGGGAAAATCAGTGCTGTTTGAGAACACATGTACTTGACAGCTTATAAGAAAGATGTGATGCTGTATGGTAAACCTGCTACACTGTTGTATTTCTTGAAAATATTACATAATGTCATATTGTGTTGTTCGGAATGGAAAGAGGGCCATATATTAATATTTCGAATGCTACTGCAACACCAGTGTTTCTGTGTATATGAACTTGTCTGTTTAAGATAATTAATGAAATATGCCATTATTATTATAAAAAAAGAACCAATTAAGATATTTCTGACATAAATCATCCTAAATGAGATGACATCACAGAGCATGCAAGACCACTAAGTCAGCCTTGTCTACACGTTGATCAACTTAACTGTACTGGGTAGACAGATGTATTCGGCCATAATTATTCCTAACATGTGAAAAAAACATTTTTTTAGATTAAAACTTTGTTTGCTATCTACTGATCCTCAACTTAGTCTGTCCAAACGATTCTAGCATCACCTATCTTATACTCTTGGTGTATCAGTTTCTCTCTTCTCTAACGTAACTTTCTTTATCAAAGAAAAACAACTATGACTTACTTGATTATATATTTTAAAGCTGCATAAAATAACTAGTGACAGAGTACGACTTACCGTATACCCGAAATTTGATATAAATAATACACTTGAACGCCTCTAATCCAGCGGTCAGCAAAACTATAACACCATAGGATGACAACAGACGGCAAGTGATGCCTCCGATAGTCAGGGTGATAAAATTGATTTCTGCGGTGGTTACCTACAATAATGGGACCATTCTTTGCTAACATTCAACTAATTCCCATCATAATTATAATAAATCCTTTTATCAGTATTTTATCTCGATACCATTGTCGTGTCTTACCTGTTGGCACAGCTGAAAAGAATCCAGATGATCACATTACAGACAGTAAGTGCGTGAGATCTTGTTGAGTGACATCTCCATGTAAACTAACCGTACTTCCGGTAAAAATATTATTTACAACCACTTAAGCGACAGAAACGGAAGTATAAATGGCCCCGAACATGTACATTAGGAATGTAGGGAATCCCACCAATCAACATGAGCCAAGTTGAGAGAGATCGGTTTGTACTTGTTCTTGTGTGATTGGTCACAATACAGATCGTGGTACTATTTGATTGGTCAATTCAAGGGAAAGGGAATCCCCTCTGAACGGTGTGCCTTGGCAGGCTATAACGTCAATCAACACATGTTTTGACAGTTAGGATTTCTCTTTTTCTTCATTATTGTACCACAGTCGAGGGTTGCACCGACGGGAGGAAGATGAGGTGGAAATTACTGTATATAGGTGTCTTGGGACTTATTTTAATGTCGGGTAAGGTTTCCTTGTGTGCATTTTTATAACATTTTATGACTCTCGCCCATCCCCCCTTCGCAAAATCAGCCGGCATTTTGCATGTGGCACATTTTTGTTTCATAAAATTTTAAGATGCATCACCAGTTAAAGTTTTTCAAAAGTATTTGTTAACCCGGAAACTCACAATTTGGATTTGTGTAAATATTTGTGCCTTTGTTTCTTAAGAAAGAGTGAGTTTGTCCTAGGGTTTAAATAATTTGCAAGGACACCCCCTTGTGTTGGCGGTGTTCTGAAAATAGCTTGCGTGGCTTCACGCTTTGTAGTCTAAAATGCTATGTGCCTATTTAGCCGATATTTTTGTCTGTTTACTCTGTTTCAGCATCATTTGTATCGTAAATTTGACAGACCAACTTACCGAAAATTGATTTGATCGTAATTATGACCCTGTTCATATGCACGTATTTCATGGGAAACTTTTTTTGTCATGATGTAACTAAGGTCATACATCAGGATGAGAATGCTTTTAAGCCTACCAACCAGATCTAAAGCATCCTACTATATCCAGGTTGTAAAACCAAACACAATTATAATGTCTTGATTGTAGCTAAATTGAACTTATATTAATTGCCCCACCCCTTTTTGATCATAGAAAGAATATTTTCCAGTTTGGGGTATATTTTTTTTCTACTGATCATGTATAAAAACCTTCCAGGAGGAAGGTAGTGGATGATTTCAAATTAAGTTGAGTTGTTGAAGGCCAGACACTGACATTGATAACACTTCAGTAATAATTTTGAATGTATAAGTTGAATCACAATGCTAATAACTGACTGAGAAATTGACATCAACTTTTGAGGATAAAATCATAAACAAGGAATGAAACTTGATATTTCTTGAAGCAATAAGTCGATGCAGATTTTTAGGGACTTTGTGTACATTCTGGTCACAATATACCATTTATACTTAACACTGTTCTGATTTTGTTCAGTTGCTATATCAAAATCTTGGAAAATGGGTTAAGTCTTGTCCCTATTACTTCACATATCACATACATTTCAGTTTTGATGTTTGGAATGCTAGCACTTCTGATGTAGTTATTAAAAGAATAACATACTAGATTAACACGAAGGTCAAGGTTACGGATGAAGGACATGTTTAGAACTTGGCGTACAACCTTCATCACATCTTGGTTTTTTTATATCAGTGATAGCCTTATCTACCTTGATCAACAGGTGCTGAATGTTTCTACGTGTGTACTTTATTTTCCTTAATCAGCAGAATGCCCTCAAGATTTACATGCTCTGAGGTACAACTCTAACATTACTTGATCGGATAAAGATGCTGGTACAACAGGTTTTTTCTTTTACACACATGTTCCTGCAAACACACCAGTGTTGTCAAAGAGACAATTAATAAAGGTGTTTATGTAAACAATACACCGTGAATACTTGCAGTCCTACGTATGAGGCTGAGTATAGAGCCACAGTCCTGACAGGGCTGATATTATACACAGTAAATACCCTATGGATGAAGTCCTCTGTATCAGACTAGTGTAGTTAATGGCTCTGTGATGGGACTGGTACTTAAGTTAGCTGTCTCCAAGTTGTCAATATCACTAATGAATCTATGTCATCAGAAATATATGTACTGATATCTTAAACATGGTAATGATTGGAGTATATGTTTTGTTACTCCTCCAACAAGTGAAGAAACATGAGCACAAATCTGATTGATAGAATTCTCAAATTTATATGCTGTTATGCTAGTTGTCATTTAGGAGAATGGTCAGATATTCTGGTTATTTCACTGCTAAACCAACCACCTGTTCAGGTATATAGAATAGACTGTATTGATATGATAATTTACTATTTCTTGATATTTTACAATTTCGTGACATAGATTAAAAACTCCATTCTTGATCCTAGAAGGCATTTCTTACAAATTAAGACATGATTATGTTAAGTTTGTTACAATTTTGGTGCTCTTGTCTTCCAAATTCATTAGAACTGAAGCAATTTCTAGCGCTAATGCTTTTGTAATTTTGGTTTTTCTATAGTCACATTGGCACATTCAAGTAATCAATTTGTTAATGAACCAACAACGTGTACGTGGCTTACCTCTGAGTTGTAGTTTATATGTTGATGTAGCCATTGGTTTTATTTCCAAACCAAAATAGACAAGGACAACTGAAGTGTCAAGGGTTTCTTTGTGTGAATGTATTTAATGATGAAAATCATATGTTGATATAGAAATCTGTCAAACGGTAATGAAATATGATTAAAACATCATTTCTACCGATTTAATGTATGGCAGCTCTGTCTCAGAAAGAGAGTTAACACAGTTTTCTCTCATATTTGAAAGGAAGTTTAGTTTTAAACAGTGAAGTGTGTAGTTTTTGTACCACCTCACACTTTATACTTCCAATACTATTTAATATTTAAAATAAAGCTGAACTCAAATCTACCACACCTGACTAGTCATAGAAGGAAAAAAAATGTGCAAATTCTCTTCAAACAAGTGTTATGATAATGTGATAATTAAAAGGTATATATTTGGTTTTGACTCTCTTGATCTAGAGAAGTATATGGCTGCTGTTAGTTTCACCTCACTTCCCTTTTCATCATTCCTTTCAGTTTTTTTCTACCTAGTCTGTAGATTGCCATTGCAGTGCCTGTACATGTATACCTCTACATGTAATCTACAAGTTTCTTGATTGATGTTGCTAGTAGTCCAAACACATCTGATCTTCATCATAAATATGTACACCACACAAAATGGAAGACTGCATGTTTGCATTGACATAGTTTTTATCCATTGTCTTATTTTTTCATATTCAAATGAAAATAATTAGGAACAGTTCAACTTGTCCACACCTATGGCTCGACTTATAGATTTTTGTGGAAGATGGGTAAAGTTTCAGAATGGAAAAAGAAAAATAGAAACATAAAATAAAAATTACTTTTGTGAGAATTTCATTTTGTATTTCCTTTGATCTTTAGAGTTTAAAGTAAGTAAGATGTAGACACTCTAGTTTTGGTTTCAAGTATAATAGGTACCAGAGGCAATGACTAATATAGACATGTCTGGATTGTAAAACAAGAGCAGAATGGCATAGTTCACTTTGCAGATGTTTGTCAATAACAAATGAAACAGATATACTATGGCATTTTTGTTACTGTATGTTGATATTCCCGGTCTGTGTGTACTTTATAAATGGGATATGTTTGTCAAGCTACTTGTCCAGTATATTTCAACAATACCTTAGAATGTGGACTGTCTAGACATGAAGTCCAATAATTGAAACCTTAATCCCAAATATCAACTGGAGTCATAATGTAATAAGGAAGTGTTGCACTGATGTCTTTCAACACTTGCACCAAAATCATCATCACATTTCAAAACTAATTCAGCAGTGAGTTGACAGCATTATTAGCTCTTCCTCTTCTTGGAAGAGATGAGTTAATAAGAAAAAAAGTAGTTCCCTCTATCCCATTCCACCCTACCACCTACCTAATGGACATGATGGCTTACTGACCACTGTCTGGCTCAGTTAACTATCCCACAAGTTGATGTAGACAGTGAGTGATGCCCACAGCTGGTATTAATTATAAACAATACTGTTCTTAGTAATACAGATGTCCTGATAGTCAGTACTTTTGATATGTCAGTACCAGGGACTTCAGGTTTATATAGATCTACAGTAGATACCTTAGATACAGATGTGCGATATCCTGGTATATCAGTCATTGAAAATCCGGTCAGATTGTTGGACCAACTACACTCAGATCTTCTTCCAACAATTCAGCTGTTAACATGTGTCTATATCTTTCTGTCTTTATTTTTAACACCTTGATATGCAAACCATTATAGATAATTTGGTTCTAAGTCACTGTCTGTTTGTATAAAGGGTTACTAAGGTTAATAGAGGGTGAAGTCAAGGCTTGATTAGGCCATTTCCTTCTTGAATGAAATAATATATATGCGATGTTTTCTAGTGTTTGTAAAGCAACAAAACCACCTGGGTTATTTGGCAAGACACACAAATATGATATAGAACAAAGTTAATAACAAATCTTCATGGTGATGGCCCAATTAAGTCATTTCTTTCAATGTACTAAGGAAAAAATGGGGTCATGTATAGTAATTAACAGAGAGAAAGGTTCAAGGATTAATATTATTGGATGATTTGTGGTACTATTCTTGATCATATTGGATAATTTACTGTTGGTTTTATCTGCTTCACTTAATTAACCTGATCTATTATCTCTCTCCTCTTTCCCCTCTTTCTAACTTTAATCTAAATCTCACGAGATTCCTACCTAATTTCATGGCACTCCGCTATAAGTGTAACCTGTATTGTTCGAGTCTAGATTAAAAACAAAGCAATTAGCAGTGTAAACAGATAAAAGAAAGGAATCTTGCTTTCAGTTTAAAAGATATTTAGGTGTTTGATTCGAAGGCTGTGATCTTAAATGAAGCTATGTTCTGTTACGAAGCTATTTGATGCATTTCCTTTTCGTATTCTCTGTTATATGTTTCTCCTATAGTGAAACTCCACAGAATACATTATGACAGCAATGTGTTTCCCTACAGGCTTTCGCTCTCTTGGGAAGGTAGAGAGATTATCAAGAGCCATATTGTAGATGCCTGCCAAGGTTTTCTAGGATCATACTACTGTATGTATAGGAGATGTTGGTGATGTGGGGACACAAGTGCCTGGTACATTCTATCTTCTAGAGGAATGTAATGGATAAACACCAACAGATGTACTATTAAGTACATATCATTGTATCCCACAAAATCCTCAAAGTTTCTCACACCTGAAAAGTTTTGTTAGACTGAAAGCAGGGCATTGAGCTTATTCAAGGACAATGAAAAAGTACTTGAACAACAGTCATCAGCATTTCAGCTGAACCTAGACAAGATTTTGATTGTGGTATTTCGGTATCAAATAGTCCCTATAAAGTTCCTTACACCAGCCACAAAATGCTTAGATTTTTATACCCAAGTTTCTTACATGTAATGTAATTAACCTCGGAGAACCTGTTATTATAACTGTTATTATAACTATACCACCTTACCTATAGAAGATTTATAAACACCTCACACCATAGCGTCACAAAATACAACACGGTGCTGGTCCCAGTTTAGACTAACCCCTTATCCAATGGTTGTTATACTCGTACATGTATATGTTGTATACAAGTGTTGAAAGAGAAGGAACACCTCTTTTCAAAAATTTATGAATCATGTTTTGTCTTGAAAGTAAGAGACTACAAGCCCAGCAATTTCAAACCGCATAGATATTATGTTCTTACGGTACACCTTGTTTATCCATGAAGAAGCCCATGCATGTCTAAAACAATTCAGTAAAAATGATGTTATGTAATTTCTTCATCCAATAAGCCCAACCCTTCCATTTGAGTTTGTGCCAACCTCCATAGCAATTTGCATGATGAATATGGTATTTTTTTTTTTTTTTTTTATAACTTCAAATAAGATAAAAAGATACCCTGGTGTACCATTTAGTAGCTAGAATTATAGAATTACCACATAATTCTATTTCTTGTCTGAAATTATCTGAAGTCACAATGCAGGTCAGTTTGTAGAGAGTCTGATTATAGTGTGGTGTTAAGTGTAATGTCTGATAACATGATTACATTTGGTACCCAGCTAGATGACAGAAAAATGGGATGAATGAATATTTGAATGTTGAAGGAATGTAAGAAATTAAACTGACCTTCGTCCATCACATATTGACAATACCTTAGTTCAAGTATAACTTTATCAAGCTGGTTTAGCCAAGTTTGGTCTTGTTTTGTAGCTGAGATTTGGAATTGCAGAAATAATCTTACTTAATTTGATGAATTCTTTCTCAGAGAAATTACATTGATTGAAGTAGCATCAAGAATCTGAATCAATGATCACACATGAGAATTTTTGTGTGAAATTTATATTTACCAGTGCTCCAGATAGCCTGCGTGAATGCGTTTTCACGCACAATATTTCTAATTTCACGCTAGGAAAAAAATAAGATTTGCGTCATTAACCCGTGCGAAATCCGGACTCTGCGTCAATGTCCGGCTCCAATATTACGTAGTTAGAAAACTCAATAATCTAAGTCAAACAGACACTTATCAAGTAAACGAAACTCAACAAGCGCTTTCTTGATCGTGATTATAAACCAGTCGCATAGCAAATATGTGTCAAAAATGTTTACAAATTCAGTGTTACCCTAATATGGAAAAACCCGTTATAAAGGTAGGAGTTGTCAAAAAGTTATCTGGAGCACTGTTTACGATTAATCTTATTTATATTTAGCAGGGTTATGTGCGGCCCAAGAAGGTGAAGATGAAGATGTTACTGTTGAAGAAAGTGTAGGCAAAAGTCGTGAAGGTTCCAGAACAGATGATGAAGTTGTTCAGAGGTAAGTAATGATGAGTTAAAGCGAAAAAATAACTTTTTTTTTATGGAGTATTCAAGTTTTTTTTTTGCACTGCTTCAGGGATGGGACCGTTGGCTTTGAATTTGGGGGGAAAGTGAGCAACAACAATAAGTTAAATTGGGGAAAACAATAAAACACAAAGATGTTTGAATTTTGTCATAACTACCGCTAATAGGTTTATTTCTCTCCAATAGAGGTAATATACATTGTTCAGCCATCTAAATCCAGAGATGACTTTAAATAGGTTGTATATGGGGTGATACCATCCGGACACTTTCAATATTCATAAACCACCATTAATTCTGGGAGTTTAATTCTTAGATTGGAGAAATATGAGGTCATTGCTATTGGGAATGAGGTCTATATTCAAAAAAAAAAATTGCAGAAAAAGATTTATCATTTTTCTTGTTAGTACATTTTCTGTATTTTAGCACTTATCAGTAGTTAAAATGCTAACTTACTGGATATCTGTCTAACAAGAAGTCCATGCCCGAAAATAAGCCCACCCAAAGGATCGTTTAATAAAATTACAATTGACTATTAATACACACACTGTGATAATCCCATCCATGATCCTTATTTAATGTGAAAAAAATAACATATTAAACATTTAAAGAATTCCCCCAATCCCCAATGGGTTTGCTTCTTACCCATAAAATACTACAGTGGGGGACAGGGGGGTTGGGAGTACAAACAGAAATGTGTAGAAAAGATGTTTCTTCAGGTGGGAATTTACCTGTAGCTAACTGAGGTTGTTGGAAGTGTTTGAGTAGCAAGATGTGTGAAACCATTTACCTAAGAATCCATTAGCCTTTATGACCTTATGTTTGATTATGGTTTCTAAAACGGGATAGCTTGATCTTCTGTCCATTGCCTGTAGGTGTAGTTTTAGATATAATCATTTAGGTGCTGACAGAATTTTTATGATTGCCATATCTCTTGGCTTCTTGTCTGTCTTTCTCAACTATTATTATACTGCCTGGAGGTATACAATTTCACTAGAGGAAGGAATAATGGATTGGATCATTGTTTCCTCATTCTTGAAAAGTTTAAACTTCATAAAATGCAGAATTCATATATCATATCATTCAAACTGTAACATATTGTGTAATTTTCATTGTCTCTGTAACACAATCCTCTTTTGCTTCATTTATTGAGACTAATAGTAATGCTAGTCTGAACTGGTGTTCAGTAAAGTAGTGAAATAGCCACCAGCTACTACTAGGAGACCCCACCTCAAAATGGCCATGTTTGTTCATAGGGCAATGAACCCAACAAATAAACATCTGCAAGGCAGTACTCAATCAATAGGCCGATAAACCTGACTCTCAGAGACCCCTACGGAGTCAACAATACTCTAAAAATTAGGGTCTGGTACACTGTGGTCTCTACAGAATCCAATACCCTATACATCAGGGGCTGGTACACTGTGGTCTCTATAGAATCCAATACCCTATACATCAGGGGCTGGTACACTGTGACCTCTACAGAATTCGTGATACACCATGCGTTAGGGGCTGGTTCACTGTGGTCTCTATAGAATCCAATACCCTATACATCAGGGGCTGGTACACTGTGACCTCTACAGAATTCGTGATACACCATGCGTTATGGGCTGGTTCACTGTGGTCTCTATAGAATCCAATACCCTATACATCAGGGGCTGGTACACTGTGACCTCTACAGAATTCGTGATACACCATGCGTTAGGGGCTGGTACACTGTATGGTCTCTACAGAATCCAATATCCAGGGGCTGGTACATTGTGACCTTACCAGAACCCCAGATAACCCATGTGTTAGCTGGGCTGTAACACTGTAGTCTCTACAGAGTCCCTGATACTTATCAGGGGATGGTACACTAGTGCTTCTAAAGAATTTGATGCCCTATACATCAGAGGCTGGTACACTGTATGGTCTCTACAGAATTTGTGATATACCATGCATTAGGGGCTGGTACACTGACCTCTACAGAATACCTGATATGCCATACATCAGAGGCTGGTACACTAACCTCTACAGAATACCTGATATGTCATACATCAGGGTCTGGTACACTGTGACCTTTACAGGATCTCTGATCATAATCCATACATCAGGGGTTGGTACACTGTAACCTCTACAGAATACCTGATATGTGATACATCATAGTCTGGTACAATGTGACCTCTACAGAATACCTGATATGCCATACATCAGGGGTTGGTACACTGTGACCTCTACAGAATCATGCCCCATACACCAGCAACTGGAACACTTTATCATCACTTTCCCAAACTGACATAATCAAATGCTTTTAAAAGTCTTATTATCACTGTCAAATTTAAACATCATTATAAGTTAAAAAGTCCTAATGATTTTGTTTAAATCAAGATTAAAAAAACATCAGAGCTACTGTCTGATCATGGAAAATAAATCATTTTTTTGACTGATAATTAGTATTTAAGTATCCATCGATCATTACAATGTACATAATGTCCGAGTCAAAAGACTAGAAAACCTGATGGCTAATTACAAAATTGTTTGCTATATATATCTGTAGAGTGAGGATAACAGGCTTGGAGATTTATACTATTGCCATAAGTCCACCATCTGTTCCTTCCGTAAATCATTTTACAGGTATAGCACAATGTAGTTTTTAAACAGATCCTGCAGTGTAAGGCACAGCTAGTGTAATCAGAATTGCAGGGTTGGAACCAGTTTTCTATAGCATTGGTTCTTTCTTCATGAATTAATAAAAAAGTCATGGCACAAAATGCCGGGGATACAAAAAATCAGTTTTAAGTTTAGATTGAAAATTTAGGTAACAGAAGTTCAGATTTTTAAAAAGTCCTAATTGTGTCTTTTTACGTTTCTAAATAATGTTATTTTTCTGTCAATATAATGTTTATTTCTTCATTTTCCAGCAGTGCAATTTTATAATCTGGGATTTTGTTTTTGTTATCTCCCTTGAAGACATTAATCAATACCCGATAATACATAATAATAGTAGTATGAATCATTATACAATTATATCTCCACATAGCAATCATTACAATGATATCTGTTTGATCGTAAATCTTCTGGAATGAAGGCTGGTAGTATTTATAGAAAATTTAACAAGGCGAGCATATTTTTCGTTAAAAATGTATTGTAATATTATATCAAGCTTTATTTATATGTGTATATCACTTATATTGAAGAATCTCATGTAAGCTCATTTTAGCAAATTTAAACGAGAAACATACATGTATAAACTTGGATAAATATCTTTAACTTTGAATTTACATTGTCAGCAATATTAATGTAAACACAAACATTAGCTTAAATGTGAAAACAAACAAAACAAATTATGTAAATTACATATATAATCATTACATTCTTGAAAACATATTATGAATGTATCAATGTTGTAACTTTGTGAAGCACATGTAATTTCTATTTGTAAGGTAAACATGATGATTTGTTTACACAATATTAGCACAGTGATTTACCATTGACTTATAATGTAAGGTATAATTTATCAAAACATAGTAATGAGGTAATCAAATATTTCTTATGATTTTCTCAGGAAGTTGTTTATACCAAATCATCTTAAGAAAATAAAGAACAAAAATTACTTTTTTTTGGTGTAAGTAATGTATTTTAGAATACATTGGCATATATTTAGTCTTCTTTGATGTATTCCAACAAATTGAAAACCCTTTTGTGTATAGATTATAGGTAAAAGTACTAATATTAGAAGCAAATGACTGTAGAAATGTTTCTGTATTTCTGAACAGATAACTAGGTAGGTGTTTATTGGTGTTGAGAATGTGAACTTAATGAGGGGGAATGGTCATAGGTACTTATATATAGCTATATAGACTGAAGGAAAACTCATAAAGCCCACACACTACAACTGTAAACAGCAAATTGACAAGTCCCTGTAGAATAACACATGTGGCAGTCATTAGTCTCTCAACAGAAATCTCTATTTTCACCTTATCTGTCATCATCTAGGAGTATATTTAACAGTACATTTATTTCTTGGACACCTGACTACTATGCTCTTATTTTGTGCAACACTGAGAGATTTTCTAAAATCAAGGTCCTTTCTGTGTTTGCAGCAATATGGCTAATAAAAGATTATGCATTGTATGCATTGCAAGCATCTGCGTGATGCTGAACCTAACCTGGGTTTGGTATAGCTGGAGAATGTGTTTACCTGGACTATTTATAGAAATTAATGGTGTTCATGTGTAAATTATAGAGATGTATCAGTTACAGAAACTGGCTCTTAGAAATTTCAACCAAATCAACATTGGTTCCTAGTCTAATACAATCAGCAGACTTTCAAACAACCAATCTTCATAGGCTTGGCACCTAGTCTGATACAGTGACCCTTCAAACACACGGTACCTAGTCTGATACAGTGAACCTTCAAACACACGGTACCTAGTCTGATACAGTGAACCTTCAAACACACGGTACCTAGTCTGGTACAGTGAACCTTCAAACACACGTACTTAGTCTGATACAGTGAACCTTCAAACACACAGTACTTAGTCTGATACAGTGAACCTTCAAACACACGGTACCTAGTCTGATACAGTGAACCTTCAAACACACAGTACCTAGTCTGACACAGTGAACCTTCAAACACACGGTACCTAGTCTGATACAGTGAACCTTCAAACACACGGTACCTAGTCTGATACAGTGAACCTTCAAACACACAGTACCTAGTCTGATACAAACTGAACCTTCAGACACACCGTACCTAGTCGGATACAAACTGAACCTTCAAACACACAGTACCTAGTCTGATACAAACAGTCAGCCTTCAAACACACAGTACTTAGTCTGATACAGTCAACCTTCACACACTTGGTACCTAGTCTGATATAAATAGCCAACCTTCATACACTTTGGTTCCAAGTATGATACAAACAAATGACCTTCAGGCACTGACCTTCATATGCATGGTACCTATTGAGATACACTTGGTTCTTAGTCTGATACACACAGCTGAGCTTAAGTCAGACAATGACCTTCATACCTCTGTTCCTAGTGTAATAAAAAAAAACAGGCGACCTAGTCAGATGCTGACCTTCATGCACTTGGTATAGTCAGATAAAAACATTGGCCCTTCAGACACCATTATGATCTATTAACACCGATACCTTCCTTCATAATCAGACCCTAAGATATGAATTCTGATCATGACCTTGACATTCAAGTGGAGACAAGAAGGTACATTGACCTTTTTGAAGGTCATATCTCCCTCGTATTGTTAATTCCCTTTATCTAACTCATTTTAGATTACTATAGGGTTGTGTTCTAAAGGCTATGAACTCTTTTGAGAAAATTCTGGATGTACAGTATATAAACAAATCATGTCTCTGACCTTCCACTCAATAGTACTACTTTATCCCTTCCTCCTACGGACCCACCAAACATACACCTACCTAATTGCTAGCTACACACCAGACTGTAGGTGTATGTATGTGTGCTGTAATCGGATGCCTTGCCATGTATGGCCACAGGTGCTGCACAATTTGTATTTGTATTGCTCTACACCACTGCAATGTGTACACAACAAGCTACTGTGGAGCTCTGTCAACATGTGTTATAGAGATGTAGCTCAAGGAAGGATTGCTTGCTTAACAGCTCCCTTTGGTGGTGAATAGGGACATAAATATACCAATTACACCTTGGCATTTGTTAATTACATCATTTGTCATAATTTGTTTTCTTTCAAAAAAATCCACTGAGCCATAAGATATATACTTTTTTGACATCGAAGGTGGTGAAATGGATGGCTCACATGGTTTTAGTTCAGTGACCTTGACCTGTTGTCAAGTAGACAGTTGTCAAAAAAACAAACAGTTACTACTCTTATAGAACTAGAGACTATAGAGATGTGTCATGAAAGTGCAAAGCATGCAACATAATTAGATTTTTGCAACTAAATGACCTTGACCCACATGCAAGGTCAGAGGTCAAACTTTTTTTTTTTAAAAAACCAAGAAAACTAGCACAAAACTGATGTCAAGGCTACAGTACCTATGAGCCAGTATAAATTGTCACAGTTTTAAAATCTGTTTTCAACCTCTGACAACCCCGACTCATTTTTTAAAATTCATTTCCAGTATTAATCACAGAAATAAAGTTCAGAGTAAAATCAGAGGAGTAATACATGTACTTTAAACTTCAACTGTTCTCGTGAATTCTAGCATAAGTACACTTGTACAAGAATGTAATGAAATTGAAGAGTTATCATTTATTTCATCTGAAACAGTATTCATTCAATTACAATACACATCATTTCAGCAAAAGACCTCCTCATGCAGCCTTTAAAAGTATTGCTGTGTTTTTATTAGTAATCCCTTGATGGATACAATATTGATCAAATTGTTGTATAGCTTTAGCTACAGACCCATAAATATAACAGTACACAGACTTTATCAGTTTCATAGATATCTACCTTCATGAAATTTACGTCCATGCAGTATACACATGTTACTAATTAAACTTAATAACATCAATATAGATTCTTTGATAAAGTAATTCACTGTACACATTTTACAATATTAATCACACGAGACACTCGAGTACATGAAATTTCAAATTGATAGTCTATCGAAAACTTGACACGAACCAGTAATGCTAAGATGAGAATAATTTGATAAAACCAAAAGATAATTACTTAATGGGCTGAAGAGGATTAGTTGTTTTCCATGCATGATGACCAGTCTATCAGGTTGTATATATAAAGATATATTTACCACCATTACTGTCCTTTGATAGTAGATATTTGCATCAATATTTGACTTTGCTGCCTTCAGAAAGTAGATACAACACAAAGATCTTGTGTTGCTTGTCTCACTATATCATATCAGTGAACAGCTTCAACGGTTTTTATTCAAGTAAAAAAACTCTGGAAATATAAAAAAATTGGAACCGACAACAGACTAAAGTCACCCTCTAGCATCAAAACACTTTATGTACTTATTAACATTAAACCCATGCCTTATGCATATTGCAGTTCCAAATACATTTTTCAGTGTCCTTTAATAAGCCCACTCCTGACTTTGAGTCAGTGATAATTGGGTAAATACGGTATTAAATATTCTATGCTTTGATTAATTAACATGTATGTTTGTATAGGAAATAAAACCTCTGGAAATTCTGTATATTTCAGGGAAGAAGAGGCCATACAATTGGATGGGTTGAATGTGGCACAGATGAAAGAGCTTCGTGAGAAGGCCGAGAAACATGCATTCCAGGCAGAGGTTAACAGAATGATGAAACTCATCATTAACTCTCTGTACAAGAATAAGGAGGTAAAAAAATATACAGTTCTTATACAACATTTATCATCTTTACTTTTTTGCATTATTCTAAAAATAGTGGAGTGGTCTTATCAAGTGCCTGAAGTTTTACTAAACTATCATTATTTCCTCTTAAGTCCTCAATTAATGCGAACACTAAGTACAAACCTTCTCAAAGGACTAAACATCAAAAAATAAAAAGGTGATTTAGATTTTGATAATAGTATAGTTTCATTTTCAAAAGAAAATTTTTTATGTTTACTATAAAAGCAACTTAAATAGCAATGAAATTGACCTTTTATTTTGCAGATTTTCCTCAGGGAATTGATTTCCAATGCCTCCGATGCTTTGGATAAGATTCGATTTATGAGTCTTACAGACAAAGATGCTTTGTCTGCTACAGAGGAACTCAGTATCAAAATTAAGGTAGGTCCAGATATCTTGTTAGTATAAGTCAATTGTATTTATAATTTTGCTTTTATGTTTCAGTATGAAATATTTCTGTTAAGTCTCCTGATTTGTCTTTCCCAATATTACTGAATGTTTGTTTCAGTAGAGATTATTGCATTTCACAAAATATATGCTTTATATTTGATCAGTATAAACTTAAACATGTATGGTACTATTTTGTGACCTGTGTCCATTGCCCAAAAGAGTTCCATACAAATGATTGTTATCACTCATTCTTTAAGAAATTGATTTGAATAGTCAGTTAATTGATGGCATACATGAATAATTGACAAGGTATTAATTAGAAAATATTAAGGGAGATAACTCTTAGCAGAAATGTGAACTTTTAATATGTAAGGTACCTTACATCCTTAATATAAAAATAAGGTGTAGTGATTTACTGTTGCTGAGCAACTTTAATAGCATCAGTGTCATGTTCTACTTGTAGATATACTGGGGAAATGTAATTCTTTGTGTTAGAAATGATACTTGTGGTAGTGCCAAGCATCCACTTCCCTGTAATGTATAGGGGAATTGCAGATATAAAATCTGGAAAACAGAAACTGTGAGTGGGAAGATGTACAGCATACGTAAACACTAGTATGTGCTTATAAATAGAATGTGTTGGGTTGTGGTCCGAATCACATTAATGCTTGAATAGGATGGTGTATCCAAACTGTTCTCTTGAAACAAATTCTGATTTTCTTTGATAGTGCCTCAATGTTAAATTTTTGATTTGTTTTGTGTAGATTAGAATTATTCAACATTCAACAGGATTAATACTCTGGTAATACTGTTAGTTTTCTTTCTATCATTGAATGTTTTGGTTTCATTAAAAAAAAAAAGAAAAAATTAAAAAACAAAACATTTTTATGCAAATCTAAGTTAGATGGTAGAAATGTGATTTTCAGCTCTTGACTATTATGTTTCATTGTATGTGTGAAGTTTATGAAAAATATGTTTTAAAAGCAAGAAAAACAGTTAAACATTTCTTGTTTGTTTGGATAACTTGTGTAAAACATTACTTATTCTGTCCCTAATCAACATACTGGCTAGTTTCCATATCACCTTAGCTGTTAATATCATATAAAACAACTTTTTTCCATATTACTGTGGCAGTATTTGAAAGATTGAGAAATTCTTGCGATGCACAATCATTGAATACATAAACTACCTGTAGATGAGAACAATTATTGATTGGGTACTTCTTTGATGTTTTCATTAAAGTCAGTAATTGTTACTATCGGGCATCTAACACTCTAATCTAAAATCAAAAACCACCTGATTTAAGAGACCACATTTCATGTCTCTTATTGTAGCTATTTCACTGACAACTGAACCTGTATTAGAGAACACTTGGGTTAAGAGACCACATTTCATGTCTCTTATTGTAGCTATTTCACTGATAACTGAACCTGTATTAGAGAACACTTGGGTTAAGAGACCACATTTCATGTCTCTTATTTTAGCTATTTCACTGACAACTAAACCTGTATTAGAGAACACCTGGGTTAAGAGACCACATTTCATGTCTCTTATTTTAGCTATTTCACTGACAACTGAACCTGTATTAGAGAACACCTGGGTTAAGAGACCACATTTCATGTCTCTTATTGTAGCTATTTCACTGACAACTGAACCTGTATTAGAGAACACCTGGGTTAAGAGACCACATTTCATGTCTCTTATTGTAGCTATTTCACTGACAACTAAACCTGTATTAGAGAACACCTGGGTTAAGAGACCACATTTCATGTCTCTTATTTTAGCTATTTCACTGACAACTGAACCTGTATTAGAGAACACCTGGGTTAAGAGACCACATTTCATGTCTCTTATGGTAGCTATTTCACTGACAACTAAACCTGTATTAGAGAACACCTGGGTTAAGAGACCACATTTCATGTCTCTTATTTTAGCTATTTCACTGACAACTGAACCTGTATTAGAGAACACCTGGGTTAAGAGACCACATTTCATGTCTCTTATGGTAGCTATTTCATTGTCAACTGAACCTGTATTAGAGACCACCTGGGTTAAGAGACCTCTTATTGAGATTGGTCTCTTGAAACAGGTTTAACACAGTAATCATGTATAATCCTTTATAAACTTTTGCCAGATTTCTATATATTTAAAATTAATGGTGTTTGACCTTCACCTGTAACTTTTGACCTTGCAGATAGACAAAGACAATCATGTCCTCCATGTAACAGATACTGGTATTGGTATGACGAAAGCTGATCTTGTAAACAACCTTGGAACCATTGCCAAATCTGGTACCAGCGAGTTCTTAAAACATCTCGGGGAGGCCTCATCGGCAACTGAGATGAACGATCTCATTGGACAATTTGGTGTGGGATTCTACTCTTCTTTCCTTGGTAAGTCTCACTTTTCAATACATCGGTCATTAAATTCTCATGTTCCTTGTTAATTTTCTGTCAATTTTGACTTTCTACATCAACAGAAAGAAAAAATAGTGAATGATTAATGTAAAATCCTGTAAGCATATTTATTTTGAAGCCTTGAAATTTAGACATAACGTAACCCTTTTTTTTTAACTCGCATGGTCCTAACAAATATGACTGATATATATTTTGAATGTTCATTATAGCATTTCATTCAGAAAATACAGATATTACTTATTATTTCATGAAAAATATTGTAGCAATGTGGTTTTTGAATTTTTCTTTTATTTATGGTTATTATTGTAAATTTTATTTAGTTGCTGACCGTATCATTGTCACTTCCAAACATAATGACGATGACCAACACATTTGGGAATCTGACTCTGAGTCATTCTCCGTCACCAAGGACCCTCGCGGAAACACACTTGCACGTGGTACTACGATTACTCTTCACATGAAGGAGGAGGCAAATGATTTCTTGGAGGAATCCACCTTGAAAGATCTCATCCGCAAATACAGCCAGTTCATCAACTTCAACATCTACCTATGGACCAGCAAGACCGAGGAGGTTGAAGAACCCATTGATGAGGAGGAGGCTAAAGAAGAGGCTGCAGAGGAGGACAAAGATGAAGAAAAAGATGAAGATGAGGATGATGATGAAGGAAAGGTAGAAGAAGAAAAGGATGAAGAGAAGCCAAAGACAAAGAAAGTTTCGAAGACTGTGTGGGATTGGGAACTGATGAACAGTGTTAAGCCCATCTGGACCAGGAAGTAAGTACTATAGAGCATTTAGATAAAGGGAAGTATTGGGGAGCAATCAGTAATTGGAAAGTATCTGGGAGCAGTCAGTTATTGGAAAGAAGTCAGTCTGGTTAATATTTAAAGGATTTGTCTTCAAAAGAGCTTGGCTTTTGTGACAACAGGAGTGAATAATGAAAAGAATTCTTTTCGTTATCTCAAGATATGAATTATAATTTTGGTTGCAAGATGAATTGAATGGTTCAGTTCTGCTTCATTTTTTGTTTGCATGAGGGTTAAAAATTATGGACAGTATTACAAATCCTTTTCCGCTTTAAGCTTTGTCAGACCCCTTTCTAATTTAACAATTTATTGATTAAGCTTCATGAAAACATTTTCCCTAGACCATCATTGTAAGACTACTAATGCTAGTAGAACATATAATTTCTAACAAAATAGGTACTTCATGATATCATTGTCATCATATTTACTTTCAGATCTGCCGATATCACAGATGACGAATATACAGAATTTTACAAGTCCATCAGTAAAGATCATGATGATCCATTGGCCAAAGTCCACTTCACTGCTGAGGGCGAAGTCACCTTCAAGTCCATTCTCTATGTACCAAAAACAGCTGCTCCCGACTTGTTCCAGAACTATGGCAAAAGCACTGACCACATCAAGGTCAGTTTTAAATACATCTTCAATTTGTCATCTTATTAAATCTGTCAGAGTAAACTTCAATTTTTGACCAGTTTGACAAACTGAGAAAATCACTTATTTTTTCCTGTCCAAAAAAGGTTAACACTTTTTCTGAGCCAAAATGCAATTGTTTTTATCATGTTTTTCAACTGTCTAAGATTTTAGTCTGATGTATGTACCAAGGAACACTGTGTTGTTTATGTTGTGCACTATTGGCATTGTAGATGTATGTAAGAAGAGTATTCATCACTGATGATTTTGAAGACATGATGCCCAAATACTTATCATTTGTGAGGGGTGTGGTAAGTATGGTTATCTGCAAGTTTTACTTTATCTTAGTTCACAACAAAATATAGAAAGAATTTTAATTTTTAAAAGTCTGTTAAAAACAGATTTGAAGTCTGGCCATGAAAAAATGTTAAAGAAAAAAATAAAATAAAAAAATGGTATAAGATTGTGTAGAAAATTATTCAGCCCCACACTGTCCGCCACATTGTTATTCAAAGACTTTGAAATATTTTCCAAACACAGTTACATAATATGTATGAGTCGTATTAGAGCTGTTGAAGACAGTCTGAATACACATGTAATGTTTCAGTTTGAAATATCAGAGATGATATGTCAATAAAATTGTTAGACATCACTGGTAGTTTTTGTTGTTATAAACAGTCATGTGCACTTTCTGCTGTACTTCCAACAGGTTGACTCTGATGACCTTCCATTAAATGTATCCCGTGAGACCCTACAACAACACAAACTCCTCAAGGTTATCAAGAAGAAACTAGTCAGAAAGACGCTCGACATGATCAAGAAAATCGATAAAGATGATTATGAAAAGTTCTGGAAAGAATACAGCACCAGGTCAGTTTACTCCACAAGTCAAAGTCAAATAAAAAAATAGTTTCCTAAGAAATAAATTCTAGATAAAGAATAAATGAATGCCTAAGAGTGCTTGAAAACGAATATTGAAGCTGTATAGAAGTAGTTCATCATGGACTGAAAGATAACTTGGTACCTATGTACTTTAATGGTTATATGTACATGGTTTTTTTTGGTTATGTTAGATTCAGTATTTATGCCTGTGCGATTTTATGGACAAAGGCATGTAATGTTAAAACTTGTCTGTCATTATTTTGTTTCCTCTCCTTTACTATTTAATCCATATAGATAATTGTTTACTTTAGTATATATAGCTGGATAATGATTTTGTGGTCAAGTTCTGATTTGTTTGTGATCAGTTATTTTTTATATAGTCATGACCATTGAACCATTTTATGGATACAGTAAGACAAAAATTGAGCCTTGCCCAGCTCCAGTGCGAATTAAAAAAAAAGTTTCAGATTCTTCACCATATTTTATGTACTGAGTACACCTCCTAATAAAACCTGAGAGAAGAGAAGAACTAAAGTTTTCCTCTTTGTCTTTCTGTCGGACGTCAGCAACACTCGTTACACTAAAAAGTTCCAAAATGATTGTGGTAGGGTGCATTTGTCTCCCTCGGACATATGTAGTCTTCTAAATGATCTGTACATATGTCTTGGTGATGATGACCGTATGTTGTACATTGGTTATATTGTTTTGATTTGTGTTTATAGCATCAAACTTGGAGTCATTGAGGATCACTCCAACAGAACTCGTCTGGCCAAGCTTCTGAGATTTGCTTCCTCCAACTCTGAAACTGAAAATACAAGTCTGGCTGACTATCTGGAGAGAATGAAAGAAAAACAGGAATCTATTTACTTCATGGCAGGAACAAGCAGGAAAGAGGTAAGAGAAAAGATCAGGTGCAGGTTATGGTTTCTAGACTAATGTTTATGACAATTCAATCTTATTGAGGTCAAAGTCATGTATGTTTCCCCATGGTCCCTTGTTGTGCCCATTTGATTTTGGCTTTAATCAGGAAAAAAATGGCTACCAGGTGACCATTTTGGATTTGGCAGATAAAGATTGTCATCGTTATTTCTGCAAAGGAATGTTCAAATTTCTTATCATTAAGAGCAAAAACAGAGAAGAGAAATGAAAGGGAACAGATCCAACTTTCATAGATCAAATAAAGATCAAACAATGGTGGGTGCCCTCAGTGATCTCTTGTTACTTTATGCAGAATACTCTTGCATGGGGATAAACTCTTGAAGCCTGCAGCTTTGAGAAATATTCAGTTTAAGCTTCTTTTCCAGTGTTTCAGACATAGATTTCTAGTAATTCATGCAAACTCTATCTTAAGTTTGATGTAAGGATTTATCTTTATAAATCTTTTTATTGAAGAATTCTGCAGCTGTTGTGTCAATTTGTATAATAATTCAATGGTTTGTCCAACAGCTTGAACAGTCTCCATTTGTTGAAAGACTTTTGAAGAAGGGATATGAAGTCCTCTACCTTATTGAGCCCGTTGATGAGTATTGCATACAGTCTTTGCCTGAATTTGACGGCAAGAAATTCCAGAATGTCGCCAAGGAGGGTCTGAAACTCGATGGGGATAGCGAGAAGGCAAAGGAAACTAAAGATGAACTCCAGAAGGAGTATGAACCTTTGACCACCTGGCTGAAGGATGAGGGACTCAAGGACTTAATCGAGAAGGCTACCATCTCTGAGAGATTGAGCCAGTCACCATGTGCACTTGTTGCTAGCCAGTACGGCTGGTCAGGTAACATGGAGAGGATCATGAAATCTCAGGCATATGCCAAAGCCAAGGATCCAACTTCTGAGTGAGTAACTTTTCATTAGTCTTTTTTTTTATAATAGATGTTCAGATAAAAAAGAAAAAAAGAAGGAAAAAAATTAATTCATTTCTGTTAAAAATCTTTCAGATTTACGAGATTTTATATATAAATGTTTGACACATAGATGTTCTACACTGGGTTACAGAATTTTAAGAATTCTAAATGAGAGCTGCAATGAACTGGTGTTATTTTCCTGACAGGTACTATGCAACACAGAAGAAAACCCTGGAAATCAATCCTGGCCATCCCCTCATCAAAGACCTTAAGGCTAAAGTGGAAGCTGAGGATGCTGGGGCTAAAGATCTTGCTCTAATTCTGTATGATACTGCCACTCTCCGCTCTGGTTTCGCCATCAAGGACTCTGCAACATTTGCCCAAAGAATTGAGGCAATGTTGAGAACATCTCTGGACATTCCAATGGATGCTGCGGTAAAATATATTTTTAACTTTCTTCCAATTTTTCCATTGAATGTTTCTATTAGTGTGCATTAACAATTCTTCCTTTGTAAATAATTTTGGTGATGGATCAAAAGAAAAATGAAAAAGAATTGGTACTTGGGATAAGGGAACGTAGAATATTGAATTTTATAGGCAAAAGGAAATTGGAAGTGAAGCAAGGGGATCTGTATTGAACTTTTACAGAATAGATGCATTTATTTCGTTAAAATTACAATGATATTGCAATCCTTAGACAATTATTTCTTTTGAAAGACCAATATAAGAATAGTAACAGATATGTTAAGACATTCTCTCCACCATACTGACTATATGTTGTTGTCTTCCAGGTGGATGAGTTGCCAGATTTTGAAGAAGAGGCTGCTGCTGAAGATGAAGAAACAGAAGAAGTGAGCAGTGAAGATGGAGATCAGGTAAGGCATGACCTGTAGTCTTGTCACCTCACAAATTACTTATAATAGGGTGTAACTTATACATAGGGAATAGAGACAGTTTACTAAAGAACAGGGTGTAATATACATGCAGGTAATGGGGACATTTTCCTAATAATCAGGGCCTGACACTCACAGAGGGAATATGGACAGTTTACTAGAGAACAAGGCGTAACATACTCATAGGGAATAGGGACAGTGTACTAGAGAACAAGGCATAACACATTCACAGGGAATAGGGACAGTTTACTACAGAACAGGGCGTAACACATTCACAGGGAATAGGGACAGTTTACTACAGAACAGGGCGTAACTTATATATATAAGGATATTTTACTAGAGAACAGGGTGCAATACACACAGAAAGAGACCAAACTCTTGATACACAACATAATAGGGACCAAAGCTATAATACAAAACAGGATAGGGACCAAAGTCAGAATACACAACAGGATAGGGACCAAAGTCCAAACACAACAGATTAGGGCCCAAAGTCCTAATTCACAACAGAATAGGGACCAAAGTCTGAATACACAACAGATTAGGGCCCAAAGTCCGAATACACAACAGATTAGGGCCCAAAGTCCGAAAACACAACAGATTAGGGCCCAAAGTCCGAAAACACAACAGATTAGGGCCCAAAGTCTGAATACACAACAGATTAGGGCCCAAAGTCCGAATACACAACAGATTAGGGCCCAAAGTCCTAATACACAACAGATTAGGGCCCAAAGTCCTAATACACAACAGAATATGGACCAAAGTCCTAACATACATAACAGAATAGGGACCAAAGTCCGAATACACAACAGAATAGGGACCAAAGTCTTAACATACTTAACAGAATAGGATTATATTCTGAACACAAGAAATAGGGTCATTGCTCCTTATCTCTATGCGACAGAACTTTGAGCATGGCGATTATCAACACAGTAAATGAAAATGAATTTAAGAAAAACATGGCAAGGACAGAAACTCAACACAAATTTAAAGAATCAACGACTATGCAGCCATTTTGCATGGATTTTTTTACCTGTAAATTTGACGTGTGTGTTTTTGATATTTCCATCTCCCATCATACATATACCATGCTGCTTTGCCTGTTCAATTTGTGTTGACACCAAGTCAAATCGTTTGATTTGTGCTGGCCATGAAGGTCAAATGTTTGCTAGTTTGATGCATTTTGACCTTGAAATGACAAAGAAATTTTAAGGATTTTTTAACACTCTTGCATGATATTTTAGAATAGAGACAAATAAAAATCAGACAAAAAATGCATGTGTATGTGTAGAGTTTGATAACAGAATTTGAGTCTATGCACAAAATATGTTCCAGTGATTGCAAAATGCAATTATTAATATTAGGGAAAGAAGAAAATACTCGCCCCGATGTATAGGGGTACTGCTAAATCATTGTGAAGGCAACCAGGCAAAGATATTACCATGGTGATGGGAGAGGAAATAACATTATACACAGGCGAAACAAAACCCTGTCCCCTACTCATGACTCATAATGGACTATTTCAAAATATTCCATTATGAAATCAGAGTAAGGACAATGTATATCTGAATGAAGTCAGTAAAAATGTTCCTTTATATTTGCGCAGTGTTTGTGATGATAAATTGCTAGGTATTAAATCTTGAGCATTGTAATAGAGGTATTTTTCAATAGCTTATTTAGATAGATTTACATATTAGGCTGAGTTTACATATTGGTTCAAGATTTGATAAATCATAGTCTATTTCAGAGAGATGGCTTTCTAGTTAACATGACACAAATCCACATATAGAAAACTTGACATCATGATAGATTTTACAGGCCCAACAGCACAGATATAGTCTAGATTAGAAATACTCAACGCACAAACAAAACAACATACAGATTACACATTGTGAGAGAAAATAGTGTATTTTGTGGAAACCCTAGTTTGGTACATGAAACTTAGAATTAACTTGGACAGAGTGCTAAAGGTATTCTGAATGCTTTGATCAAGTTTCAAAAGTGATATGCTGCCATGTCCAGAAGTAAGAAACAATCTGCTTACTATATAATTGTCATCCACAATGGATTGAAATTGGAAGTTTCCACAGCACCAAAAACCATAAGTGATGTTTTTCTCTTTTCCTTCCATTTCCAATACAGCGGTATTGGTTTTGTGCCATATTTTATCAGACAGATTAGACAGTTTGCAGAAACTACATTTTTTGTCGTAGGAAGTAACACCATACCCTTATAGTCACTCTGGTAGGCTAATGTAAGCAGACCTCACCAGTTGGACCTGTGTGTAATGTGCAGTTTCTCCTATCTCTCGTTTCAGAATGAAGAAGATGCAGAAGAAGAAAGACATGACGAGTTGTAACCACAAGATCAATTTAGAATAACTTATTTTTAGCGTGTAAAGATATTGGAAAGAAAACTAAAAAACTTTCTTCAAGAAATTGTCGAAATTTCTTTTAGTTTTGCAATAAGGTATCTTGTGTTTGATTCTCACCATGGAGTGAATGTCATGTTTGTGTTTACACGTCGATTGAAAGGAAGTTGTGATTGTACGAATGTATACATTGTCATTGTTCATGGGTGTGATTGAGATTTAATATGAAAGAAATACTATCATAAAAGTGCAGGTTTTCTTTTCAAAAAATTGAATTCCACTCTTTAATAGAATTATAAAGTATTTTTTTAATAACAAGAAGTATCCAGGTGTTGTGAATTAGATTGCAATTCAATGAGTGAACGAACAGCGCACATCTTAATAATCGGTTCATATCTCAGTGCTTTAAACTGCTTTAACTCATAAAAATTGTGATAACCTACTTAAATACCAGGTAGTAAATGTTGTCCTGAGGACATGCTTGTTGTTATCTTGAATGGGCACAATAAAGTATATGAATTTAATTCCGTCAACTCACCTTGAAATATGCATCATTGCATGTGTCTGTATTATTAACCGTTGTCGGACAAAATGTTTTTTCATATGATGCTGAAGTGATAATGTACCAGAGGTTGTTTTATACAGAAAAGCAAAGGAACCAATTAGAATGTCATTCCATGTTAGGGCATCATTATAGGACTCTGTTAGGTATACGATTGTGTTTTGGAAACACCAGCCATTTTGTGCTAGCATTTTGTTTGGAGTTATTGGCCGTTTATGGTCTCCAGAAATTATGTTCACATTTTGTAATAAAATGTTTCTTTCTTTTATGTATTGTTTTGTGTTGAATTTCATCCACATTTTCATAATTCCTGCATGTGTTTTTTTGCCAGAAGAGTTTTGCACTTTTTAAAGAATGAGTTTGGTGGATCCTTATCTCCTCACTGTAACAAAACATCTTTCTTCACTTTAGAAAAATGTTACGTCTCTCCTTAAATGTATATTTCATCTTTTGCCTCTTCAGTTATCATTTGAAGAGTTTTAACTTTTGAAATAATTGAATGAGTGTTTAAAATTGCAACTGTTCGCAAATAGTTTTGTGACTTTTGGATCTACTCATTCAAACAAACATACCATTATTAAGAGGCAAGATAAAACAAAAGTGATTTACTTATCGAGAACAATTTTACTTACCAGCGATTTAGTGCAACTTTGACTTTGAACCAAGAATCAATAATTGATTTGTTATGATACTTCGATGGGTGAAACCAAAATGGATCAGAAGGATGTTATGGCTCATACATCAGCGAGTCCCAAAGTCATCATTCTCATTGAAACCAGAAAGAAAATAATGTACAGAAATCATCAGATAAAACCTGTTGCTTAAGGACAACGTTTTCAAGCCTCCTGCAACTTAGTTCATCACCAGTTGTCAGGTCTTGACTGGGATGGAGTAGAATCTATTCATTGTTCTGGTGTCAATAATAATCCCTGGGGACTATTTAATCAAATTTATCAGTATTTTGATAATTTTAGAAAAAAAAAATAAAAAACTTGATATATTTTATAGATTGTACATATGACACACTAGTGAATAGTACCTCCTGATATAAATTTATATTTAGACAATGATTCAAACTCCATCATACAGCTGTGATGTTGAGGACCTTAATTTTGAAACTCAATAGGTGACCTAGGCAAGAAATGCCAAAATATAAACGGGAGAGTGCAATAGTCCCACTAGCCCCATGATAAATTTCCTAACTTTCGTATATCTAACAATTTCTTCAGAACATAAGTGCATTTAGATGAATTTTAATGGCATGAAGGTTACGGAAAACGTCAGGGACCAACATTGTCTACTACCAGCAATTTCAATGATTGTACAAAAAACGCATAAGTGAACAGCACATTTTGATAAAAGAATAGAATCCGATACAGTAGAGTCAAATAATGAATGAAACTGCATCATTAAGCTGTTTCATCCTTATAGACTCGTCGGTGACGCAAAGGGTCTCAAATACCAAAATGGCCGAAAGAAATGTCAAAAATTATATATTGTTCACTTTATATGCAATACCTCGATTTCTGATGACCTTTTCAATTCTATATTTATAAAAAAAAGTCTCTTTGGTTAGAGTATGATGATCAGTTCACATTCACCGAGATTGCTTCCTGTGTTGTTAACTTTTTGTGAGAGTACTGCTCCCTTCCTACACACGTACGTCTCCGGATAGTACGAGAGTATGGTTATGTATAAAACATTTGTTCATAGCCATATTATTGTATATACTGGACATATTTATCATCAACATCGACTATAAATAAAGTAAACGATTGACTGATTTCAATATACATGGCTTGATACCCAGTGTAAACAACAGCGTTATTGCTATTCCTTGACAAAATCTAAAACAATGTTAACATGAGACCTATTAAAAAGCACACTTTCTCAAAAAAAAAAAAACTTTTATAAGGGCAAAGCGTCATCTGCTACATCCCAGATGCCTACTAAAGTCCTCGTTTTCGCGGAGGGAAAAGAGGAAGTGACGTTGCAATATGATTTAGTGAGTGATCCAGTTTTATTTGTATTTTATTTGTAAAATATTGCTTTCTGTTCCTTGTAGATAACTGTTAAAACATTGAATTTCAACAAAAGTCCCATGTGACTGAAAGGCAGTTGATCTTCCGCTGGTTGAAGGAGAATTTCATGATCTCATCGGATGATATGTTATTTCGATGTCTGGTAGTATGTCTGGTGTTCTCGCGGTTGTTGTAAATCGTCTCAATCGAGAATGTACCATTTAATAACTCAAATGGGCTTATCAAGTTTTACATGATGGATATCCAGAACACATGACTTTTTCTTGTAGTTTATAACGGGTCTCTGAGTTAATCTTATAGAACGACTGAGTAATAGCTAATATTTGACGTGTATAGACAAATCCTCTCTCCCACTTTCGATATTTGCTGAAATATAACATCTATTCAAGATATTTTAGAACGTGAAAATAACAGGGTTTTTTAAAAATATTTATTTCTATAGAATCCACAAGGGGCTGACTCGATAAAAACTACAAGCATTGTGATGACTTCGTTTTCATAAAATGACATTCACATCATGGAAAATGTCGACATCTTTAATTTGAAGAAAGAACTTAACACGCAATAAGTTTAAGGTAGGAAATTATTGCTGAACACGCATTATATGATTTCGAAGAAATTGTGGATAACAAAGAAAAAAGAAGGGACTAAAATCGGTACGCCAAAATCATATCTTCCCATGAAGCAGTCTACATGGTAGCGAGGTTTATTTAGGATACATAAATTTCACAACACACATGTTCAGTTTATGTTATGGTAATGAAACAATGCATTTATCGTGGTGAATAGCACTTCTAAAGAAATTGTTAAATAATGAATGTGGTTCGGTATTATTTGCAATCAAGTTGGATTTTAAATGAAGCTTATTTTAAATTATTATAGATTTTAAAGGGATGTTTGAATATTAGTATTCATTACACGAGATAAATTTCGACATTATTTTCGAACTTACTGTATTAAATTCAAGTCAACTGAAGACAGAAGTACACGTGTATTGTCTTTGTCTGTACAAAAGACGTTCAAGAAAAAAACACATTTCAATACAAATTTAGAATAAGATATAGTATACACAATAAATTATAACAGTATCGGCTGTTTTGTCGTTCAAGGTTTCAACAGTAATGCCAAGGGGCTGTTGAAGTCTTAGAGACCCAAGATGTTTTTATTAAAGAGTCATACCGATCAATTGCAATAACAAAACCCATTGGCAATGATAGTTTAAAGGGAAATATATTGTTTATAAATTTTTATAAAGCTCAACACATGCATGATCCATTTTCAGCACGTTTTCCTTTTTTTCTGAAATGATTCATGATATTTTTAGTTGTATGAATGTTTTTGTAAGCGTTTTCCTTCTAACATTGAAACTAACTCCTCTCTATAACATATCATCATATCACTTTTACATGTAGACCACTGTTGTATATAACTTAAGATAAAATCTTAATGGGGTCTGTAGGAACATTTCCACTGCTTTTCCCTTGCGATTTGATGTCGAATTTTTTAAAAGCTGACAAGTGTTTTTACGTTGATAATTATGATTAAAAATAGGTGGAATGTGTAATTTGGGAACTTAGAATAACAAAACAAACAAACAAAAACTCCAAAAACAAAACTTTTGATTATCACTTTTGTAAGATTGAATATTTCATAAACTTTTCTCGGAGTGATCCTGGTTTAATTTCTTTAGGGTGCTTTCAGTCTAAGTGATATGCATAGCATATCTACATTGTAGGTATCTAGGTTTTCAGAGAAATCAATCGTATAGAAATTTACTACAAAATATTGGCGTTTTCAAAATTGAATTCAGTCTCTCAATCGTGAACAGAGATGAATTTGAAATGAGAAGGAAGAATTCACAGAACAGCGACCTGATCTTCACTTGGTTACATTCATTATAAGGCCACAAATGAATAGCATCTTTCATAACCAATTTAGAATTCTACACAGAATAGGTAAATAATGTATTAAGTGCGTCACACAGATGCTTCGTCCTTCAGGGACTTGGTGGAGCTAACGACCTAAATGGTCCCAGACAATGGGACATCATGTGGAAACTAGAATACATAGCTATAATATTCTTTGGATATCCTCTTTGTAAGTTTATATCGCCGAACAGCTAAAATGTATATCTTCAAAAAAAAACATTTTAAATGAAAGCTATATTGTACTTTTAAATTATACAAAAAAATTGTTTACTGTTCAAATTAAATTCTCTGTTTGACAAAGTAAGTTCACCAGACTTTGACAGGCCGGATTATCCGATAATTTTAGTCTAGAAATGAAAGAAATACATATATATTATCTTAACAGACAATGTGTAAACTTACAATCTCGAGATTATGTTATCTAAGGCTGTTTTTAGCAGTGATAATTTGTAACAACATCGAGAATGTTTAGACATATTTATCAAGACAACACACCACAGTCATCATGGATGGGTGAAATACATGAGCAAATTAAAAGTTATTACAGCAGGTGTAAAGAATGCAATTTTTCTAAACAAATTCAGAACTAGATACAGCGGAGCCAAATGATGAATTAAACTGCATCGTGCACGTGTTTCGTTCCTCTAGGACTCGTCAGTGATGCCATGATAGACATATAATATTTAAAACTAGGATATGACCGAGGAAAATCCAGTATATCTCGGTTAGCTAAGACCCACGGCCTGTTAGAGACTGTATTCGTTTTCTAATTACGCATGACGGCGCACCAAGTTATCCAGCTTATAATAGGCGTTTTTATCAATCTACGTAGTAGTAATTGCAAACATTCAAATTCTGTTTGAAGGAAAAAATAATAAATGATAATCTACATATAAAATATGGTTGACTTTTCTTCCAGGATACGTGTTCGAACTGCCACAGACGGAAATTATTGTGGTTTGGGCAAGATGCAGAAAAAGATAGCGACGGCGACGGAATACCAGACAGCGAAGACAATGACGACGATAATGATGGTATTCCAGATTCACAAGATAACGACGACGATGGAGACGGAAAACCAGACAGCGAGGAAGAATACTGTGACAAAGATGGAGGATGCAAAGGAATGAAAGATTCGGATGGCGATGGCATCCCAGATCATCTTGACGATGACGATGACGGAGATGGAATTCCGGACGACAAAGAAAAGGATACAGATGGTGATGGTATTCCAGATTATCTTGATGATGATGATGATGGCGACGGCATTCCAGATGACAAGGAACTTGACACGGATGGAGACGGCGTACCTGATTATCTAGACGATGACGATGATGGCGATGGAATACCAGATTATTTAGATGAAGATGACGATGGTGACGGAATACCTGATAACCTTGAAGATTCAGATGGTGATGGAATTCCTGATAGTCTTGATGACGACGATGACAATGATGGTATCCCTGATGACAAAGAAAAAGATACTGATGGGGACGGAATTCCTGATTATTTAGATGATGACGATGATGGCGATGGGATTCCAGATGACAAAGAAAAGGATACAGATGGAGACGGTATTCCCGATTATCTCGATGACGATGACGATAATGATGGAATCCCTGATCACTTAGATGACGACGATGACGGCGACGGAATCCCTGATGATCAAGAAGACAGCGATGGTGATGGTATTCCGGATCATTTAGATGATGACGATGATGGCGATGGTATTCCTGACGACAAGGAAAAGGATACTGATGGTGATGGTATTCCTGATTATCTCGATGATGATGATGACGGCGATGGCATTCCAGATCATTTAGACACCGACGACGACGGCGATGGAATTCCAGATAACCAAGAAGACAGTGATGGAGATGGAATACCAGATATTCTCGATAACGATGACGATGGCGATGGTATTCCAGATGATGAAGAAATTGATACCGATGGAGACGGCATTCCTGATCACTTAGACGACGATGACGACGGAGACGGTATTCCAGATAAAGAAGAAGATAGCGACGGTGATGGAATTCCTGATTACATCGACGACGATGACGATGGCGATGGAGTACCAGATGAAAAAGAAAAAGACACAGACGGTGACGGAATTCCCGATTATCTTGATGACGATGACGATAATGATGGCATTCCAGATCACTTAGATGATGACGATGATGGTGACGGTATTCCTGATAACCAAGAGGACAGTGATGGTGATGGAATTCCTGATTATCTTGATGATGACGACGATGGTGATGGTATTCCTGATGATAAGGAAAAGGATACAGATGGTGACGGAATTCCCGATTATCTCGATGATGATGACGATAATGATGGCATTCCAGATCACTTAGATGACGACGATGACGGCGACGGAATCCCTGATGATCAAGAAGACAGCGATGGTGATGGTATTCCGGATCATTTAGATGATGACGATGATGGTGATGGTATTCCTGACGACAAGGAAAAGGATACGGATGGTGACGGAATTCCCGATTATCTCGATGACGATGACGATAATGATGGAATCCCCGATCACTTAGATGACGACGATGACGGCGACGGAATCCCTGATGATCAAGAAGACAGCGATGGTGATGGTATTCCGGATCATTTAGATGATGACGATGATGGTGATGGTATTCCTGACGACAAGGAAAAGGATACGGATGGTGACGGAATTCCCGATTATCTCGATGACGATGACGATAATGATGGCATTCCAGATCACTTAGATGACGACGACGACGGCGACGGAATCCCTGATGATCAAGAAGACAGCGATGGTGATGGTATTCCGGATCATTTAGATGATGACGATGATGGTGATGGTATTCCTGACGACAAGGAAAAGGATACGGATGGTGACGGAATTCCCGATTATCTCGATGACGATGACGATAATGATGGCATTCCAGATCACTTAGATGACGACGATGACGGCGACGGAATCCCTGATGATCAAGAAGACAGCGATGGTGATGGTATTCCGGATCATTTAGATGATGACGATGATGGTGATGGTATTCCTGACGACAAGGAAAAGGATACGGATGGTGACGGAATTCCCGATTATCTCGATGACGATGACGATAATGATGGCATTCCAGATCACTTAGATGACGACGATGACGGCGACGGAATCCCTGATGATCAAGAAGACAGCGATGGTGATGGTATTCCGGATCATTTAGATGATGACGATGATGGTGATGGTATTCCTGACGACAAGGAAAAGGATACGGATGGTGACGGAATTCCCGATTATCTCGATGACGATGACGATAATGATGGCATTCCAGATCACTTAGATGACGACGATGACGGCGACGGAATCCCTGATGATCAAGAAGACAGCGATGGTGATGGTATTCCGGATCATTTAGATGATGACGATGATGGTGATGGTATTCCAGATGATAAAGAGAAGGATACGGACGGAGATGGTATACCCGATTATTTAGACGACGATGATGATGGCGATGGCATTCCAGATCATTTGGATGATGATGATGACGGAGATGGAATATCAGATGATAAGGAAAAAGACACAGATGGAGACGGCATCCCTGATTATCTCGATGACGATGATGATGGTGACGGTATCCCCGACCATTTAGACAAAGACGATGACGGAGATGGTATCCCAGACAATGAGGAAGACAGCGACGGTGATGGCATCCCTGATTATTTAGACGAAGACGACGATAATGATGGTATTCCTGATGATAAGGAAAAGGATACTGATGGAGATGGAATTCCAGACTACCTTGATGACGATGATGATGGTGATGGTATTCCGGATCATTTAGATGATGACGATGATGGTGATGGTATTCCTGATGATAAGGAAAAGGATACTGATGGAGATGGAATTCCAGACTACCTTGATGACGATGATGATGGTGATGGTATTCCCGACCATTTAGACAAAGATGACGACGGAGATGGAATTCCAGATGATCAAGAAGACAGCGATGGTGATGGTATTCCGGATCATTTAGATGATGACGATGATGGTGATGGTATTCCTGACGACAAGGAAAAGGATACAGATGGTGACGGAATTCCCGATTATCTCGATGACGATGACGATAATGATGGAATCCCCGATCACTTAGATGACGACGATGACGGCGACGGAATCCCTGATGATCAAGAAGACAGCGATGGTGATGGTATTCCGGATCATTTAGATGATGACGATGATGGTGATGGTATTCCTGACGACAAGGAAAAAGATACTGATGGTGACGGTATTCCCGACTATCTTGATGATGACGATGACGGCGATGGGATACCCGACCATTTGGATGACGATGATGACGGTGATGGCATTCCCGATAACCAGGAAGATAGTGATGGACGGCGATGGGATACCCGACCATTTGGATGACGATGATGACGGTGATGGCATTCCCGATAACCAGGAAGATAGTGATGGAGATGGAATCCCTGATTACCTAGACAACGACGATGATGGTGATGGTATTCCTGATGATCAGGAAAAGGACACAGATGGTGACGGAATTCCGGATTATCTGGATGATGATGACGATGGCGATGGCATACCTGACCATTTGGATGATGATGATGATGGTGATGGTATACCTGATGATAAGGAGAAGGATACTGATGGGGATGGTATTCCCGACTATCTTGATGATGATGATGATGGTGATGGAATTCCAGATCACCTGGATAATGATGATGATGGAGATGGCATTGATGATGACAAAGAAAAAGATACAGATGGCGATGGCATTCCAGATTATCTTGACGACGATGACGATGGAGACGGAGTTCAGGACCATCTAGATAAAGACGATGACGGTGATGGAATCCCTGATGAACAAGAAGATAGTGATGGAGATGGTATTCCTGATCACTTAGATGATGACGATGATGGAGATGGCATTACGGATGATAAAGACACAGATACTGATGGAGATGGTATTCCAGATTATATGGACGATGACGATGATGGTGATGGCATTCCAGATCACTTAGATAACGATGATGATGGAGATGGTATCGATGATGATAAAGAGAAGGATACAGATGGTGACGGAATACCAGATTATATTGATGATGACGATGATGGTGATGGCATCCCCGACCACTTAGATAATGACGACGATGGAGATGGTATACCTGATGATCAAGAAGACAGTGATGGTGATGGAATTCCTGATTATTTAGACGACGACGATGATAATGATGGCATTCCTGACGACAAAGAAAAAGATACTGACGGAGATGGTATACCAGATTATCTCGATGACGATGACGACAATGATGGAATTCCTGATCATTTTGATAACGATGACGATGGCGATGGTATTTCTGATGACCAAGAGAAAGACACAGATGGTGATGGTATTCCGGATTATCTTGATGATGACGATGATGGTGACGGTATTCCAGACGAGGAAGAGGATACTGATGGAGATGGTGTACCTGATCATTTGGACGATGATGATGATGGTGACGGTATTCCTGATGATAAAGAGAAGGATACAGATGGTGATGGCATACCAGATTATTTAGATGATGACGACGATAATGATGGCATCCCAGATCATTTGGACGATGATGATGATGGTGATGGTATTCCAGATGATAAAGAGAAGGATACGGACGGAGATGGTATACCCGATTATTTAGACGACGATGATGATGGCGATGGCATTCCAGATCATTTGGATGATGATGATGACGGAGATGGAATATCAGATGATAAGGAAAAAGACACAGATGGAGACGGCATTCCTGATTATCTCGATGACGATGATGATGGTGACGGTATCCCCGACCATTTAGACAAAGACGATGACGGAGATGGTATCCCAGACAATGAGGAAGACAGCGACGGTGATGGCATCCCTGATTATTTAGACGAAGACGACGATAATGATGGTATTCCTGATGATAAGGAAAAGGATACTGATGGAGATGGAATTCCTGATTACCTAGATGATGATGATGATGGTGATGGTATTCCCGACCATTTAGACAAAGATGACGACGGAGATGGAATTCCAGATAATCAAGAGGACAGTGATGGTGACGGAATACCTGACCATTTAGATGATGATGATGATGGCGATGGTATTCCAGACTATAAAGAAAAAGATACTGACGGAGACGGAATTCCAGACTACCTCGATGATGACGATGACGGCGATGGTATTCCTGATGAATTAGACGACGATGATGACGGTGATGGTATTCCTGATGATAAAGAAAAGGATACAGATGGAGACGGCATCCCTGATTATCTCGATGACGACGATGATGGTGACGGAATTCCCGACCATTTGGATGACGACGATGACGGAGATGGAATTCCAGATAATCAAGAAGACAGTGACGGTGATGGGATTCCTGACTATTTAGACGATGATGACGACAATGATGGTATTCCTGACGACAAGGAAAAAGATACAGATGGAGACGGCATCCCTGATTATCTCGATGACGATGATGATGGTGACGGAATTCCCGACCATTTGGACGACGATGCCGACGGAGATGGTATTCCAGACGACAAAGAAAAAGATACTGATGGTGATGGCATACCAGATTACTTAGACGACGACGATGATGGTGATGGAATTCCTGATAATTTAGACAACGACGATGACGGCGATGGAATTCCAGACAACCAGGAGGATAGTGATGGGGACGGTATTCCTGATCATCTAGATAATGATGATGACGGCGATGGTATACCAGATGATAAAGAAAAAGATACTGACGGAGACGGAATTCCTGATTACTTAGACGATGACGATGACGGCGATGGTATTCCTGACCACTTAGATGACGATGCTGATGGCGATGGAATTCCCGATGATAAAGAAATTGACAGCGATGGTGATGGTATCCCAGATTATCTAGACGATGATGATGATAATGACGGCATCCCTGATCATTTAGATTCCGATTCTGACGGAGATGGAATACCTAACTTTATGGAAAAAGACACAGATGGTGATGGTTTTACCGACTATTTGGATTTTGACGATGATAATGACGGAATACTAGATGCTTTTGACAACGACGATGATGGTGACGGAACTCTAGATGATGATGAGGACATGGATGGCGATGGTATTCCGGACTATTTAGATGCGGACGCTGATGGCGATGGATTTGCAGATAAGCTACCAGATTCTGACGGAGATGGAATCCCTGATCACGTGGATACGGATGCTGATGGTGATGGTGTTCCTGATAATCTTGCAGATTCAGATGGAGACGGTATCCCGGATATTCTGGACGATGATGATGACAATGATGGCATACCTGATGAATTAGACAATGACGATGATAATGATGGAATTCCAGATGATAAAGACTCTAAAAAGTGTGGTAAAAATGGATGCAAAGGAGTAAAGAAACCCGTAGACGATGAAGATGACGACGACGATGATGACGATGACAATGATGAGAAATCACAACAATCATTATTTTCAAAACTAGTAAGTGCAATTTCAGACTTAATTTTATCGAACGATAATGAAGAACAGAAATCCGAAAGCGTTCGAAATTTACCAAGTCCGTCCAGGAAGAAAGACCAAGGAAATACTAAAGATCACGAACAAGAAATTGACTTATTAGATTTATTTTTCGGTGTAGAAGAAGATGGAAAGGACAGTAGTGAAAATGATTCCAGTGATGATAAAAAACGATCTGTTGGAGCGTAACTCAGTTAGATTACTAGCTTACATACCTAAATAAATTTTATTTTGTCCTCTCTTAAATAATTGCAAAAGGATAAAGCAACTTTTTCGCTCAAGTAGCCCAACACTATGAAAAATGATATTCTGTTTATAAAATATGAAATAAGGAGTAATAGATTTGATCTCTATCTATATTGACAAAAATATATACAAGTATGAAAATGATGTAATTTTCGCTCGTCATAAAACATGTAAAAAATGAACAAAGTTGAAATTGATTTATCAGTATCTAAAGTGAAACGATATTTTATATTTATGATAATATTTTGAACATGTTATTATTGATTGTATGATGGATGATTTTTATTATTTATATATTGTTTAATGTTACTTGTATATGTATTACATAATCGCTACATTAGGTCGTATCATGTCTTACATAACTATCTCTTAATACAAATATATATAACTACACATCTTTAAATCTTTGATAGAATTTCACGAATATCATCATCAGGCCTGTGGATGTGTTAGAGCTGATTTAGAATGCAATAAAACTCCAGTTTCTAGTTTGTACGTCTAATTAATTAAACTTTTATTCTTTTCGTTTTGTTTATCATTAAACATAGTTCAATCAATTCTGAATTTCATATCAAAATATTTTTATGCAGGTTTTATTGGAAGGTTAGTTTATTTCTTATCCTATAAATACACACTTTTAAAGCGTGTAAAATTGTCCGTATGGCGAAAGTTATGTACAATTTTTATCTAGCTGTCATTTACTTTATATTCTTGATTGTTTCAGTAGACATAGGAATATAGGCTTGATGTGGCGTTGTGTATTTTTGTTTTGTTTTTTTGTTTGTGAAGTAAATATTTACCATACAGTACATCATATATTCCTTATATAGCCAAATGCGATTCACTGTTGTCATACATTCCTCGGTACGTCATTGATGAGAGAGTCCATGGAACATCGTCGTTCAATATTTAGAAAAGAACCCTTCTGAATAGGAAAATATTTTTTTAAGTTATAATAAATACCTGTTGACAGTTCACTATCCTAATTATTCATAAATGCGTAATGTAAATGTATATTTATATATATGCAAAAGTATTACAAAGCGGTTATGTCACAGACTCCAAGGTTAATGTACTCTTAGCGTTGTATATGTATTAGCGATTCATAAGAAGGTTGGTCGAATTGTGCTGTCGTATTTTATTCTAAAAAAATTCTAGAAGCTAATGTTATATATGGCATATATATATATTTCATGTAAAACGGTGTATGCTTAGGAAATATAATAATTCGTTATGTAATATGTATGAATGTTACACCAAATAATAAATTATCATAGTAATATTACAGATTTCTATTACAAATGTAAAATAAGAGACATATGCCGGTATGGACATTACCTTTGTGTTAAGAACATAAGATATTATGATTCTCTAGCTTTAAAACCACGATTTGTTTACCACAGTATTAGTGTATTTTTTTGTTTTGATATTTCTGGTACTTTCATGTAAGGCATTTTGTTACAAGTCTTTATAGATTAAGTTCCAACAAACAATTTGTGTGTTATCAATATTCACGTCGACTTGTGATCATAACAACACTGCTCAAATAAAAAGTCTTCCAAAATTTCACATGACCTTTGAATTAGCAGCGCCAACTCAAGAAGTTAATATCGCTTTGTTCTGATGTTTACAATATCTATGCAAAATATTCTCAAAATATGAGATGTCTGAAAATCAAAGAAACATGTTTCTTTACTTTAATCGTAACAGCTGTATCCCAATCATGTTTTCCCATTATTTGCCATATAGTAGAACCTCATTATCTCGAACGCATACAAATCGGAAACCCCTATTAATTCGAAGTATTTCGTCAGGCCCGGCCAGACTTTTCCGATCACTCGATCTCACTTAAATCGAATACTCGGATATTTCGAAGTTTTCCAACGGTCCCGGGCGAAATAAAGAAGTTCGACTATATTTGGCAATTAGGTATTCTCCAGTTTTACAGAAATTCATGTTTCCATATCTGAATTTGCAATATATTATATTAATATAATATCCTCATATGATGATTGCACAGTTGTTTATCTTTTTACTGAATGCTGTTGTGGAAGTATATGTTATGTATGTTAATTTTCTGTGTATGATTTATGGAGTTTTTCGATGTTTTAAGTTTCCTAATAAACTAGTTTTCATTGTTATATCATCATGTGATTGGTGTTGAACATGTCCATGTCGCAGATGGCTTATTTGTGGGTCTAAATGTACTCTCATTTTTATCTCCTAGCCAAAACGTAGGAAAAACCACTTTCATCTCAGTCGAAAAAAGACTAATCTTGATCTTTTCACGCTTGAAACATGGAGATTTTAGTTCATAAAATCAAGATCTACAATGACAAAAATCAATCCGTGTACAACATTGAGTAGAAAATCACGATCCAAGGATAGCCTATATACTAAGATATATATATGAGGCTTAATTAAAAAAGTTTACCTTCCTTCAAATTTATAAAACTTATAAATCGTTAAATCATCGTTATAATATATAATCTCGAAGCATCTCTTTTGTTTGGATTTTGCCATTCCTTGATTCCAGATGTTCTATAACAATTCTTTAAGATTGAAATCCTAGAGCAACGTGTGAGCGTTGAATGTTCCTTACTTTTCACCAAACGAATGTACTCTACATGTAAGGGGTTTGAAACGTCTATAAATACATGCTTATTACTATTATTACAATCAAGCATTAGTCAAATACGTTAGATCATTACCTGGAGTGTAGAATTTTATTCTGATCCATTTCAGCCAAGTCAATAAAACACTGAGATGAATTATTTCTGAGTTATCATTTTTTTTTGTTTCACACGAATTTGGTCTTGATTAACGAAACGAATCCTACTTAGGAGTTCGAACACAGTGATGTTTAGTCATGATGCAGCATACCATAGCCGAGGAAGGAAAAACATTGACCTTTGACCCTCTGCCTGAAAGGCGTGGATATGATAACAAATTCAGGCAGGTCTAAAATTACATCATATCCTTGATACTCTGAAAGATGGAAGTTCATTGCCAAATTATTCTTGTTATGATAATTAAAAAAAAACCGAAGGAATTAGAAATAGGTCAGATACCGCTACCTTGAATACAGTACTCCGATGCTAGCCAATTCCAACAATAAGTGGTTCCTCCTTCACTTATTTATTTTTACAGCCGTAACGGCCCGCCAACACATAAAAGGCTGTCAGGGCCATCAACCGGTGAACGAAACAGCGATCCAAGAGGAAATATCACAAACGAACTGAAATGTACAAGACGAATGTTAAAAATCTCATACAGTTATATTTTACAAAAGATCAAAATTATAATTCGAAAGCCTATAAGGTCAAATTGTGACGGGGAAAAAAGATAAATTCGCGTTATTACGCAAATAAAAGCGTAATAACGCCTTTCAAAAATCGTAATTACGTGATTAAAATCATAATAATGCCTTTCAAATGTCATAATTACGTGATTAAAGTCATAACAACGCCTTTCAAAAGTCATAATTACGTGATTAAAGTCATAATAACGCATTTCAAAAGTCATAATTACGTGATTTAAGTCATAATAACGCCTTTCAAAAGTCATGATTACGTGATTAAAGTCATAATAACGCCTTTCAAAAGTCATAATAACGCCTTTCAAAAGTCGTAATAACGCCTCTTCAAATGTCGTAATAACGCCTTTCAAAGGTTTTTGTAACAGACTGAACAGAAGCAATGACAATTGTATTCTTACCTGTAAAAGTCATAAAACGACTTTTTTTTCGCGTTAATACGACTTTTAAAAAGGCTTTATTACCACTTAATAACGTAATAACGCGATTTTATATGTTTCCAGGCTTTCGTATTATAAATATATTAAATCATAATATCATAAATTATATCCTACAATACAGACTAACATCTTCCAGATAACCTAGAATTTTACAAATATGAACAGTTTCAAACAGTCTTTAGACAGAAGTTCAATGCAGTCCAATAAAAAAGCTTAACGGTGAATGGCTCATCACATGCTAAGCACCGAGGTTCATCTTCGCCTTTCAGTATATATGAATGTGTAAGGTAAATATGATCCATCTGATGCCAGGCAAGGACTACTTCGTCCCGTGGTTGTCTCTATAGCAAGGAGACCATTCACCGTTGATTGGTTTTACGGAATGCAATTTATTACTATATTGATTCCACTCCTGCCACTGAGCTATCAAATCTTATTTGTCAAATGGTTTAAACTAACTAAAATGAAGTTGAAAGCCAACAGGTGGTAGCGATAAAGCTATATTTGCGACACGATCTGCGTTCATTGTCTGGTATTACCATTTGCCGAAGAACCCAGCAAAAACAATATGAAAATTTGCGGTAAGTTAATGAAAATATTGTCGATATTTCTATTGCTAAAACTTTGTCGTACAGAAAGAAAGTCTGAATAGATAACAGCTCTCAATACTTTGTTTGTTTGAATATGTTCAAGGTGTTTCGACTTTTTCCACGACGTCCTCAAGCTTGGTTGGCAGCCAACCACTGGCCACTATTGCCGCTGTTTGTTGCACACCTTTGCAGATCTAGTTGTTCTGTGAACTCCTTCCAAAATGACCATCCAGGAAATCCCCTGCAGCTGAACTCAATAGGCAGATACCAAATGCTGGTACATGTACTTCTGTCACTTTCTTTCATTTGTCTTCCTCATCTCCCCATGGCATTGTTAGCTTGACTCGCATTACCTGCATGGAACTGCAGGACCATAGCAAGATGTCTTGGTAAATTGCTTTTGAAGTCATTTCTATTGGGAAACTCATTCTCTAACAGATATCGGTCCTAAATTTCCTATTTCTTGCAAATGCAAATGCCTCCATTGTTTCCACATTGTCCTTCCTACCTGCTCAAGATTTCACAAAATCGACAAAGTTCAGTCATTTTGAAACCGTTTTTCTTATATGTAGCACAGTTAAGGCTTGCTGCTAAGGTTATTGTTGCCAGTAAAAGCAGCTGTCCATCCTGCATGATGCGTCTGGCATGATGTGAGAGCTCCAGCCAGGTTGGCTGCTCTTCCACACTATACACATGCAGTGTTATCCATTGTTGTCCTTTACTAACCAAGGTATATGTTGACTTCAAGAGGAAACTAAGCAGGTGCCCCTCCATATTCCAGATGCTGCAACAGGATACTTTCCACTTTCACACACACACACCTCATCTTTTATCTTCATCTCTGTGCTGACTCATGTCCCTGCATACCTCCAGCTGGTTAAACATAATCCCATTGTGGTTTTGGAATCACTACCAGGCCAAGATCACCTGATGCCACATTCCAAACAATATGCCATGCAGGAGCACGGCTTCTAATGTATAATGTACCCACCTGGTGTTCTTTTTTCTTTCTGTCCTTGCCTTTACCTTGTCACAGACACTTGCACTCCTCAATCATAGACTTGAGTGGAAGTTGGAGCTTTGTTCTCTCACTGTACAAGTCTACACTACTGATGTTCTGTGTGGTCATCCAATGCCACAGATATTTCATCATCTACACTGAAGTTAGTAGTACTTTGTAGACAAGCACTGGTCACAAGATTCTTGGAAGAAAACCTGGATGATATATTCAGGTCTTGAATTTCCTGTACGTCCTTTTTTACCAACTGCCCCTTGTCTGTCCCTTATTTTGTTTGCTTAAACCTTAGATGCTCTTCCTGTCATTCCCATGGCTATTTATTGTTGGTATGTTAACTTCATTGATTATGAACCTCTGTTCCTTCACTTTGCCTGCTTTCAGGACAAGGCTTCAGGATTTGAGTGATTTAAATTTCACACATGCTCATGTGACATCTCTTCATCTCTTCTTGTTCTCTATGGACCCACATTCCTTCCAACCCTTTGTTGTCACCATGATGTCATGAATGGAAGCTCTAGTAAGTGGTTGAATATCAGCCATGTAAGTAATGTTTCTCTACAGCTTTCACCATCAGGTTCATACCTGCTGCCAATGGTATCACAGATATATCAACTTACAAACTTTGAAATTGCACTGAAATATCTGAAAAAAACTATGACTTGTCCCAATTTCGCTATGAATTATTTGATTATATTACCTGTGTGGTAGGCTTTTAAAAGGAGTTTCTTATGTGAAAAAAAACAAATCCTGCTTTGACTTAATGGTTCTTTTAAGATTGTACAAACATGAAATCCCAGATGGTCATCTGTTGGCCAGTTTGCTTACCTGATCAATCTTAAAATTGACAGGACAATACAAAGGACCAATTGGACCTTATTACTGAAATTTGAGAAAGACCATTTCAGTTCTTCTGAAGAAATAGCAAAACAAACTTTAATGTCAAAATCCATGTTGGCCGCCTGTCAGCCAATTTGTTTTCCAATCAATATAAAAATTGAGTGCTACCTAGCACCGAGAGGGGAACCACAATATGACATTTAGGAGCAATAACAAAGAAAACAAAAAATGGCTGACTGTTTTGTTTTTCTGTTTCAAAATAAGTTTTGTCAACTTTGTTTTCAGAAGATCCAATCAATTCAATAAATTTTAATAGCCCATGTGACAATGGTGGATTGAAGTGGTTGTACTGAAATCAATAAGAAAATCAAATAAGTTTTGTCAACTTTGTAATTCAATAAATTTTAATAAATTCATAATACAAACACAAGTATAACTTCAGCCATCCTTATTGCTGATATTGTCGTACACCATCAAACAAGAGTAAATTGATTGATCATTTTATCAATAAACAAAAGAAACAAAGGGCCTCAATCTCTCACCCTATAATGCTTTGAACCAGGTAATTAGCTAAAGTTGGTAGACAGACAGACAGACAGACAAACAGACAACATGACATGGCATAAGCCCACCAGTCCTTTGGACCAGTCGAAAGTTGTAAGAATAACAGAAGGACTATCATGTAAAACTTAACATTCAATATTGTATTTAATTACATCATGTTAATATTTATCTGGATGGAAACTGGAAGACCCTGTAAACGTTGATCACAACCAAGGACTGGGAGACACAAGTCAAGGCTGTCAAATGAGAAACAACTGCCTACACTTTTATTTTGACAAAAATTGTGTTTTTGACATATCTGAGTTAATGCTTTCAAAGGTAATTAAAAAAATCTAGTGCAAATATAAAAAAGAATGATTCTCTTAATATCATTAGTTTCAAATTAATAACTAGGAAAAAAAAAACCAAATGTCCATTTTGTAGTACCTGCTGATGTAATACTTTATTGTTTTTTATAAACCTCCCTGAAGGACATTCCATTCAAATCACAAATACTCTGGGGTATCCTGCTTTTCATGCACTGTTTATCTATTTACAAAAAATAATATCTCTATTATCTGGCTGTTTATCTAGCTATCTGAATGGCGACTGGTTATATATAGCATTAAATCTTGATAGATGTACTATAGTTATGACCTTGACATTCATAAGTAGGTCTGACAGATGCATTTTAGTGGTGACCTTGTCATTCAATAGGCCTGACTGATGTGCTATAGCTGTGACCTTGACATTCATCATCAGGCCTGACAGATGTACTTTAACTGTGACCTTGACATTCATCAGTAGGTCTAAAAGATGTATTATCTGTGACCTTGGCATTCATAAGTAGGTCTGATAGGTGTACTAAAGCTGTGACCTTGACATTCATCAGCAGGTCTGATAGATGTACTATAGCTGTGACCCTGACATTCACAAGTAGGTCTGGTAGATGTACTTTGCATTTGTGACCTTAGCATTCTTAAGTAGGTCATTAGACTAGAACACATCTTATATACCTTATTATTGGGAAAACCTAAACAAATAAAAATTAAATAATATAGCTAAAATGCTTGTAAGAAAGTATCCACTTAAACATATATATTCTGTATGCAAGAATAAACAAATATGGCAGGATTGTGAACACAGAATAGGTTGATTAATGTAGAAATGAAGACTATAGCTACTATCAGTTAAACATATCAAACATTTGAAGTTTTTTCATTTGTTAACACTGAAGCCAAATCTTAACATGCATTATCACAATGTATTGTCACATCAAACATCACTGTTACTTTGATGTTCATATCATCTGTAGAAGTTTCAAAATTGTCAAAACTGACATAATATGCACCTATAATCAACATTATGGGAGAAAATTGATCTTTCCACAGTATGAGGTTTTCACACATTTTTAGCTGATTACATGATTTGAAAATCCAAGTGTCTGGGAAAAAATATTGTCATTTAATTTATGATTAAGATCATTTTCATCTAGTTTCACAAAAATGAGTAGACAAACATCACTTATGTAAGATTGTTATTTCTGATAATTAACATCAACAAAACATTGCCTATGGATACCATTAAAAAAGATTTTTGGGCTCACTGGACGTCCACAATTAAACACATGATTTGGTTAAGCGAATAATTTCACCATAAATTTGACATTTCCCTAATCACCAGAACATAATCTTTGGTATTTTTACTGCGATAAGCCCAATAGGTCAACATAGCAATGCAGACTCAAAGTCTGGGGCAATCATACAAATTCTGACTCAAGAGTCAAGAGACAATCATACAAAAAAATTAATGGACAATCATACAAATTGTGGCTCAATGTCAGGGACAATCACTCAAATCTTGACTCAGAGTCAATGAACAATCATACAAATTCTAACTCAGAGTAAAGGGCAATCATACAAATTCTGGTTTAATATCAGGGGACAATCACATCAATTCTGACTCAGAGTCAGGAGGAAATCATAACAATTCGGACTCAGGAGTTTAATTTGTTTGGAATTTCTCACTGAACACCAAAATTTCATACTACCTGGTATAGGTTCAATTTCAGATAAACAGTCAATTAATCATATACAAAATAAACAATACTGATGACTTCCAAGTCAGGTTCACAAGTATAACTGACCAGTAATTCTTGTTTCAATTCATAAGGAACAACAATAAAACAAAATAATCTCTTCAGAAAACAAACTGTACCATAAGTACACATTGTGAGCTAACAAGTCACATCTAGTTTACTTGAGCAATTTATATCACAAACCTACTTTTAAATTCCAAGGATTTGCAGGTTTAACCTCCCTATGACAATAGAAGAATCAACTTAGGCAACTTCACAACCAAACATTCATCATTTTGTTCATTAAGTGATCTGCTTGTCAACATCAAACAGTCACAAAACTTAATGGAAGCTAGTCAGGTTGGCCTAAATATGTCTTAGATAGTATTTTGACATTTATTCTCAGAATTTCATTCTAAATCTAGTACCTATTACATAGGAACAAATTACTTCAATGCACTGAATCTTTGTTTAAATGTTTGATTCTGCTTACAAATCACTGGATATTCATCTTTAACTACCCAGCCAATCCCTTCCACAAGAAGCACTCTATAATGCAGTATGCAGTGTGTTGAGTACACACTTTGGACATGCCAGGGGAAGTAATCCTTGCCTGCAGTAATACTGCATCAAAAGAGCAGCACTGCCAGGTAGACTGGCCGGACCCTGGGATAACTCCTTGTTGAACTTTACCACCACTTCATCCATGAAATTCCGTCGTGTGTAGTGGTGACCACATGTAAAGAGCACTGTGTTTGGCTCTTGGGAGTTGACTTCATCTTGGATCGACTGTGGTCCCTGGGTTTGTTCAAGTTTTTCCGTCATGTGATCAATATCTGTACGTGTGATATATATATAGTCACGTGATTCTGTACTCTTTTGTAGATTTTGAACCACATCTTGCCACAATTGATCAAACGGTATGAGTTTATCACCTGGTTGGAGGTCAAGATCGGAGTCATTTGACCCTATCCGACACGTTAACAGCTTTTTCAATGATCCATGACTGACTGGATATCTCTTTTCAAAGTCTGAAAGAAGCATCTTATCAAAGACTTTCTGGAGAACTTGCAGACAGAACTTTGTTGTAAAATGCATCATGAATTGGCTGGAGACTCCAATGCAGGCTGGTAAAGTTGTGGTGTCGCCCCCGTCACCAGTCTTTCGATTCTTCCTTAAATGCAAACCACAACAAGAATAGTGAGTAAGCTGGAGAAATTTTCATAAATTAAAAATTTAACATTGAATAACCATGTGTTTACTCCATTTGTCTTAATCCAAAGGAAATGTTATTACTTTTCAACATATAAGTTGTTTTCACATTCACAAAAATTAACCTAAAAACTGATTTTATTTTATTGTAAATATTCATAAGTAACATTTCAACATGCAAAGTTATATTTAGCTAGGTGTATATGAAAAAGAAAAAGCTGAGATTCAATATGGAACAAGAAAACACCTGAGAACTGACATGTTAATCATCAACATTGTATAATAAATATCTTGTCCTTTGATTCATGAAACACAAACTCATCAAAAGTATCCATACCTGACTATGGTATAAAAATTTAAATTGAAAACTGAATGGACTACAGGAATGAAATTTTTATTTGGTATGGGTCGAGACATGTAAGACATATGCAGTAGGATGGACATGGGTAATATGATATGTTCCATAACAAAATGGTGGTAGCGTACAAAATTATCGCACTCACCAGAAGAGAAATGTGCTCAGAATACAGCACACACTGTCCATGTGTTCTGTCAGCAGGGCCTCTAGACTACTGACTGACAAATCATGCTTCTCCCAATGTTCCAGCATCTAAAATCACAATACACCATGTTTCACTACAGCAAAGATACTCTATCTCACACTTAAACAGGGTTTCTATTCAAAGCAAAAGAAACGAAAGTCTACTGAAAGCACAGATAACCACAAATTTGATACCTGTGATAATTTTAAGAATGTCAGAAATTGCAAAATACAGGCCTATAAAGCCGGAACAACACAACAAATATTTCAATATACATAGCCTATTTAGATATCTTCAAAGTGTTTACATGCCAAATAGTTCAATCTCTGTTTCATGACTATACATATATATATATATATACATAGTTAAGAAACTACTGTTAACTGGTTATGTGGCTTTAGTAAGTTAGATGTGAATGTCCATCTCACTTTGGTTTCAGAAAGTCATGATCTTAGAAACTGCTAATACATATAAATAAAGCTAAAATGTCTAACTACACATTTGAGGACTTTACTTTGACGGGTTTAAATGCCAAACAATTAACAGTTTTTGTCAAAATTTTCATATGGAATTATATTTCGAAGATGGAATTGAAAGCTGTCATGTTAAAATTTCCAACTTCACTAAATTGTCCCTATAACAAGAAGTCTTAATTACAAAAGAGCAATAATGAAAATTTCATTACATCAACATATCCAACTATAAGGGCTACTACAAAGTAGTCTCCCTTTAAATTGAGTTCTAACATTGATCAGTTATACAATGTACCTGTATAAGAACAAGTCTGTAGTTTTCTTCTTTCTGGGAGGCTGGCAGTTCTTGTGAGATGCAAAGTCTTAAGGAGAAGAAACAAAAAACTGTAAACACTGAACAGTAATACACAACTACTAATGCTAGGTCACATAAACGACATACAGATATAATAGATGTCCCGAGATATAATAAGCCTTCTACATTGCACTGAATATTAATTTACAATACAATTTGTATTCTACATTTCAATTTATCTGAGCAATACATTTTTTGTTAAATATCAATGAATTTTTGAATTATAATTAACCTGACTCTGTTTATGAGCAAGTTTTAACAAAACTGAAATATCAGACTTACTGGGTGTAGTGTTGGACAACTCTCAGTGTACTCTGTAGGAAATCACAGCCAAACATAGTGACATAGGAGGTCAGGGCCTTCAGGTGGTATGCAAGGGCCTGTACAGAATCATAAAATACTGTTTACATCTCACAAATCGTCACATTAGAGTCTAGTAATAGAGCTTTTCACATAGTCACATACTTTAATATCATTGTAAGCCAGGTCTGTACAAGTCACATACAAAAGTCATGTCTTACAACATGCAGTGAGATACAGCATGCATATTCTTTCCTTGTTTCGTGCACTTCTTTATATACATGTCACATTACAGTCACATAAAATATGGTGGGAGACCAGCTCTGTTTAGTATCACGGGAATAGGTGTACATGTTATTACATGTTACATCTCAGTCATTTTTGTGAAGAGCTATGAAGTTAGACAAACCAGAGTTTTACCATTAAATTCCTAAACCAATTCGGTTTAAGAGTTGTTCCATTTTCTATTTCACAGCCACTGCGACAAAAAACCTTCAGCAAAATACAGTTTAGAATGCAGAAACACAGTGATATTGCCTGATGATATTTACCTTTACAAATGAAGATCTAAGATGCTGTGAATGATGCATCATGGCTGAAATTTTATATGAAAAGCTAACAACTTAAATTAGAAGATTTCCACGGTAATTCTAGTTTTCATGAAAACTTTTGTGTTACTATAGATTCTGATATTTTTATCCAAATAATTCTTTGATAAGAATAATCTTACCTGTGCATAATTGTTTTGGTGGAGACAAATGTATGCAGCACTGAGCCAGTCATCCAAGTTTACACACTGACGCATGATCTTCATACAGTTACATAACTCTGACAGGTGCTGTGGGTGAGAAAAGGGACCTTTCTTATTTTACACCTATTCTTTTTTCTTTCTTTTTTTCCTTCACAGACTCTAGCAATAACATACATATATTTAACACATTAAATTGTATTACAAAAACACATTGACACACATATACAAGTACATACACATATACACACCCATACATACATAACTTTTCACACATTCTTTCTTTCATTCCTTTTAATGAAATAATTTATCAACAGCTTGTAGCATTAAAAAAGTCTTTGACTTTCTTTCAATTTCACTCTGAAACCGAAAGAATGATGTCTGAAAACAGAATTTATAGATCAGTCTGTCTCCTACAAGGCACCAAAGATGTGGGGTCATAAAATAAACAATGTGAGAAATACATTCTCACAACAAAGATGTGGGTTCATGAAATATACAATATGAGAAGAAACATTCTCAAATAATTTCTCATTGTAAATTAACATTGCACAGTTCAATGAATACCTGTAGGACTTCAAAAATGGTGATACGACCATATTTTCTGCAGCCTAGTGACTGTAGATCAGGAAGGTGGTCTAACTGGACATCATCTTGGCTTTCCTCCATCCACTGTGGAGAGAAAACATATCAGACCGATTACATGGAAAACTAAACCAAATATATAGGTGAGGGGCAAAAATAATAGATACAAATGTAAGTAACCATATAATGTACATTTACTAATTCACTAACAGTTAAACTTTTACCTACAGTAGGTATCTAGGAAACATAAACATTGTTTGTAGAAAAAGAATTTTTTGAAGACTTTTGACTATAATGTTGTTTTATTGTAATCTGGGAAATTTTCTTTGTTATTATCACTTTTGAAACTTTTCTTCCTTGTGTTTCGCCAATATACAGACATTTTTTACAAACTGTTAGCAGTAATTATCCCAGGAATGTACATTTTTCTGTCATTTTCCCCATAATTCTATACATATAATTACATAAATATATAAGCATACATGAAATGTCTAATAATGCACTAGGTCAGTGAATAACACATAAGAAGAGGTCCCAGAGGGCTCTTAATGATAAAAAGTTTCAACATTCCTTTGCAGAAATAGTGATTATAATCTTTACCCGCAAAATCAAAAATTGTCACCTGAAAGCCATTTCATCTCTCCTAATCAGTCCGAAAATCAAATGGGCACAAGAAAAGAAAAAACCAAAGGGAACATACATATGATATATGAGAGAGATCCCTTCAGTACTTGTTAAGAAATAGGGATAACAATCTTTACTAAGCAATATACAATATATGTGTTATACAATATAAGCAGTACTTATATAATAGATTTATCACACTTGTCCATTGTAGGATGTCACAATACTATAGAGACTAGAGTCCACATTTGATGTAAAATGGATGTAAAAAAGTGTTGTATGTTATCCTGAAGAAGTCCACTTAATGTAAAGCTTGTTGAAAGACATGGAATAAAATGAAACAACCTACTCTGATGCTGTTACAGTTTTTTATTTTTGCCTGATTTTTTCTAATGATACTCTAGGGTATCCAGCAGAAGAGTAAAGGAACCATACACCAATACAAGCAACACAACAGCATTTTTACCTATATTTGGGTTTTCTAAAATTTAGAATAATAATTTATAGACCAAACAATATGATCAGTAAAGAATGAATGTTTCAAGTATGTTTTACTGGCAAGGAGTGTATTTAAACATTACTAATTCTTACCAATGTATCAACATCTGACCCATCATATGACCCCGACCTTGTCAGATGGGATGGTCTCCAAAGTGATGAGGCTGGTTTAGCTATGGGCAAGCCTTGACAGACTGTCGGGAGAAGGAATTCAGTGATGCCACTTCCTGCCCGTCGTCTGTTGTGGGTCTTGATGACCTTCTGAGTGGCGGTGACAGTAGTGAGTGACAGTTCTGCCTTCTCCTGTTTTACCTTATTGTGATAAACAAAAACTTATTATAACAAATTATGTTGGATATCTGCAATAAAGTTCATTATTTCTATACTAGTAATCAAACCTATGACCTCTTACTTACCAGACAAACTCTCAATTGTTGAAGCTAAAGAGAAATTCTCTACTAAATGAGACGTGGCTAGTACTATTACAATGTGTGCACACAGGTAAATATTTTGCAATGCCTCCACTAGGAATGGAAGCATGTACACCAAGACCTTCCACTGGTCGAGGAAAGGAAAAAATTTCACAAGTAGAGTAGCTAGAGAAAGGAAATTCTCTGTAGCCAAGAAGCTAGAAAGTGGAAATTCTCTAGAGCCAAGAAGCTAGAAAGTGGAAACTCTCTCCAGCCAAGAAGCTAGAAAGTGGAAATTCCCTCCAGCCAAGAAGCTAGAAAGTGGAAATTCCCTCTCGCCAAGAAGCTAGAAAGTGGAAATTCTCTGCAGCCAAGAAGCTAGAAAGTGGAAATTCTCTGCAGCCAAGAAGCTAGAAAGTGGAAATTCCCTCCAGCCAAGAAGCTAGAAAGTGGAAATTCCCTCCAGCCAAGAAGCTAGAAAGTGGAAATTCCCTCTCGCCAAGAAGCTAGAAAGTGGAAATTCTCTGCAGTCAAGAAGCTAGAAAGTAGAAATTCTCTCCAGCCATGAAGCTGGAAAGCATAAATTCTCTCCAGCCATGAAGCTGGAAAGTAGAAATTCTCTCTAGCCAAGAAACTAGAAAGCCAAGAAGTTAGATAGCCAAGAAGCTAGAAAGCTTATGATAGGTAATTTATAGTTCAAACAAGCTTAACAATGATTTGATCTTATACTCTTTGCTGTGACAATGACCTTGTCTAGTGTAAGAGTGGTTAAGGTTCATTCACATACACATTTTTTTTACCTTTGCTGTACCCTTGCTCTAAATAAGAAAAATTATCAAGGGAGTTTTCTGATGGAGTCAAACCAGGTTCAGTTTTCAATTTTGTACTTACTCTCTTATAGTAATTACCTGTCCCATGTCATTCTTGCCCCATCCCCAAACAAGCCCATCTGAGTCCTGAGCAATGTTAAACTCTCCTCCACTAGTGATATGTGTCACACTTCTGTCATTTATGTTAGTCACCATACTGGGAATTTTCTTGAAAATAAAACACACAATGGTTATTGTGTCTGAGTGTAATCATATACACAGATGAATGTTTCAATTAACTGTGATTTTAACAACCATTAATTATCAGTAAATAACAGCATAAAAGAAATGTAGATTAATGTATCTTAATTTTGTGACCTCAATTGAAATGGGGTCATGCTTATTTGAATAAAAATTTGTTAATCTGATACAGCTACAGAACCAAGTTTTCGGCTCTATGTCCTATGGTTGTTTTGAAGTTAATGTTTTGAAGAACAGTTAGTGAAAGACAAAAACTGGTTCGTTACACTAAAACAGAGCCTACATGGTGAGTTATTTTCAAACTAACCATGTCCTGTCTAGTGTTATTTCCAATCTGGCCATCCATGTTCCTACCCCAGGTGTACACATCTCCATCCTGAGTGACCAGTACTGAATGCGAGCTGCCACAAGCAGCCTAAAACAAACAATCAATCTTCACATTTTTCACAAGTCAACAGGACATGTATTTCAGTGGAACTCAATACAGATGACACAGATGACACATTGTTAAAAGAAAACAGCAAATTAAATGGCACACAAGTTCAAAATCAAAGGAGTCTGAACATGTCAATGAAATAAAACTGTCATTACTGCATAAAATTGTAGTAGTGATTATCCTCACACAATTCAGACATTAAAAGCCTTGACATCTCACCTGTGTGATTCGTCCATGGACAAAGCTGGTGTCAACAAGATCAGGCATTAAGAAATGGTCGACTGGATCCCCAACCACGACACCGGCCTGGCGTGCCTTACGTATAGAATGTGCAGCAAACCTCAGGTTGTATGGATGACATCCCCAGGAGTATACATGATTACTTTGTGTCACAGCAATCTGGCAAATGGCAATCAATTTCACATTATTTCTTTCTTACAAACACCAGCCTCCTCTTCCTGTTTGGTTCACATTAAATATTTCAAGACACAACAAAGAAGCCCATGGTTAAATCTTGGAATCAAACTCATTCTACTTGCTTGCCAGTATTCAAATGTCTATAGAACTGAGCTGGTTTAAAAAACATATTTTTCTTCACTTGCATTTTTCTAAAACTAGTAAAAACAAAAAAACGGAATACACAGTTTTGAGCTAAAACTTTGGCTGTTAAATATGTTAGTTTTGATTAACTTAATGACAGATTTAAACCATTAAGAAAGTATTTAATTCATCCATACTTACATTGTGAAAAAATTTTGTGCAAATAATGACCACCTTTTCCTTCAGAGCATGTATTTTCATTGGTAATGTCTGTTTTTTGTTTTTTTCCAAACCAAGTTGGCCAAAGAATCCACAGCCAAATGAGTACACTTCTCCCTACAGAAAGACAATATGTCAATTAATGGCACACAAATTGTTACTATTTATAGTATGTTTATCATGTGTTGTAATGTTATCACACAACCACCACAAAATCAGATGGTGTTCATATTGCCTATGAATGAAAACTGAAGCAGTTAAATATGTGGGGACTGACACTTACTTGTGAGGAGAGGGCCAATGTATGACAGTACCCTCCACACACCCTGATTATCTGTTTGTCAGATAGTGCCTGTACATGGGTTGGGACCAACGCATCCTCAATACCGCCATTGCCAAGCTGTCCATGGACTCCCCATCCCCAACTATATACTCTAAAATATAAAAATAATACATTCTTAAATACTTAATTTATAAGAAGGATTGTCAATTGGTTGTGATTTGGTCAAAACAAATGTACTAGCTTAGGAAGTAGCTTCAACAGATTCAACAGAGCAAACAAAATTGAATTTAATGCATTCAGAATTCAACACTAAAATCAACAGAGTATATCTATCCACCAGATACATACAAAGCCTTATGGAGGATCACTCACAAGTTCAGGAAAATAAACCCTGTTATTGTGATCCAGCAGATTGTTTATCTGGTTCACAGTGCTTGTTTACTTACTCTCCATCTGCGGTCACAGCTAGTGAGTGGTACTGACCACTCTCGACACTCACACACTGTAGGGATGAGAGTTTGTCCAATTGCATTGGTCGACTATATATATGCCTCGTACCAATTCCAACTTGTCCATACTGGGACGATCCCCAGGAAAACACCTGCCAAATCATATAAAACTGTATTAGTATACAAAACAAAAAAAGAAAGTGTTACCCTCTTAAATATCAAAAGAAGAAAGCAACTCAAAACTTCATGATGCAGAAAATAGTTGCTGAGACAAAAAACTCAAAAAATGATCTCAAAAATATTTGCAATTGGCTGGCTTGGTAGCTCAGCGGTAACACACCAGCCTTTCACTTAACCAACTAGGGTTCCACCAATGGACTGGGAAAAGATATTGGATCACTTGCCTGACTATATGCCATTATTGTGGAATGAAATAAGTTTTTAATTGTGAAAAACATGATAATGTGATGAAAAGGATCTCAAATTTAATTCCACCTTAAAGGGTATTGATGTAACTGGACATGTCTTTTTCCAAATGTTTGTTTGATAGAAGCTTCCATAATTATACTTTACAGATAAATTCTCACACATTCTTTAAACAGGTTGAAATCCTCTGATCCAGGGATATGTTACACATATACCAGATTAAGTAGGAATTCCTCATTCTGTTCTAGATTGGTTACTTTATAGCTGGTAAGTCGACAGACCAATGAAAAACAATGCCAAAGGGATGGACGCAAACTACTCAATCTACTCTGCAATAAGTTGAGGTACCAACACATATAACAGTTGACTCAAAGTCAGGTGGTGGGCTTATTACTGGACAAAGATATAACTTGGTAACATTTATATCAAAACTGATAAGGATGTGTTTTTTGCAAGGCATGGGTTATTACCTGATAAATATGATAATGGTAAACATACCCCTTGCTGTGTGAGGGCCAGCGTATGTTCCCCTCCACAAGTCACAGAAATGACGCGGACTTGGAGCATGTGTAGAGTTTCCACCCTACAGGGAGGAGAAACTGTATTGTCTGGGGCCAGGTCTCCGTGGCCCAATCTGTATCAAATGAATCAGATATGATGATAGCCAATCAAACTAATACATTATGTACATTTTAATATAAATTAAGTTCCTTTAGTAACCTCAAATCAATTTTAAGTGATTATGAATGTATAATACTGTATATGGAAAGATTTTTGATTTGTGTGAAAATTACATCACAGGTATTAGAGTCTAAAATTAAAAACTGAGATTTAAAATTTTAGCAGATACTTTCTGTATCATATTATTACTGATTCTTTATCAAAACCAATATAAACATTTTGTCAAAATAAACAAATTTAAAATTTTTTAATCATTGTGTATTGCCCAGCTGTTTACCTGCCATAAGAAGTGCGTCCCCATGTGTATAGGTCACCATTACGCACTAAAGCAACATGCTGATGTCCAGATCCTAATGACACTGGGCGACAAGACAACTTCCACACTTTTATCTGTTTATTTCCTTCCGTAGACTGTGGACAAAAATGCCAAAACCATTTGATGCTGAAGAATATGATTCTGATGATTAAACAGCATCTATCACAACATATAAATTGTGAATAAATTGATCTCAAAACCAATCATCTGATTCATCAACTCATCATGTTTTTTAACACACTGATCTATGATTTATCAGAAATACCAATTTTCTGATACAACTATTTACCATAAATTCTGTGTAATTAATTCACCATTTTGGCATGCATGCCACTATGAACAATATCTGATATCAACAGGCATTATTCCTTCCCAGTCTGATGTATCCATTCGTTATGAATTCCTATTTCTGACCAACTTTTACAGAATTCAAATTCACTATTCTACCCATTAATCAGAAATTTTAAATGAAGTGTCCACTAGGTAAATTTGTTATCACAATTATATATCATCTCATTATCAACTTATTTTTCATAAATTACCATAGTATGACAATGGCGTTTTTTGCAACATTAATAAAAGACTCAAAACAAGAGTCACAATGGGCCTGTATTATCCATCACTTTTGATTTCATGGTCATCCAAAACTTAATACCCCTTTTTTAGAGTATGTTGCAGATGAAATATTCAAGCAAGATTTGAAGATTTTGCCACATTTTAATTTGACCCCTTTGACCTTGAAAGAAGTCTGCTAGCACTTCATCTCAGTGTACTGACTGGCACATATCATGAACCTTGGCCTTTTGGTTTACTCCAAAGAAGTTGTTTGGCACTTCAACACATCTGACCCCTAAAACAATTCAATCCTAAAAAAATTCGTAGCTTGTCATTGTAGTGTGCTGCCTGTTCTGGTCAAATACCACGACCCTGTGCTATCGAATTTTCAAAAAGAAAATGTTTCAAATCTTTAACACATTTGATTCATGTGACCTTGAAACATGGTCAAGGCCATTCATTTGAACAACTTACAACATGAGAGCTAAAACTCTTGAAATAATATATCTTGTTGCATATCTCAAATGCTTCTTAAATTCAGAGCAATTTTGTTGCATTGAGAATATCGTGTAACAAATAGGCAACCAACAAATACTTTCATTTCAATGAAAATTTAGCTGGTGTTATATGTTGAACATAGAAGGAAAGTAATTCTTCTATATACGTGTCTGGCATAAAAACAAATTTCCATTTAACTTATCCTTCATATAACATGATTGATTTCATTTCTGAAATTTGAATGTTTATTTAAACCTTCAAAACACATAATAAATTAAATGCAGTCAATGAATTCAGTTGAAATTTTGTCACATCTACCAAACTTAAAATGAACATAAACCATAGATACCAACCTGTTTAGATATATCGTTAGAATTCATGGTCAGTAGTTCCTCTGTATTGGGAATGTCACCTGATTTGTCACGTTTGTTGTTGAGTTGTAAAACTATGGTTACAAAGAACTCCACTAATTTTGAAGGCTCGGGAAGGGTATTCTCCTGAAAAAGTGGTATCTGAATGTGACATCTGGATGAAAATGTCATGACATTCAAGGACAACAGGAAGTTAAAGATATGATAATATGTACCTAACACTTATTTTCTACCTGCCTCGCTACTTCAAAAAGACAAATACTTGTGCAAAAGGGAATTCTTTTGATCTAGGGATATTTCAAACTGAATAGAGACAAAATAAGTCAACTTTAAGAAATAAATTTACTAAATGTTCCAAGCCTTTGTCCTTAAAGGAATGAACTGTATTAAACTGAATACATTGGCCTGGAATGCAAGTGAAAACTCAGTCTTTTTTCATGAGCAGCAAATAAAATAAACATGGAAAAGACCAGAAAGGGCTGTATTGCGGTGCCCCACACCTGATTTTAGTTTGTGATACACTGCTATCCAAAAAGGTTATGTGCTCATTCCATTTCAGCAAATAACTCAGGAAATATAAAATACTTGGATGTCTCCTGCTGCAGATTGAGAGACCAAACTTACCATGGACCCAGGTTCTCCATCACTGCATTGGGAGTTAAGAGAGGAGACACTGGAAGTTCTGGGAAAACACATCAACACCTCATAAATGGCGAACACAGTTTATAAACAAAACAAAATTTAGGGCAAGATGCAAACATAAAGTGTGGACAGATCGGTTCATTCTTCAGTATCTGATATAGCTAAAAGGTAATGATAAACAATATAAAGAAAATATGATGCCTTTTCATTTACAATTTAATCTCAGCTGAAAACAACAGAAATACCCTTTTAGAGAAAAACTGTATCAAAAAATTAGATTGAGTTAATTGTTACTTACCTTTTCTTGGAAAGCATATGTTTAGAAATGTGGTTTCTAAGATTAGGCCTTGAGGGATCAAAAATGTTGGCAAGTTTTTCCAGTGTGTCAAGGCTTAGGTCTGACACACAGTCCTGTATCATGGCATAGTGCTGGAGAGCGAGTTGAGGCTTGGAGCACAGGATCTCCGTCCTATATTGGGGGTTCAGTGATTGGAAGAACGTACCTATAAAATGAAGAGATGAAACCACAACTGGAGATTTATTTTTGTTTAACATACTGTATACCTTAGCACTTGGTGCTTGGGTTTGATCACAAAATATGAATTAGCACAACAAACTACGCTTATAAGAAACAAAAACATCCTGAAGGCCCTCTAAGCCAGCTGGATGAGAACTGCTTTCTAAAAGTAATTACAGCTAGTGCTTAAGAAGGTGAAATTAAACATTTGCTTACACATCTATAGATGCTTCCAGTATAAATACATATTATACTTATGTCTGAATTCATATCTATATTGGCAATTTCAACATGAGCAAGTTTGATTTACCCATTTTGCCATGTAAAAAAACATATTCATTTATCCCTATGTCATAGTTAATTTGACTTAAACTTCATTGAATATTTGAATTAATTCATCAAACAACTTGTCTAGGAGATCCATCTTTTTGACTGGTTGGACAATGTTGTTATGATACAACATTTGCATTTGACATTTTTCTCTTAGAACTGGATATGCCAGCATAGGTGGCCTACTGACCAAATATCATTACCTACCAGAGGCTGGTGTAACCCATCATTTATCATAACCTGCCTGAGGTTGGTGTAGTCCCTCATTTATCATAACCTACCTGAGACTGGTGACCCTCATTTATCATAACCGACCTGAGGCTGGTTTAGCCCATCATTTCTCATAACCTACCTGAGGCTGGTGTAGCCCATCATTTATCATAACCTACCTGAGGCTGGTGTAGTCCCTCATTTATCATAACCTGTCTGAGGCTGGTGTAGCCCATCATTTATCATAACCTACCTGAGACAGGTGTAGTCCCTCATTTATCATAACCTACCTGAGACTGGTGTCCCTCATTTATCATAACCTATCTGAGGCTGGTGTAGTCCATCATTTATCATAACCTATCTGAGGCTGGTGTAATCCCTCATTTATCATAACCAACCTGAGACTGGTGTAGTCCATCATTTATCATAACCTACCTGAGGCTGGTTTAGCCCATCATTTATCATAACCTACCTGAGGCTGGTGTAGTCCCTCATTTATCATAACCTACCTGATGCTGCCTGGACAAGGTGGTTGATGAAGCCCTTGCTGACAAGACTGTCCACTACATGGTTGTCCAGTCTGGTGTAGCTGTTCTTTGCCAACAAATCCAATGCCTCCATGACCAAGCCACGTGCCTAGACCCATGCAGGAAGCAGATCTTTACAATATCTACCTATGTTGTGTACCTCACAAGTGTCAAATTCACAGCTAGTTTTTTCAATGTACTGAGTTAAGATGAAAATAATCCTTCTATCTTGTTATCTGGACATCCTGCACATAAAATTTGTCACCAAGGTATTTTCACTTCAGAATGGTATTCGTTCTACTCAACTGAACATTCAATTATAACCTTGCTGCTATTTGAAGACTACAGAAACCTGTTTTAGATGCTTGTGATACTGTAAAATGATTTAATTTAGCTTGTCAATACTTAGCACCATTGGTCTGACTACCTTTTCATGCAGTTTAAATTTAGTGCTGAGAAAAATTGGTATAAATTTTGATGCCATGGAAGTGTGGAATTCATGTTCTATTCATAGCATAATATTTGTATTCACAACAGGTGAACAGAATAACGTGTACGGTTCACTGGTTTTTTTTGTTATGCTTTAACATAGATACAGAATAAATGATTACAACACATAGGTAGTAATTTTTCTCTGTGTTGAAGCCTATTTATGAAGTGTGGGTTATGAGAGCCCGTGACATCATCACACAAAACAAAGAGCTCCTGATTAAGTCGTTTGAGACTACAGGACTATTAGATGCATTGTAAAAACAAGACTGTCCAAACCATTAGATATTGTGTTACTGGTCTGTTGTACAAATTATTGGTGTCGATAAATAAATTCCATTTTCCAACTTTTCGTTCATCTGTTTTAAGCATTATGGAAAATTAAGTGGTCATATTTATTTAACACTTCGATGGCTAGGCATGAAAATCACTAATATTAAATGAATGCTAAAATTTGTCGTTTTACTGTATGTGTTATTCTGACTGCTAATATCTTTGATATTCTAATTTTAGTCATCCTATCAACATATTTATTCTTTTTGAAATATTCCCAGCACTAAGTATATACCTTTTTCATGCAGTGGTATTTTGTTACCAACCCACATTATTGCTCCGAATATCTCACCTTAGCAAGCTCCAGTAGAATATAAATCAGGCCATTCTCTGACAGCAAAGAAAGAACCATGCTTTCTTCATATGAAAAGTTGGTGATAAGAAACTCACTGTCAATGAGAATAGAACAAAAATTATTTCTAAATGTCATTTGAAAATCATTATTTCTCTGTCAAAATTTTACCAGATTTTTCATTTCTTATGTGAAATTCATAATTTGCCCTTAAAAAATTGTATGACTCATTTTCATCATAACGTTAGATGTATTTCAAGCTTTATAAAAAATTTAGTTTAGAAGGTCAGATTAAGATGTCAGAGAATGTCTTACAGAAAAGACTGCTGAAGTTGTGTCTTGTCTCTGGAATGTTCCTGGATCTGATGTACAAAACAGTGTATGGCTAAGTCAGTCAGTTGTTTTCTCTCACTGGTATTGATGTCCTGGTTCTGAATACAAAGTACCTGTCTTGCGTAGGTTAGTACTTCCTGGACGCAACCATACTGAGCAAAGTTTGCCACTCTCCTTGCATGCGAACACTGTTGGATAAAAATACTGAAGTATTGCCATATCATAAAAAATTTAAAATTTCACTTGAAATTGATTTCATTTATTAAGCACCATTATACTTTCAATTACCACAGGTCCAGTGCATGTAACCCCAAGTGTTTCTAAGCTCTACAATTGAGATTTCGAAAACTAAAACTGCTTCCATGTTCTACCTTTTGCAAACTTTTTGTCCTCTCTTTGACAGTTCACAAGCCCTATTTTATGAGTGCATTAAGGCTCTATATTTCCGAATTTGCAACCCCACTTTACAATGTTTGCGAGCCCTGATTTTGAGCACTTGTGAGCTCTATCATTGTATATATGCAGTCCTAATTTACGATGTTTGTAATCCCCGTGTTTGAGAATTTGTGAGCCCCATCTTTGTATATATGTAGGTTGTATCTTAAAGAGCCTGTAAGCTCTGTTTTTGAATGCTTATAAGCCTTACCTTAGAGAGCTTGTAAAGCCTGACTGCCTGAGAGAAATCCTTGTTTTTCAATACATGTTCAGCTGATACTTCATACAGTGTGTTGAGATCAAGACCAAGACCTATACCTAAGACCTCTGTCCGTGAGTGGTCAAGCTGCTGGACGGCCATCTGTAGGAACAGTCGCTCTGGTGATATCCTACATCATTAAGACAGAATATTCATACATATACAATCATCATATGTGTCTGGTTTGAGATATCATTAAAAAACTTGTCACTTTAACTGGTAACTCTAAACAGTATTTTTTATTAAGTTAATGGATACATATATTACTGGAGTAAATATACAGAAATTATAGTTACAAAGAACACTATTTCTAAAATTTGTCCTACACAAATGATTCTCTTGATGATGACAGCATAGTGAGAATAATGTCTAGGTGTATCAAGATTTACCTGGGCCTACATTCATACACAGATGACCCTGTTATTATGACACAGCCATTGAGAACAGTATGACTGGTGACGGTCATATCGTAGGCGGTGGGTGGAAGGATGCTTGGCCCAGCTTTGTTGGCCCGTCCCAGACCAAGCTGTATATCCTGAGCCATCTTTTGACATAGGTCTTCTTCACGCTTATCATGCCAGTAGAATGGATAAGACTTCTTCAGGACCGTCAACAGGTGCTCCTCTTGTGGCAGATCAAACTGTTGTAACACTGCATCCTTGTTGAAATCCTGAAATACAAGAGACAAAATCCTTCCATTGTTGATATGGTTTCAATATATTTTTTTGCCTCCTTTTACAAATTTCAGTTTCAACTGTGTTCATAGCTCTGAAGAAATGAAACCACTGGTTGTTGGGCATAAAATCACTAAGGACAAATCTTTGTATTTTAGGTGCATTCTTCCTTCCTTATAGGTTTACTGTCATACAATGTACAGCAGTTGAAGATCACGCACTGCACAAGATATGCCACATGAAATCTTTAGGTCCCTCCTGTTGTATCAATTACCACTAGCAACTAATTATTGGTTTTCGCAAGAGATCTAATTAAAAACCAACTCACATAGATGCCATAGCTTTTACCTGTTGGTCATCCACTGAGGTTTCTGCCCGCTGGTTAGCTATCACAAGCAATCTCTTCTCCCCTCCGAGTCGTGTTGTAGTAAATATGACTTTGTCTGTCAGGATGACATTATAGGCACCAAATGGTAACTTGTACACAAAAAGAGGATTGTGTTCCACATCACTGTCATAAATCTGAAAATTGAAATGTTGATGGAATGTATAAAAGGCACGCAAGTGGATACTGTAAAATCAGATATTGTCACGTGGCTTCATATTCATGGTTTTCAAAAATTTACTGTTTGGTGGATGCTTGATTATATGGCTAAACATAACTAAATAAATCTGCTTATACTTACTGTAACAATTTGTGAAATTATGAATTAGTTGATTAAGAGTATGTTTAAAATAAATGAAAACAAAAACCCATGAAAATTTATGATTTCACAGCCCCACTTTAATATACAAATTCATAATTTAATTAAGTATAGCCAAAAAATGAATTTAGCTGCACCATACAGCTGTTTGGTCATTCTTGGACTTGTCAGTCATGCTATGAGCTGCCAGTGTTGAAACTTTGAAAGTGACTGAAGAAAAATCAAAGTCAGTCCAAAGCAATCTCAAAATCTAGATTGGGAGGTACACTATTCCCTAATACCTGATATGTGTTTGTCTTGTCACAATGAGCTGCAACAAAGTGCCGTCCCTTTGCATACTGCGGTGACAGGAACACAGATCTCTGGAACTGGTAAAATCTCAGAGGCAGGAACAAGTCAACAGTTTGATCTGTTAAAGTTATATAAAATACACTGTAAAGCATAATTTCAAAAAATTGTTTGTTCTGCAGAGTTTATTACCTCAGGAAAAACCTGGGTAATTTTTTTATTGGATCTCCTTGTAGCAGATAAACGCTACCTTACTGATAAACATACATGACTATCAATATCGATTAGGGTCCTGACCAATGACACTACGCCAGCATAGGAAGACCTGTGATTTCAGCCTCCTAATAAACACAAACTATTCCCAGAAGTGTATCAAACCACACACCTCAGATCTTCACCTGAGGTCACAAAGTCTGACACTCTACTGAATTATCTATCAAGGCTCAAGAAAATGTCTGACTGTAACGTTAAACACAATGGGAGGGAATCCTATCGAAGAAGTCACTGGGGAAAGATATCTTATAAACTGTGGAGACATCTACTGGGTAAGAATATATCAAATGAAACTATAAAGTCAAACCTGGTTAATATTTTTAACTAATATAATTCTGAGACCCTCTTTAATTTGAAGTATATCATCAGTTCCCACCAAAACTTTGAACTAAAATAAAAAAAACTCTGATAACTCCCATTGTCCCACTGACTATCAGATAACAAGTTTCAACTATATATATAAAAGGGGTTCAATCCAAACTTAGGAGAAAAACAGAAACCATCCAAAGAAGGTATCAAACTGTTATAGGAGGGGTTCAATACAATCTATGTAAAACCCCTTTACTGTTATCCAGTAACATATGTAAACATGTTATGTAGGTAAATCAGTATATATGTATTTTACCTGAAGGAGAAGTGATACTGATTACAGGAAGGTTTCTCCCATCAACACTGCTGTAGCCCAGGTCAAGTAGCTCCTTATCAGGCAGGGACAAGATTTCATGAGTACGACTCTCTAAAAGTAATTTCCACTGAACACCAGACTGGTCTGTTATCTATAAATAGAGAAAAAAAATGTAAGTTTGCATAATTGTGACTTATGCAGGTACAATATTTACAATTTTAATTCAATGCAAGGTGATTTTAGCAAAAACTTGTTATTATTAGCATTAAATTATACATGAATATTCAGCAAACTGGAAAGTGTCTTTTAGTTGAAACTTACCAGAAGGTTGGTGGTCATCTGTTGGTCATCTTCCACTATGTCTATCTGCATGATTTTACAATCAAATTTGACTTCATTCAAAGTTTTCCTTGTCAGTAGATCCACAAAGATGATTTCCCCAGTCTGCAAGCAAATGAATTATATAACATTGGTCATTATGTGTAATGAATAAATTGTGAATGAAACATACACTCCTACAACAATTTCTGTAAACCATGAAAAGATTTACTGTCAGTTTAGTAGTTCCTTTGAATATAAACTGCTTTTCAGCACAACCTGATTAAAAAAACAAATGAAAACAACCAGCATATATGATCTGCAATATTCTGTGCTTATAAGAGTTTTAAGTTCATTCAAGTTGTGTGCATAAACTTTTAATAGTGTGGATCATTATTGGATTTTACCTTGTTTGTAATTCAGATAAAACCTTCAAAAATTAGTTACACGCAATAAAAATAAATAAAATAAATCTGAAGTAGTTAAAATCCATTTAGAGTTAAGGATCTATTAAATATGTACCTTTGTACCAATAATGGCTACCTGTTGATCGTCCAGGGTGTGCCACCAAAGGACGGCAGTAGGTACACCTGTAAAATATAACACTGTGAAAACTCCTTCATTGTCTCTACATGTTTAACTTCCATTGTAATGGAATGTCAGAGTTGCTCCCAGAGTGCATTGCAGTTACTTACATGACATTGTTAGTTTCTAGAAATCAATGTTATAAAATAGTATCTTTCATGGTTTCCTGTAGAATATTATATACATTTCACTTGAGTGATAGAACACTCTATATTTCACCTAATAACAGGACCTATGAAAATGTTAAATCCTTTTGACACATGGTATGTACCAGGAAGATATTTGATATCATCCATCCCTACCTTTGGGTCGTTTGACCTTTGTTATAGTAACATCATCTTCCCTCCATAGCTGGTTGACTTTGGCAGTTGGATCCTACAGAAAACATTATCATCTAGCTTATCAACATGTATGGTTACATGTACTATGGAAATATCTATTTCAGGAAAGAGTAAACAAACTATGTATATTGTTTTCAGATTCATTTCATTCATATCCTGAAGCTCTTGGTACTATCACCACTTCATTTATAACAATTCTGATCTCCTTGACAGAGGAATGCACAAATAATTACATATTATTTTTCTGTTAAGTTATGAAGAATTAGTTTCTTTCATGATAAACACATTGAACTGTAGCTAATGATATTTTTGAAGAAGCTGTATAAAATAATCATCAATCTGACCCACAGATCATGGAAGAGGTCACTGGTGGAAATTTTTAAAATCAGTTTGGTCATTAATTTCTTTCAACAAACTTGGTCTCATCATAGGTTAATTGTAAAATCCATTATTTTCGTTGGTTTTGTTGTTATTCTGAAAACACCAATTCATCCACCTATAAAGTTATTAGAACACTTGAATATCACCATGATTGTACTGGTTGATTTTCTTAATACTCTTCTTCCACAAGATCAAATGTCAACAAAAAAACATTTATTCTGAATAAGCATGAAATTTGATACTAAGGAAAATATATGATTTTAAACTCGTCTCATGTAACAGCTAAAAATGAATCTTACCATGACGGACAATGCTGGTATGATGAACAGAGTGGCATCTTCTGCCAGAACCAGTAACCAAGTTACAGTAGGGTCAAAACACATTGAGCTAATAGGTTTATCTTGTGGCCATGGTAACTGGTGAGTGGTCGGAGGTTTCCCGTTTCCACTACTGTACCGAAGGAGGACATACCCTACAATGTAAGAATATTGGTCTCAACACTGAATATGTCTTAACATTGCATAAGTTCAGCCTTCAAGTTGCATGTGAATAGCAAATTCCGCTGGTTGGTTTTGACCAAACAGACATCTGAATGTTGCAATGTATTTGCACAGGACAATCTGCCTGCCAAAATTGGGCCATTCATGAAATTATATGTATGTGATATGCCTCATCAGCTTTTGACAGTTTTTTTTTTAAATTTCAAAATCTTTAGATCTGATTAAGCAGAAAATATCACAGAAGATCCCAGAGGGATCTTGGCACCTAACATTGTCTAATCTGTACATTCAAAGTTGGATCTTTTCTCCTTTTTTTTTGTTTTTGCTCCTCATCATTTGAAAATTTCTAAGAAAATTTGCTTTCCTGATTAGTCCCAAATTAAAAATTCATGTAGTACTTTAAAAGAAATAACAAACTTTCATTGTTAAAATCCAAGATGGCCACCTGCCAACCATCTTGTTTTTCTGATCACTTCCAAAATATAAACGGCAAACTAAGGGACAAAGAAGAATCTATATATAAAATGTGAGAAAGATCCTTTCAGCACTTTTGAAGAAATAGTGATAACAATCTTTCAGAATCCAAGACGTTTGCTTGTCATCCATTTTCTTATTTTGATCAATCCCAAAATCAAAAGGGCACAACTTGGGACCAAGGGACCCTAATCCAGAAATCTATGAAAGATCCAACCTGTTTCTCCAAAGAAATAGCATAAACAATTTTACATAGTCAGAATCTACGATGGCTGACTGATGACCATTTTGATTTTTTGATCAGTCACAAAAACAAAATGGCACAACAAAAGGCCAAAGGGAACCTACATATGAAATTTGAGAATTATCCATCTTGTACATCTAAAGAAATATCAGCAACAAACTATTATTGTCAAAATCCAAGATGGCTGCCTATCAGCCATTTTGTTTTTCACAGGCCAGTCCTTATACAAGGTAAATGAATTATTTTGAAGACTTCACTTTGCCTAAACCAAAGTACATTATGAATTGCAATCATGAATTATGTTTCACTATAATATCCTAAGCTTAAGCTTAGTCTAATTACAAGAGCAAAGCTCTCCAGTCATGCAGGATTCTGAGTGAAGATCTCAAAAGTAACGGAATTCTTAAGATGAGACTGGAAAAAGTTATGTATAAGAATTATCTACTGAGAAGACCTGGGTACAGGTAAACTAATCTGTGTTTCAGTCTACCACAATACAAAATTGTATACAAAAAGGACACTGATGAACCAACTTCTCTATAAACAGGTGTTTTATTCTCATTTTGTGATTACATCAACTTCATTATCTTAAATTATATATTATTTTGGATGTGTATATTCTGTTCTCCGTTTTAATGCCGGCAAGGTATATGTACATCGATCAGTAGTGTATGAGATGGCTTGAGTTAAAAAAAAAAACCTTTTCAATATGAAATGTTATTGGTGAACAAACGCTACACGCCTTTCCTATTATGTCATATAACTAAATGTCAGTGTCATCAGTGTACCTTCATATACACTTTCTTTAAATATAATCATATGTAAATCAACTTTATGGCGTCACATGTTATTGACGTATCAACAACTGGAAAGCGCTGAACTTCCATTGCACATGAGTGACATAACATGCGTGAATCGGTCCGTACGAAATCTAGTTACCATTTGTACAAGCAAGTGCTAGAAGGTTGACTTCGCCTGCTTCTTTGTATGCATAACGAACAATTGTCGGGGAATTCCTAAAATCATAGTCGTCTTTCACAGTGAAGAGTCGCACTAGTTCAAACAATGGAAACATTTCAGACACGGTTAACTTGGTGTCTGCATCTCTCTCGTGCCAGTCAGTGCCTCAGTCAGCTGATGGAATTAGTCGTGGTTTTCCAGATGCTTGTAACCTAAACATGAATCTATGTCTGTTCAAGCGTTTCCTTGATGTATATCTGTTTATAAACGCAAAGTGTACTTTCACTTTGACCGATCGATAATGCATGTGCGTGCTGTCTGATAGGATTTCGTTAAGTGGGTAATAACAGCGAACAAACTATAACCATATTAAAACAAAGCATCACCAGAAAACGTTTGTGTCTGATATGATAGAATAAAATACACTGAGCAACTAACTTGGAAGAGTTTTCACCGACATGAAAAAATGCATATAAAAGTATTTGAGCAGATGCATTGCGGTTCTGATGAAAGGAAAATATTGAACTAAACTATCATCCTGGTTTAGTTACTGAAACAGTATTTGTTTAAAACAATTCCTGACATTGCTGGATGCAAGATTTTCAAAACTAAGAAAAAGAATTTATTTCACAAAATTTATTTTTTGTTTTGATATTTGATAATATATGTACTTGTAGTTTTACTCATAACTGCAGTTTAATGTTTGCTACTTCATATTTTAAGACAACCTTGATTCAGACACTGGTTCTATCATGACTCTAGGATTAAAAACATGAAACTAGGACTTCCATCATTATCCAAATGCAAAAGCTTTGACAGCAAAGCATCAGACTTTGCAACATCAGTTGAGAATCTGAGGTGTGGTTCAATTTGTCCAGGTAGTTTTTCTTTCTCAGGAAGCTGATAACATACTTCGTTCTGTAATGTCATGGTTGTGTCCTTAAGCAATTGCTTTGTTGGCCCTCCAACATGTTGTTCTGTTAGATTTGAGATAGTCATCTGCTAGTCCAAAGAGATTCAACCTAAAAATGATCCTGGTTGTTCACTTAGGAGATAACCCAAGCAAACAAAGATCCAGTCAATGTAATTTCACCCCTCAAATATGAGCATCTTGAATTCCAGGTATAAATTTGAGCCATGGCTATTTCCAACATCAGACAGTTGACATCTTAACCACCCAAATGCCTGTAAAATATGTTCACTTGAATTCTTTCACTCACATACTGGTCTTATATATAATTTCACTGCTTACATAAATTTTCAATGATCAGCTTCAATTACTTAAATTTTTCTGTATGTCTTGTGTATGTTTTTTAAATCACATTTTACCATAAATTCAGTTACACTGGCCATTGATTTATGATGTGGATTTTCTAAATCTATAAGATCTGAATTTACTGTCAATACTTCTAGATCTTCAAGCCATCCTTGTTTAACATTTATTTCAATGTCTCTGCTAGGATTCTAACCCAGGACCTTAGATTACTAGTCTGATGCTCCACCAATCGAGCTAAAGAGAAGTTCTCTCTAGCTGAGCGGTATATTGCCACTAGTAATTTACCAGGGTCACAAACTCCTCCTTCAGGAAATAACTTGTCCTCAAGTCTCCAAAGGTTACAGCAATGTCTGTAAAAGTAAAGCTAAGTATTGTTCCATAGTCCCTACATGGGTACCAATGAAACAGAGGTCATTATTGATTTAAATACCAACTCTAGGATTCAAACCCAGGACCTCTGACTTACTAGTCTGACGCTTAAATGACAGAGCTAAAGAGATTTCTCAAGCCAAGAGGTATATTGTGCCTAGTTTTTACCAGGTTACACTTGTGTCAGAATAGAGTGTGTTGATAACTGACTTATTTACTAATAGACACCAACTTAACCTCCCTCACCTACATTAGTTTTCATCCATTTGACCTACATTTAATTTCACAAGATAGCTGACCAATGTTGCCCTCAGGTCTTAGCACATGACCAATGGACAATTGGGGTCAAAATGTTTATCAAAAGAAGATTTGAAGATGACCTTTGTGAACTTGACCTTTGTGAACTAAGTATTTGACACCTTGACCAACTAAACCAGCAAATGTCTTGGTATTAAGTACCAGGTATATATACATACATATATATATTTACATATATTTTTGTGTAAGTGTGTGTTCACTGTTTAACCTGACCATGTATAGTCAGCGCATTGGGTAAATCACTTCAACTCCTTTATCCAAATATTGAGACATTCTACGTGTATCAAAACACAACAAGTTTCCGAATATTTCAAATGATATGAAAAAAAATCAAATCATACAAAACCAGTAACACTTCAAAACTAATAACTTATTCAATTTTTAATATTTTTTTTTATCTTTTCAGTTATCGTTTTGTTTGAGTGATACAAACCTGGTAAGGCTGTAGCTAAGTGGTTCTACATTAAGACTGACAACAATTTGTAATGTACATCATTTTTATCTAGTAAATGTGGTGAAAACCTGATATGATATGATAAGCACTCTCAACTGACAATACATTGCACACAACAACCTGAGACTATTGTTTTCCACTGTCGATTTTCTGCTTAGACTATCATATTACTAGCATTTTAACCTTTAATCTACTCATCTTTAATGTTATTTTTCTTAAACTTATTTGTAGTTCATTTTTTTTATATCAGGAGTGCAGAATAATATTTTTTCAAATGGACATAACTGCAAAGAGAAATGGAAAATGAAGTACATCAAATCTTTCAAGGTGGAAAGAAGTAGAGTGTCCAATCCTCACTAATCATAATGGACATTGTTCTTTTCTCATTCATTATAATATTCCTGCAGCCTTGATTAAAATTTAAGAAACACTGACCTTGACCTTAGGAACTACTTAAATTTTATATTGCATATCTACATGCTTACCATCACATAGGAAGTTTATAAATTCTAATTACTGGATTCTGAATTATTTTCCACAAAATGATTACAGGGAAACCATATCTCCTATATATATATTACTACAACCAAATATCAAGTCAGTAAACACTGAAAGAAAGACGTGGTTAAACTACATCTGCCAGTGTATAACACTTGTCGAAATATTTGCTACTGTATGCATACTTTTTCAGCATGACTTTTGCACACTAATTACAACAGGCAAGATACTGCTGTTTCCACCTCTGTGTATATTTCTTAAACAGATCACATACACACTGTATACATGTATACATACAGAGAGTACTTCCATTATTACTTCCATATATAAAACTAATCCATACTCATTAAGCATGTCTTGTTTCCATTAATAGGTATCTTAAGTGGAGTGTGTTTTAACAAACAACCAAATAAACAAGGAGATGTATACTCACATGCACACAAACATTAATTATTCACAACAAAACAATACTGCAATACAATTTCTACTGTAAAAGTGAAATTTAAACTTTTTCTCTTTAAACTTTAAAAAATCTCCATCTGAAACCTTGCTAAATTTTCTAGTGTTTCTGATATGTTTACATAAAGGGACATTTCCACACCAATTTAGCAAACATAAAACTGCTGATTGCATCCACAGAATCAGACATTGTACTCTGTCACCATGTCCACTTATATATATACATGTATTTCAAACTCCTTTCAATATTTTCAATCAAACATAAATTCTGTGGGTGATGAAATTGTAAAGAGGTTTCCATTTAGTGATGTAGTGGAAATAGCCAACCATAAAAATGGTCCTCATATTTGCTGTCTGAAAAAATGGTACAGTGAAAAATTGAACAAATAATTCATAGTCTAAAAAGTAATTCTGGAATCCTCCTGGTAAGATAAAAAAAAACTTGTATGATTTGTGTGAATGAGCATCAAAAAATGTATCAGTTAAATACTGTAACATAGTTTATGATATAAGAGTGACCTTCACCTTTGACCATAACAATGACCTTTGACCATAACAGCCTAACACAGATAGATCTAAAGTCCTCACATCAAATTTGATGTTAAATATCTGTATAGGAATTTTCATAATTCATTTGAAAACCTTTAATATAGAGATGAACTATCAAAGACTTAATGTATTTAAACGAAGTATTGCGAGCAGCCCAACTCTGGAAATACTATAACATCCATACATGCACATAAATATCAGTGTATGATGAATTGGCAAAAGTTGTCAAATGAGACCTTTGACCCTATTGCCTTGACCAATGACCACCTAAATATAAGGTTAAGGACATGGCATTATGGTATTATGAGGTATATACGAACCAAATAGATTTAGTGGGGTACAATATTTCAGCATGAAGCACTGATAATTACTTATCTTACTAATCTGATGGCAGTCACTTCTGAACAAAATCTGGCATCACAGAAAGTTCAGCATGGGCACTCCAGCATCAAAAGGGGTATACACATGCAAAAGCAATGTAATTCTGCCTATGTCATCTTTTTATGATGTAATCACATACAAAATTCAGCAATTCTAGGTGAAATAGCACATGATTGATATTTAATATCCCATTCAAAATCTTTGAGACAAAAGGCCATATTTCAATACATAGTTGGAAAGAGGGCCCAATTTAATTATGTGACAACATTGTATCATTCCAAGAAGCACTCATGAACAAAATTTGACAGAAATTATCAACTGTGTTTATGAAAAGAATTTTCACTAATGAACTGATTCAAAGACAATGTGGTAAGTAGGTATGGTGGATTTATTGACAAGCCAGCTATGTCTTCATACAGAGGAGGCTGATATGTCTATATAGTAATGTACACAATCCATTCAAATTTGATCTTTAATCCTAAGAAATGGTTTCTGCCTAATTTTATGAAAGTTTATGAAGTAAATTTTTAGTGAAATTTGATAATACAGTTGTTTTTTGCCTGAAATATGGATATCTTTCTTGCCCCACATACACATATAGATAAAATAGTGTGAGAATAAATGGAGGTAGAGCGATAAATGTGAATCCAGTTCATTTTCTGTCACAATACCTGCAACAAAATTTCTTGTAAATCTGACAAAATAATATGGACCATTATTGGAGATGAGGATAATAACAATGTACTGCACAGTAAGTTTGGACACATAACTAGGAATGAACTGGCTCATTCTGTAGAGAACACATTACCGTCAATACACCCTTGTCAAAACGGCAGCAGTGAAGAACCATCAGTCAATTCCAAACTTAACCCTGTTTTCTCAAAATGACAACACGCTTTCACAAGAACTAGACCTAAGCCTACAAACACTGTAGTTTACAGTAATTTCCAGATATGAAAATGAAACTTCAAATCTTGAACCTTTCAAAAGTCACCATTTTGAGTACAGATGTGAAGACAAGAAAAAACATTGGTATTGGTTCTGTATTTTTTGTTGTAATTTAAAGAAATTCAATTTTAGGAGGTGACACCATCTGTACTTGATTTCTGTAAGTTTTGAGTCTAAATTGTCATGTTCATCATCTACGGCCTCGTCTTTTCATTGCCGCTAAACACTGGGGGCAGTACCATTTGCCCTTGGGAGCTTGTGTCAGACCCACACATCCGTAGTGGAACCATTCTATTGGACACTGAAAGATAAACAAATCACATATTCACCTTATATACTTGACCATTATAGCCTTTTTGAAGTGATTATGCAGTTTTATCAAGAAATTTGTTTCGACCATTTGACAGGCCAAGAGTTCATAATATTAAAATGAAAACTGGACCTGTAGATCTACCAAGCAATAAGAAGAGTCACTGAGATAGAAAGCATGTCACTAATCAACAAAAACCAAAACCATTTACAGGAAAGCTTGGTCCAGATATGATGTTTTGGAACATTACTGATACAGTAGGCTTAACACTGAAAGTGAATCTAATGTAGTTTGAAATCCTGCAAGTATGATAGAAAACTTGTATAAGAAAAGGAATATTATCAATACAGACTATAAAACTGAAAAAAATATTATTTTTAAATAATGCTTTAATGACTTGAATTATGAAGGCAATCAAAATGTGAGAACAATTCTAGTTCTCCATGTTAAAGTACCATGGTACTCTGATGGTTTTGAAAATAGTAATTAAATTGACAAACATTCAGATTTAACAATTACATGCAAATTCTAAAAAAGCTGATTCTTTCTGGAACTTTTTTCTACAATGTAATCAAATACTGCAATGTAAGATAAATCTCACACAATTAATACATTTCCATACTAGTTATTGAATACTTAAGATAAACATGATAAAAAATCCAATTTATGTTGTGGTAAATGATATTTTTCAGAGAAATTTGTTAAAAGATACTACAGATTTGCATTTTAGTTTAAAATTACATGACAAATTTGATAGAAAACTTACATCATCATTATCACAGCCGACCATATCACCATAGGACACCTGGTTACAAAGGCAATAACGAGGCTCGTTGGGATCATTCTGCCAGTCGATGGGCGTACCATGCTCATCCACAATCTGTAACTCTGTACTGACCTCCTCAGCTGCTGGAACAGGATCTCTGATAACAGGCTGACTGGGCTGGGGACGCGAGGGTGGGGGGATGGGAGGTATCTGTTGTTGGGGACTAGGTGTTGGTATACTGGGTTGTTGTGCAGGAACTGTTTGTTGTTGTTGTTGTTGCTGTTGTTGTTGTTGATGCTGTAGTAACTGAGCTGCTTTGGAAGTTTGTCTGAAAAATTGAAGAGAAGACTCAGCAGGGTTATTTATGTTTCAGGATATATGGCTGATATACTGTAATTAAAAGTAATAATGTAGTACTCCCATCTCTTGTTGATCCTTATTTTTTCCTTATTTATCTTTAAGTTTTTGAAGTGCGTTAATGTTGTAGCTAACATAAAACATTACTTTAATAATTCCTTAATTATCTTAAAGTTTTTGAAGTGCATTAATGTCATAGCTAACATAAAACATTACTTTAATAATGACTTATTTTGCAAAACATTTCTGTAAAATTTTTATACAATTTCAGAAAATTTGGAATGAATTGTGAATATGATGATAAGTATTCATGAAGTAAAAATCATTTTGACATGAGAAGTGGTGTTGTCAGACAGCTATACTTACTTTTTCTGTCGAGGTACTTTTGCCGGTGGCTCATGACTAGAAGTGGGTGTTGATGGTTGTGAGTTGTAACCTGTTTCTTTTGGAATGGAAAGTTCTTTAGTAAGGTCAGCTGTTCGTGACATTGCCACATAGCTAGCTTTCATACTAGGAGTTCTCCTGCCCTGCTGCATCTGCAAGAATGGACAGCAAGACTTATAAGGCGCTGGGTATTACTTGTTCAATTTCAAAGGGAAATAGTTCCAACATTCCCTAAAAGATATTGCCTGATCTTATAATTCAAATTAAATATAACATAACACATTTCAGATTAGGTTGTTCTGTTTCAATGTATTATCACAAAAAGTGTCTTTACTACTTTTCAAAAACATCATCAAGAAATTTTATTCAACGTACAAAACATAAATTGTACAGCTTTTTAATCAAGAACATATTACACATTCCTTCCAAACATTCTTAAAGATTTTCTTCGGAATCATAATGAAGTTAATAAGTTATTAGAACTATTATTTTTTTTTCAAGTAAAATATGTTCTTCCCTGCAACTTATGTACACGTGAAAGATTTGTTTTTGGTGTTTAAGGACCCTGACTTCCAGTAAGTCTTAGAGAACATAAGACCCTTTTTATTTCTCTGTAAATCTTGGAGAATTTAAGGGATCTTGTCCTTTCTCTATAAAGGTTGGAGGAGTCAGAGATCAGAGACCCTGTTTCCATTCCATTTACAGCCTAGAACCCTGTCACCTCTATGGAAAGGTTGGAGTGGTTTAGAGCATTATCATCTCTCAATGTAAAGCTCAGATGATTTAAGGGACCATGTCCTCACTTCCTGTCAGGATTTGCGGAATTAGGGGACCCGGTCCTCTTTCTCTGTCAAGGTTAGAGGAGTTTAGGGTCCCTTTCTTCTCTTCCTGTAAATGTGTGTGGAGTGAAGAAACACTGTCCTCTCTCCCTGGAAAGGTTTTAGGAGTTAAAAGGGACCCTTCCTTCTCCCCATGCATAAATTTGTGGAGTTAAAAGACCTTGTCATCTCTCCCCGTATAAGATTAAGAAGGAGCACAAGACAATTTCTTTTCCCTTGCGAAGATTTGTAGAATCAAAGACACCCTGCCCTCTCTCCCTCTATAAAATTATGGAGTTAAGGAACTTCTTAACTATTGAGGTAAAGTTGGAGGAGTAAAGTAATCCCTCCTTCTTCTGTTCCTATAAAGTTACAAAATGTAATGCCACTTACCACATGTTGTGTTGCTGCAATAGCCTGAGATGCGGCTGCGGCAATAGCTGCATTACTTCCGGCTCCCATGTGACCTGTAAAGTATACCAACAACTATACAAAGCATTCACTATTATAAAAAGCAACAATAATATGTTTTACTTTGGGCAAGTTATTCAATTTTTCTTATGAACATATACAAACACAAAAACCAGTGTAAATGTTAATGACTCTAAAGAATTCTTCCTGTTTAACACTGGTACAGTGAAAATATAAACTGTGCCTATTGTTACCGATGTTCTCTGATAAACATTCTTATTCACAAACTGTGTTTTCTAATCCATATTGATACCATTTTAATAGCAGTGAGTGCATTGCCTGGCATAAATCAATAAATTTGTTACATCACAGTATTGCGTGCATAGTTGCATCTGTCATAATTGGTTTTGCTATTAAAGTAAGTTAAGTATTAGATTTGTACATTTTGAACTAATGCAGACATATTGGTTTTTTTACACTTATCTGTAACCTTGAAAGTCACTTTGAACATTCATGCAGAATCAATTTCATTAATAAATATTTGCAGAATAGGCAAACAAACTATTTGAAACACAATCATTGAAAGCAATAGTGAAAGCTATGATAATACAAGTATTTTATCATTTGTTTTACGATATTCCTAAAAATGTTAAAGAAAAGGGAGAGCAGACCATCAAAACATAAAAAAGAAAACATTTACCAAGACTGTAAGTAAGTGATGGTGCTGGTGTGGAGTTAAACATGGGCATAGCTGGTGAGTTAGACCCAGAGTTGGACTGCCTTCGTGCCCCAATTGTCTCCCTTGCAGCTTCATGAGCCAGAGAGGAAAGCACTTTTTCTGTTGTGATCCTTTTCTCTGTATGGTTGGTTACAGAAGGTTGAGATGTTGGAAGTCGTCTCTCTGTTCACAAATTTTGTGCATATAACAATAATATATATACTGCCAAATATTTCATAACTTACAAAACTTTTTAGATATGGTGTTTTGAATGTCAGGTTTACAGACATTTGATATACACCAGATCCATGATTCTCCATATACACATGGGTGAAAGTTGCACATTTTCAAAATTCTGAAAATTAAGCTGGGGGTCCTGGGGGCCGCTAGGGCCCTAAATTGGTCCAGAGCAAATCCCTGGTGGGGGTACAAGTTGGGGCAGAGCCCCCATGAAGCCCCAGGGATATAGCTAATAGATAAACATTTTAAGCAAGAACAAAGTACTTCTCATTTCAGTTCAAAGTAACATCTTAATATACAGAACTGTAAGCTTTAAGTATTCTTCCACACACTTCACAAAAAGTGATCCCACTAATGTCTGGGTTTTTTTTTAACCACTGTCCCCATTTTTCTTCGTTTTCATTGATCTTGTTAAGCCACTGCCATTGCCACTTACTTTTAATGTCTGTCTCAAGTTCTTTCGTATCATACCCTGGGGGTAAATACTTCATTTTGTCAAAAATTACTTTGTCATAGTAACTATCAATGTTCCAATGTAAACACAGACTAATTTCTGGATGTCGTAAACAGTGTAGCGTGTGAAAACAATCGATTATCTCAACAGATTTCCAGGATTTGGAAAAATGGCCTCTGCGGCCACTGAAAATTCAGAATTCCGGATTAATCTGGATAACTTTCACCAATGGATATAGAATGCCTTCATTAATTAAGAAAGTATGTTCTGAGGAAGAGAATATTAATGAACAAATATAGCCAATTGTAACACATGATGATATGTAATACCTTGTATTTTCCTTCAAATAAGACACACAACTTAATAGTCTGATGGACAACTTACTTTCTGCTCTGTGACTGTTGATAGATGGCTGTTTGTCTAATTCTAATGATCCTGAAAATTGAAAATAATTTTTATGATTGGTATAAGAAAATAAATTTGTGTCGATTATACAGGATTGAAAAAGGTTTGAAAACCTGGGTTTACAAAGAAATATTTTGATAATTAAAATGAAATTGGATATCTTAGGTTTTTTGTGTTAAAAGTCAGGCTTCTGTTGATAAATGTGTTGATGAAGTTTGAATGGGAGATAAACAATATTTACAACATGATCAAAATTCTAGAAAATTTCTCTAAGGTTATGAAAACTAGACGACACAGTTTATACAGTCATAAAAAATGTACACTAATTATTGATAAAGACCATACCCTGTTAGTGATTGATAATGAGAACAGAGAATACTATATACTCACGTTTTTCTAAGACTTCAGTAATACCCATATTGTCTGCTTCTAATTCCATTTTAAACTTTGATAATTCTTGATCTAACTTACGCAAATGTCTATCAACCTATTTCAACAGAAAATCAGCAAATCTATTACATTAGAAAACAATAGGCCCTTTGACCTGAATCACTCATTCTCTTCTATTTTCTATTTCTATCTGTTGTGTATATCATTTATAAACAATTCAATTTCAAACTTCAATTCTAAGACAAAACATGTTAGCATAAGTTTATCTCAACTTTCAATTTTTCTTAATTTTAAGAGTAATGAATTTTAAAAATGGAAAACAAATTTGAATCATCATAATCAAACAAAATGGATATTGGTATTTGTTATTGATCATGAGCAACCTCAAATATATGAAAAAATATTTGGCCTCAATTCTATTTGTGTTATCTCATTTTCACATTCTCATTCATGAAAAACAAAATAAGAGATAAATGTAAACTACACCATTCAAATGAATTGTTATTATGGTATGAGAAGAGTACTTGCCAGCATATGAAAAAACATCCTGTATACATACCAAATCATGAATGTGGTTTGCTAACTGAACCTTTTCATCTGCATCTTCTAATGATTTGTAATAATCCTGAAGTGAAATATTATTAATTTCAATCAAAATATCATCAATATCAATCAAAATATTATCAATAAGATCAATTTACTTTACTCTCAAACTCAATCAGTTCTTTAGTACAGAGTTTGAAATTTGTAGTGTTGTATTATATTTGTAACTTCAAAATGTTAATATATTACAAAAAATAAATCCCCACTTTTATGTATACAATATCGTTATTATGCTAGTATTTAGCATTCAGCTTGTAAGTTTGGCTTTAAATAAGAATTTTGGAAAAATGAGATAATATATGTTTTAGCCTCTTATGTTAGGAATTCTTTGAATCTATTAAAAAAAAAAACTATGATGCAAGTAAATTAAACATTCTTACAACTTACTTGTTTAATTTTCTCGAATTCTTCTTCCTTTGATTCAGATTTGACATTTGTTTGAATACATTTCTTGAAAAATGACTTCACACGCTCATCTAAACTGTCCAGAGCATCTGGAGACAAAAAAGTAACAGAAATATATAAGCAGTATGATTATACACAATTACCAAAAAATGTCTGTTAACAAAATTGAAATGGAAATTATTTCATTAAGGCTGGATCTTCTTAGGAATGTTTAAATACTAACAACTCAATCCAATTGGTTGAAGGTTGCAAATTAAAAGTCCAAGTTGAAAATCTTTACATTATAAAAAGTATAAATAACCTGATAGTTTTAATTCCTAACTAAATCTCAGTACATCTAATACATATTGCATCCCTCTGTTCACTTTTTCACAATTACAAACAGTTATACCAGGATGGTTGACCAACCACCTATAGAAGAGATAATGTTGCTAAACCATATGTTCATGTTACTTTATATAATCTTACTTTGAACTTGCAGATCCATTTCTCTCATTTCTGTTAATTTTTCTCTCATTTCCATTGGAAGATTCTCAATCACTGAAAAATTAAAACTGAACTCATGAGATAAATGCATCACATTCAAATGTATCATAATTATATTACCATGAGTCTTTTTCCCAACTGGGTGACAATTGCTAGAACACAACTTTTTATAAAATTGCATGCAACTTTTTGTTTTATTGTGTCTGAAGTTAAGAAACTTATAAAACAGATTTGGTGATATCATCATACAACGTAATCGAAAATTTGAACGTGAATATATATAAGATTATTCAACTCAAACATGCCCGATATCAAGTTGAAGGTTATACTGTCCATATGGACAAGCTGGTACTTTTTTCAAATGAATTACATTGATGTGAAAATAGTAAAATCATAAATACTTTGAAGTCAGTTAAATAAAGTTATCTAAGGGATTTCAATAATTTATAACAAAGGACTTTTACTATATTCGTATAAATATGAGACTGTGACTGTGCGTTTTGTGGCTTATTACATATATAATCTACACAAACAAACCGATTTCAAAATGTATACTATGACATGGCTTTAAAAATTGCTATCTATAATAGTTACATGTTCAGTTTAATTGTATCATGAGCAACATACTTTCTAAATAATCTTCTAAATACAACATTTTGAAGTTTTTGTGTTAACTGCAGTTCCTTTTTCAACTTTCTGTTTCACGTTTTACATCGGAATACATCGGACTGTAGAATCTTCTTCACTAAAAAGTCTAGATTGCTTCCGAATGATTTCACCGGGTAAATTAAACACGTGTAACAGCACTTTTGATTGGATAGACTGATTTAGGTATACAGTGGTGGTTTCATTTCAGTGATACATTTTAGCGAATTCAAAATATTTATTTTCTTAAATATCACCTCTGTGTTGAAGTAGATCATAGGTATATCGACTTATGAATACATATGAATAAGATGAGAACAAAACTAAAATGTACGATCAAGTAGCCAATCATAATGTCTGTTGTAAACTATCTCAGAAATAGGCAGAGTTAGGCTTATATTATTAACCCTTATAATAAAAAAATACATGGTTGGATGAAATATGAAAATTTTACGTGTCGACAAGATAAGATGAATTATCATTTCGTATGAGTAAATCTAGATGCAAATAAAACTTCAAATACAAAAATGTGATATAATACGGAACTAATATTATGATATGCCCTTATTGATGTTTTCCGTCATCTGCTAGATTTCCCGAAAAAGGATGAACCGCATATTTACTAAAGCTTGGAAGACATTTTCAGGGTTGACTAACTGTCATAATTTGAAAATACATTATTACATAGGATGTTCGAGGAAGTATGCTTCATCAGGTGTACGTATGCACAAAAGTAGACTTAAGCAAACTTGCAATTTAATTAACGTCATAGAAACTGAGAGGGCACCAAAGACGATCATTACAGCCGTTCAATGTCATACTGAAAACATTGCTCATGAACATGGAAATATAAGTATAGAACAGGTCCTACTGTAAAGTGTGATGAATTGATGTTTCATTTCGTTTCAACACAATTTTATCATACAAAAACATACAAATAGATCAGATGATAGGCAAGACTTAAATGGTGTAAATAGGAAGAAGAAATGAAAAAAATCACCCTGTCCTTACTAGTGTTTAAATTGGCCACCCTTCAGTCTCTAGCCGGATACTCAACTGACTGACTAAGGGGAAAATACCACTAGCGAAGGCTAATAAGGACCAGTAGTCTCAACTGCACTACACTTTCCTTCAGTCTTTCGACCCCGTAAACAACAACAACACATGTTCAATATAGGTATATTTAGTTACATACAGGTTTTCGGTATCTGTGACTTGTCCCATTGCAGGGTATTGTCTCATTAACAAACGTCTGTGTTCTGGTGATGATATCTCCATAGCAGTATCTCATTCTCCTATAGTTTCTACTCATGGAATGGTCAACAGCACCAAATCTATAATAGGAAGAAGTAATAAGAAATAACCCTGCCCTGCTGGGATTTGAACTTGCAACCCTTCGGTCTCTAGCCAGACACTCTACTGTGTGATCAACTAAAGGGAAATTTACACTAGCAAAGGCTAGTAAGGCAACCTGTACTCTCAACTTCAAACTTGAAGTTTGAAAAAGATATGTCAAGATCAGTATTTAAGCACTACATTAAAGCAAACCTATGAAGTCAGGAAACTGTTCCATGTAGAAAGGTGCAATTGTGCCTGGTGCACCTTTAATTGATATGCTCCTGGCTTGGTATGCAATACACAACATGTCAGCATGCAGATTTACAGATGTAACAGGAAGGAGTAATCAAAAATATGTTCTTATATATTGGCCCTTGTGGATATAGTTGGTAGAAGCAATGAATGCAGTACATGCTTTTTCTCTTTGTCATCACATGCCAATAGATACAGAGCTGTCCCTGATATGGCCTGTACTTTTGACCTCTTGCTCTCTTGCCAGATAAACTGTAAGCTCAAAGCTATATCATATCAAATTAAACCTTGAATAATTTTTGTAAGAGAGGAGTTGCCTTCATTTCATCTGTCGTTTTCATTAGGGTTTCATCTATACTTGCAATAGTTTTTACTGCAGCTATATTGTCTTAACTTCAGTCTTATCTAGGGGCCATATCTCATGTACTCTGTGACCTATAAATAACTTCTCAGTTCTGTTATTGTTCTTGTTATATTTATATTGAAATGTATAGGTCTTATGTCGCTTTACCATTTTCTATGCATATTTCATTGCCCAATTTGGAACTGAAAAAATTGTCCAGATTTTGGGAGCTGTGCTTTGTAATTGCTTGCATTACTTTGTCTTTAAAATGATATACTTTTTAAGGTATAAAAACAAAAATTGATTTACATGGCCAAGGTCAATAAGTAATGTAAGTGATTCAGGTTAGCATTTTATTATTTTCTGATATTTGGCATTGATTTCTTGTAAATTAATCCAAGATTTTTCTTTAAATTTTCAGGCAACCAAGCGTACTTGTTTGTATGACTTCCATTGTAAAAATGGTGCAAAGATGGTGCCATTTGGGGGATGGGAGATGCCAGTTACATATGCACAACAAGGGCTTTCAACTTCCCACTTGCATGTTCGATCAGAAGTAGGATTATTTGATGTCTCCCACATGTTGCAGACAAAATTTACTGGGAAGGACAATGTGGCCTTCATAGAGAGTCTGGTTGTAGGGGATGTAGCAGCACTAAAGGAGAACCAGGGAACACTGTCTCTTCTCACCAATACTACAGGAGGGATCATTGATGACTTGATTGTTGCTAAAACTCACCAAGGATATATTTACGTGGTTTCTAATGCAGGATGTGCTGAAAAGGATTTAGATCATATAAAGGTTTGTATTTGAACTCTTTGTGTAACTGCACCTTGTCTTTGTATGTTTGTTGTTGTTATCAAGGTAAAAGCCATGATCCTGTTGTAAGTCCAGTGTGCCAACACATTACTTCTTGCACTGAGTCAGTTGATTGGCTTATTACAGGACCACACAGGGCCAACATTTTACTTCTTAATCAAAGTCAGGGGGTGAGCTCTTTACAGGACCACAAGGGGACAACACATTACTTCCTACTTAGAGTCTGAGATTGGGCTTAATACAGGACCACAGAAGGTCAACACATTACTTCATTCTCACAGTCAGGGGGTGGGGTTTTTACAGGACCACAGAGGGACAACACATTACTACTTACACTGAGTCAGTGGATGGGCTTATTACAGGCACAGGGGTCAGCACATAACCTCTTAATCAAATTTAAGAGGCAAGCTTATTATAGGATCACAAGGGGCCAACACATTACTTCTTACTTAGAATCAGAAATTGGGCATATTACAGGACGACAGAGGGTCAACACATTACTTCTTACTCAAAGTTGGCATTGGGCATATTACAGGCCACAAAGGGCTAACACATGACGTCTTTCTCAAGAGTCGAGGGATGGGCTTATTACAAGACCCCAGGGCCAACACATTATTTTTTACTTAGAGTCAGAGGTTGGGCTTATTACATATATATGGAAGCATGGGCATAGGCTAATTGTAAGATTACATACACAACTATTGCTGATAGTTTATATTTAACATTTCAGTAGAGTAGGAAGTGCTTTATTTATTTCACTTTCTTCAGAATGCAGTTCCCAAAGTTCTGAATGAGATTAATGCTGTCACAATAATATTTACATGACAAAAAAAAACAACATGATAAAGTAATCTGTATGTTGTGCAGAAAAATCTTGCGGAGTCGCAGAGTAAAGGCATGGATGTTGACATGGAAGTGATAGACAATGGACTCCTTGCTCTTCAAGGTGTGTATTTTTTAATCATCATCAATATAATACTGCTATAAGGATTAGAATGACAATGATCATTACCAGTTTAGCAAGTTTCTTTAAACACAAAAAAAGTGCATGAATTTGACACTATTATTGTAAAATTTATATTCTGACAGGTAGCACATGCATTGCTTGCATATATTTATATCTGTAATTGCAAGTTATATTTTGAATTTTTAGGTCGTCTGACCCCAAGGGTCGAGATGCCCCATAGCCATCGTGCTTCATCCGTCATCGTCCACCGTCCGCCGTGCGTCGTCCGTAAACTTTTCATTCAAAAAACTTCTTCTCAAATACTAGAAGGCCTAGGGGGCTAATACCTGGCCCATAGCATGCTGGCATGGAGCCCTACAAAGTTTGTTCAAAGTAATGACCTTGACCCACTTTCAAGGTCACAGGGGTCAAATATGTTAAAATATACAAACGACTTCTTCTCAATAAGCAAAAGTCCATGAGTGCTGATATTGGGTCTGTAGCATGCTGGGATGAAGGGCTACCAAGTTTGTTCAAATGAATGACCTTGACCCACTTTCAAGGTCACAGGGGTCAAATATGTTAAAATATACAAACGACTTCTTCTCAATAAGCAAAAGTTCAAGAGTGCTGATATTGGGCCTGTTAGATGCTTAGAGGAAAGGCTACTAAGTTTGTTCAAATGAATGACCTTGACCCACTTTCAAGGTCACAGGGGTCAAATATGTTCAAATATACAAACGACTTCTTCTCAATAAGCAAAAGTTCAAGAGTGCTGATATTGGGCCTGTTAGATGCTTGGAGGAAAGGCTACTAAGTTTGTTCAATTGAATGACCTTGACCCACTTTCAAGGTCACAGGGGTCAAATATGTTCAAATATACAAACGACTTCTTCTCAATAAGCAAAAGTTCAAGAGTGCTGATATTGGGCCTGTTAGATGCTTGGAGGAAAGGCTACTAAGTTTGTTCAATTGAATGACCTCGACCCACTTTCAAGGTCACAGGGGTCAAATATGTTGAAATTTTTAAACAACTTCTTCTCAACAACCAAAAGGCTCAGAATGCTGATATTGGGTCTGTAGCATGCTGGGAGGAAGGGCTACCAAGTTTGTTCAAATGAATGACCTTGACCCACTTTCAAGGTCACAGGGGTCAAATATGTTAGAATATGCAAATGACTTCTCAATAACCAAATGATTAGAGTGCTGATATTGGGCTTGTAGGATGCTTTGAGGAAGTGTTACCAAATGTGTTCAAGTGAATGACCTTGACCCACTTTCAAGATCACAGGGTTCAAATATGTTAAAATCTGTAAACGACTTCTTCTCAGTAATTAAAAGGCTCAGAGTGCTGATATTGGGCCTGTAGGATGCTGGGAGGAAGGGCTACCAAGTTTATTCAAATGAATAAAGCCAACTGCTTTAACAGCAGACTCACTGTTGTTAGAGTTTGGCTTGCTTTTTGTCAGATGACCGTTAAGGCCCATGGGCCTCTTGTTATTTTTTACTTCTAAATGAGTAACAATTGGTTGGTTCTGATGTCAAAGGCAGATCAGAGAGACAGTTTCTTATGAGCTAAGAAGTCCTTTTTGACCAATAGCTTTTTGTTTGAACTCTGATATCACCGCATTTCAAATGTGATGCAGCATCATGGTTTTTCTAGTCCAAATTATATTTCATCTTGGATTTTAAATGACTTCGTTTCCTTTTTAGAAAAACTTTAGGAAGACAAACTTTCATTAAAAAAAATAAAATGAAAAAAAAGAATAGCAGTGTTTTTCTCAAAATAAGCAAGATTCATTCAAATAACTACCAACTGGTACTGTGTTAATGAAAATAGATTAAAATCTGAATTTCCATATATAATATACTATAAACTGCAACAGTAATTTGAAATACTGATATTTGTTCTCTTGTTTGGAGTGTAGGTCCTAAGATGGCTCAAGTGCTTCAAACTGGAGTTGACTTTGACCTTTCTACTCTTCCATTTATGACAAACACCCTGGCAACAGTATTTGGAATCCCTGAATGTAGAGTGACAAGGTGTGGTTACACAGGAGAGGATGGTGTGGAGGTGAGGTGTGTTTTGTGTCCTTCAGTGAAGAGTGAAAAGATACAGTTACATAGGAAATGACATTGTGGAGCTTAGGTGTGTGAGGCTTCCTGAGTATTATGACAAAGTGCAATTACCCTGAACAGAATGATGCAGAGGTGAGGTGTGTTTAGTGTCCCAGATTATGGAGTGACAAGATGTGGTTATACACTACAGGAGAGGACAGTGTGGGAATGAGGTGTTTGGTATCTCTGAGTGCAGTGATAAGGTGTTTTAAGGCAGGGAAGGAATGTGTTGAGGGGAGGTAGGTTTGATATCACTGAGAATAGAGTGAGGTGTGGTTACATAGAATAGGATGGTGTGAAGTTGAGGTGTATCTGGTGTCCCTGAGAGTCAAGTAACAGGGTGTGATTACACAGGAGAGGACAATTCAGAGATGGGATGTATTTGACATCCCTGAGTGAAGAATGACAAGTTGTGGTTACACAGAAGATGATGATGTGATTTGTTATCACAATTTCTTGAAGTACAGGATGGATCTTTCTCAAATTTCATATGCAGGCTTCCCTTGGTCCCTAGTTGTGCCTGTTTGATTTTGGGACTGATCAGAAAAACAAGATAGCTGACAGGCAGCTGTCTTGGATTTTTTTCAGTGAAGTTTGTTATCACTTTTTTTTGAGAACTACTGCATAGATCTTTCACAAATTATATGTGTAGGTTACCCTTGATCCCTAGTTGTGCTCTTTTCATTTTGGGACAGATCAGGGCCAATACATTTAGAATACATGGTCAGTGTCTTGAAATAAAAGCAGTATTTTGGCAAGGATGAAGAAAGATAAAAGAGGCTTACCACAATTGTTTTTCTGTCCTGAGCCAAAATACTGCTTATATTTTAAGACACTGACCAAGTATTCTATTATTCCTTCAACATAGATGGAAAACCTGACTATTGTTGTTCAATCCGTGTTTACCTGAATTTTGCCTGATGACAGACTCCGAAGTAATTGCTTCGCATTGAGATATAGTTCCAAACTTGATCGGATATGACATTGATTTTATGAATTTTCATAGATCAACATGTTCATTACAACATGTAAAATCACTTACTTTAACAACTATCTATATTTCTAAATGTAATATTTAAGTAAAAATACAGCTGGTTTTCGTCACTGCTAAATACAGCAAAAATATATGTGGCAGGTGTATTCCAAAAATGGCAGTGCCAGTTGCAGGATAAAAGTCATTTTATTGTAATGAATGGGTTATCAAAATCAAATATATAATATACTTTTAAAAGTTAATGTAATTTACCTGCAGATATCAGTGTGTGCTGATAGGGCAGAAGAACTTGCCAGTGCTCTGTTGAGTTCTAAGGAAGCAAAAGTAAACCTGGCTGGTCTAGGTGCTCGAGACAGTCTTCGTCTAGAGGCTGGCTTGTGTCTCTATGGCAATGATATTGATGAAGAGACCACTCCAGTTGAAGCGAGCCTTTTATGGACTATTGGTAAATACTGTGGAATTGTAACACTTTGTGTGATGTGGAAACGACTACCTGGTATCTTAAATGATTTTAATAGTAAATTGATAGTCACACATGAGCTAATGACACTGTGACATGTGCTTCCTAGCACAGTGACACACTATGTATTGCAGTGACATACTAATTAGCATATCAACACCTTATTTTTACTCTTTATAATACACTGACACACTGATATAATATGTAATGCATTTGAAATACTATTTAGCAAATCAATATCGATCTTGCTGTGGGTACCACATTCACAAACTATGAAACACAAAAACACACTAATGTAATGGACACACTGATGCAACACACAAACACCATATGTTACACATTAACACACCAATGTGACACAATGACACACCAATGTAACACAATGACACACTAATGTAATACACTGACACAGCATGTTACACATATACACACTAATGTATTACACAGACACACAAAGAAACACATTGACATGCTATGTAACACATTGAAACCATATCTAACTGACAGTGTATAACACATTAAGATACTGTGTTTTTTAGCATATCAACAGCTAGATAACATTAAAATTGAAAACATATATATGTACCAAAGGATCACCTATGTGACTAAAACTAGAAAATAATTGTATATTGAATTTAGGTAAGCGGCGGAGAGCAGAGGCCAACTTTCCTGGAGCTGATATTATCTTACAACAGATAAAGGACAAACCAAAATCAAAACGTGTTGGTTTTCTGTCGACTGGTGCACCTGCCAGAGGTAAGACTTGCAGGTTTGCTAAAACCTTATTTAATGTGAAATATTTTTGAGTCTCCATGTCAAAAAATAAGATCATTGTGTCAGGTGTCTCAGTTCCTACCAGAAAATGATTGGCCCAAGACAGCAACATTAAAGCAGCAAAGTCTACTTCAATACGGTGTAACATATGTTTCTGATTACATGTTTTATTATAAAAATGAACAGATATAATTAGGTATTGCCTATGTGTAAATTTAAGGTATAGTAAATGTTAAGATAAAAATTCAGCCATTCACACTCCAGTAGCATATGATTCACTGAGGTGATTCCAAAAATGGCAGTATGTACTAAAGTTGAAATATTATATTTCAAAATGGCTGCTGGCAGCCATCTTCACTTACCTGAAGAAGGTCAAAATGTAACATGCACAACAAGGATCCATACTGAAGCTCAAAAAGTTTCAAGGTAATCTGTAATCCATTCAGTAGTTCATCAGAATTAGTGGAAGGAGACTTCAATGCATATTAACTAGCATTGAAGGCAATCTTTATTAACAAGTACTGCTACTTCTCTATAAAGGCCACTGGTTTCTTGTCCCAATGTAATACAATTATAGTAATATGCTGCTTTTTTCTGCTCTTTAATAGACAGGTTTCATTTTATTATTTACTAGTGACCATGTTGAATTTGAAAACACTGAAAATGAGTAAATATATGGTATACTTATAAACACTTTGATAGTGTACGTGTTATTTTCTGTTTTGTTTTATAGCTGGCACTGTTGTGTATGATGAGGCTGGAGAAAAAGTGCTTGGTAAACTGACCAGTGGATGCCCTTCACCTTCCCTTAACAAAAATGTCTCCATGGGCTACATCGACACGCCATATGCAAAAGTTGGAACCAATGTCAAATTTGAAATCAGGAAAAAACTTATTAATGCAACAGTCTCAAAAATGCCTTTTGTTCCTGCAAATTATTTCACATGAATAAATATCACATTTCTACCTCTTTAGCATTTTGCCTTCAGATAAATGTAAAGTTACATTTATTTTTCTCACCACAATGTGCTTGTCATCTATTTTTCAGCATTTCTCCAGCTGTGATTTTTTGTTTCTCGTTTTCAACTGAATTTTTTATAGTAATAAATGTTCAATTAATTTTAAGCAAATATTTCCCTCACATTACCATGGAATTTCTTCCTTGCTGACAATAAACCTAATTATCTAAAAAGCAGAATAGTACCAGTATTAACAGTTTACTGAAGGATTGAATAATATTATATAGAGGTTTATGGGGTATAAACCTCAAGGAACTTGAGACAAATTTTATGTTAGTTAATATATTCACAGTTCTTATAAAAAAAATGTCCCAAGGCTCATATGAGGTTTATACACCATAAACCTCAACATAACATCTTATCCAATCCTTATATTTGTATTTAGTCTGATTTTGAAACTTTTCTTGTGAGTTCATAGCAAAACAGGTCTTGTGCAAGCTTATCATGAAACTTGTCGAAACATGCATGTACATCTTCCCACTTCAGCCTAATGATTTTTTTTGGAACTTTTATCTGAAACGCAAACTAATTCATAGAAAGGAATTCATTTTGTATAGACACAATCAGTTTTACAAAATAAATAAAAAGAAAAAAATGATCCCATGCTCGGTGGAGCAACTGACAGTAATGATAATTCCTTAAAGGGGAAACAACATGGTAGATAGATGTGTGTGAAGTTCACTTCATTTCTCTCTCACACTCACAATGGAAAGAGCATTTGCTGAATGTTGAAATTGACTGAAATGCAGCCATACTTCATACAAGTAGGTCTTGAAGCAAAGAGAGATTGTTCAAGCTGATGCCAACTGGAAAATACATCGAAAAGTATGTGCCAATTATCTTGGTAGATATAATGAATCCAAGTTCAATGGATATAGAAATATGTATTTGTGTTAGAAATTATTGTTTTCAAAGCAACAAGTGTACAAAAAATATGTGCGGTTGAATATTCTGAGAAATGAAGAGTAGAAGTTTTCTATTGTGTGATATTTTGGGTCATTGTTGATCAGCAGAGAAAATTTCATGTAACAAACTATGTGTTTACATAGAAGCTGACTTATCTTAATTCTTATACTTAAAATGTCAATATATATATAATCTTTTCATAAAGTATTTTCAAAACTTGTGAATATTAGTTTGTAATCAGTTTGACTTAAAATGTCAATATATATATAATCTTTTCGTAAAGTCAATGGGCCAAAGGCCAAAAATATTTTCAAAACTTGTGAATATTAGTTTGTAATCAAGACAGATTTTGAATATACATGCATAAAGTATGCAGCATACCTGGGCCAAGGGTATTACATTTCATATTAGCAGGTCTCAATATGCAATGATATTAAATTACTTTGTGCATCTGATTGCATGTCATGAATGCTACAAAAGTTGAGTACAATCAAACGCATCTGTAAAAGACTACCAACTGGAGCGTAGAAACACATTTTTTAGACAGATGATCCTTAAACAGAGGTTAACATACATGTACTATGAGTTTTATTGCATTTGGACCTGCAACCAGATATTTGTTTTATACAGGTTTCCTTTGTAGGCAGGTATTTGTTATATACAGGTGGCCTTTGAGGCAGGTTTGACTGGTGGTTTAATTACTATACTGTACAGTGTGTTTTTGTCCTTTTGACAACAGTATTTACTCGTAGTTTACTGAAATTTCTTACATATAAGATCTGCTGACATAAATCTTTCATTCAAAACCTCATTGGACAACTGGTCCATCAACTTACAAGTATATGTATACATATGTCTAAATTTGCTTACTGAAATAGCGACATTATTTTTTTATTGAATCTCAAAGTACCAAGACAGATCTCAGCTTCCTTAGAAACACAAACCACCCATGTTTTAAAATATGAGAGTGATACAGGTAGCGGAGGAAATATATCAAATAAAAACACATCTTGTCTGGAATATACCTAGTGAAAATGAACAGATTCTGAGTTTTCTGTCCAATACTTTCATTTCTGATCTGTGTTACCATTTTCTATTTTAAATATTAAATGCAGCCCTGGGTTGTGTGATTATCTATGTTTGTTAAAACATAAAATGTATAGCTATGACAAATTCTGATTTATTACCTGAATAGCTTATCAATTTAGCATAAATTTCTATTTTGTGAGTCTTTCCATCAATTGATTTTTTAACAACTTCTGTGAAATATAAAGTACAAAAAAGATTATAAAATTAAATGTATGATGTGTACCTGGTATATACTGGTACCAAAGTTACAGTAGGTCCTTAAATGTTAATAGTCATTTACTTGCAGTGATGGAGTCCTTTAATTGGATTGATATTTTATAGTGCATGATATGTAATTTATAATTAAAGAAAAAATTTTAACATAAATTTGTGTCATCTCTTCTGTTCTGTAGAAATATATCTTGATATGGTTTTATTCTTGTGACAGCTACTGGCAAACTTTTCCTGTGATTACTCAACTGAAAAGGAAATTTTGTTTTTCATTTATTGCCTTCTCTATCCTTTTTATCAAAGAAATTTCCCCCAGTCAACACAATCCACTAGATACTCAGTCAAGTATACTGAGTGAGATTTGGTAATGATATTTTACTTAAGTATCAGAAGTCTATGGCTTTTAAGCCGGCCATTATCAGATGGTGGGCAATTCAAATTGCCTTGCATCTGTGGTCCGTCCATAAACAACATTTGTTATCGTTATTTCTTGAGAAGTGCTGATTAGCTCTTTCTCAAACTGTATATGTAGGCTCCATTTGGTCCTTAGTTGTGCCTCTTCAATTTTGGGTCTGACCCGAAAAACAAAATGGCTGACAGACAGCCATCTTGAATTTTGACCTTGAAAGTTTGTTATCGTTATTTCTTGAGAAGTACTGGATGGATCTCTCTCAAATTTCCTGTGTAGGTTTCCCTCTGTTCCCTGTTGTGCCCATTTAATTTTGGGACTGATCAGAAAAATAAAATTGCTGATGTATAGGTTTCCCTTGGTCCCTTTCTGTGCCTGTTTGATTTTGGAACTGATCAAAAAAAACAAAATAGCTGACAGGTGGCCATCTTGAATTTTGACATTGAAAATTTATTATTGCTATTCATTGAGAAGTACTGGATGGATATCTCAAATTTCCTGTGTATGTTTCCCTCTGTCCCTAGATGTGCCCATTTAATTTTGGACTGATCATGCAGCCATCTTAGATATTTTCAATAAAGTTTGTTATCACTATTTCTTCAAAAGAACTGTATAGATTTATGTGTTTATAGATGTATAGGTTCCTCTTGGTCCCTAGTTGTGCCTGTTTGAGTTTGGGACTGATCACAAAAACAAAATGGCCGACTGGCAGCCATCTTGGAATTCACCCTTGTAAAAATTGTTTTCCCTGATTCCTTAAGTACTAAAGAGACATCTCTCAAATTTCATAGATATGTTCCCTTTGGTCTCTCCTTGTGTGCATTTGATTTTGGGACTGATTGAAAGCAAACAAAATGGCTTCCAGGCAGGTAAAGATTATCATCGCAATTTCTGCAAAGGAATGTTGAAATGTCTTGTCATTAAGAGCAAAAACAGAGAAGAGGAAAGAAGAGAAAAGATCCAATTTTCAATGAGCAAAATGCAAAGATTCCTTGTGGATCTCTTGTTCATTATGCCAAAGCCTGATATGAGCAGTTTTATGACAAACCCTAACAAGATACTGTAGCAAGAATTGGGAGTGCAAGACGATACCCAAAATCGCCATATGGAGCATTGACGAAATCCTTAACAAGGATGGATGATGTCATTAATTTTCTAAACACATAAAACAAATCAATGTCACTTTTATCTCAATATATTTTCAAATACCATATCACATCTGTATTTTAAAAGTTAAAATATAAAAACTTCAAAACCATAAATCAAATGTCTAAAAGTCTAAAATTCATTATTACATTGTCCAAACCCATACATGTGCTGTAAACACTGCTGCATTGTGTTTCTCTGTTGTATGTAGCCTACTTTTGTTATCACCTATTTGCCATTCCAGCACTGCTGCCTAGAGTAGACCTTGGTCATGAGATGAATTGTCCTTGTCTCACACTGCTATATACAGCTGACTCTAATCATGAGATATCCAGTCTCAGGGTTTTCCATAATTTTGTTAGTAGTAGGCTGTGTAGTGAAAGTAGGTGGCTGGTGAAGCAAGCTGACCCGAGCTGCAACGCGGCGAGGTGGGGGTGGCCTGCTGTGTACATGTAGTCATGTATGGAATATTATTATGGAACTGGATTGGTGTAGGCGGCCAAATGATCAAAGAAGCCAGCCAAATTGGCCGGCGACCTGCTCTTATGGAAAACCCTGCAGTCTATCTCAGTATTGATGTATACAGCCAATTCTAATAACAAGGTATCATGTCTCTGTCAGCACTGTATAGGACCTTGATTACCAGCACTGCTGTGTACAACTTAACTTTAATCACCATACATCCTGTCTGTTTGTTACTTTAGCCCGGGTTTTCCTAGGCAATCGTTTTCGCTGTCTGAGAGAACTGGCTCCTGTAGCAGTTGCAGTATCATCAACATATGGCACAACTCCTGTGAAAGACTGTCAAAACAAACCAAAAATGAAGCAGAGATCAATGAACTTGAAGTCTTATTTAAACTAATATCATCATATATTTACATTTTGCTCTGTGGTCACCCTTTATGTCTATATTAATCTGGACTGCATTCACAGTATTGTAAATGCAGTTCAGAGAGTGCGCATTAATATTTTTTCTGTGAAAATGTTGAAACTGCTGTTAGAAAAAACCAGTCAAAACGCGACAAGTCTTTTTAATCAGTATCGAAAAAGCGCTGTCTCCTCACCGTCGCCTAACGATATCTGGTTTACCGATAAAGGTTTGTCGAAGCGAACATTCGCGAATTTCCTCACTGATATCTGTCGTGCTTCCTCCATCGACAAACGCTACACACCACATTGCCTTAGGGCTACAGCGATACAATACTTGAATGATCAAGGATTTCAGGCTAGACACCTCATGTTCATGAGCTCCCATAAATCTGAAAGTTCGCTTCGGTCCTATAACCGCACAGTTTCGACAACACAGAAAAAGTCACTCAGTGCATCGTTGTCTACCCTGACACTTCCAGTTACCGATCACACAGCGAGAGTTTCGCGATCCCCAGTTACCGATCATGCAGCGACAGTTTCGAGATCCCCACAAGCAGTTTCCTCACAAACCGTAGCATGTGTTTCATCGGAGTCCCTAATTGACGTCATTCTATGTATCTGTCACCCAGATTGCATTCATATTGACAATAAATGCAATCTGACAGACGTTCAATGGTTAAGTAAATGTGTAAATAAGAAGTCAAAAATAGTTTAACAACTGAATTGAGTGCCATGCGTAAACCAATCATCTACTAGAATGTTAATGTCATACCTTACCTGTTTGATGTTTTAGTGAGTGGCCTTGTTTATTGTTTTATTGACCTTGTTTGATAATTTGGTGAGTGACTTTGTTTAAAGTTCTGTTCAGAGAATTTAATATTTTTGTGAAAGATCTTATTTGACATTTCAGCAAAAGACCTTAGTAGACATTTTAGAGAGTTACTTTGTTTAATGTTTTAGTGACTCTGTGTGGTTGCTTTAGTGAGTGACCTTGTTAGACATTTTAGCAAGTGACCTTGTGCTGTTTGAATGAGCGATCTTTCATCATAGTAATGACCTTGTGGTGATTTAGTGAGGTACCATGTTTAATGCTTCTTGCTTGAGGCTTCAAAGAGTATACTTTGTATTCCAATATAATGAGTGACATTGATTTGGAGGTGAATGACTTTGTAGTGAGTGATCATGTGTATAATTGAGAGTCCTAAAACAACTTAACTGAGCTGCTGTTTTACCTTGTTGACACTTACCTCAAGAAAGAGCTCTTCTGACAGATTCACATCACCTCGCATCAACAAATTGACAGATTCAAGTTTGGATAGTGCAACTGGAGTCACTATGTACAAACATTTTTTTTCTCTGTCTATCCCTCGTACAAAACCTGCCATAGAAAAAATCTTTATTATAAAATCAATAAAGCAGTTTCCGAAAAAGAGGGTATTTACTTGAGTTTTGTGACAAATCGACATGACAATGTAGCTACATTATATAACTACATAAATATAAACATATAAGTCTTAATTTTCTGTGGTCTTACCATATCCCACACAGTCACAAGCCGGAGTCTTCTTGACAAACCATGGACAATCCTCTCCTTCCTTGATTAGCTAGGAAACAACAAAAGAAACTGATAAGAATCTCAGATTAATTAACCAGTGAACTGCAACTGACCTAACAGTAAAGTCCTGGCCTGGCGCTTAAATCCATCCACGTGGATGACCAGACAAGAGTTATTTCCCACTCCTGTGAATGGGTCCCTCTGCAGTGAGGACTTGTTTTATGATGATATATACATTTGTTTGATGTTAGAGTGTTAGAACAAAGATTGCAGAATCAGAGCCCACCTGTGTGAGGACATGTTTCTCTGAAATCATAATCATCCACAGCTTCTGCATATCCACAGAATGAAATCTATGGGGATTCAACCCTTCAGGTACATATTTAATATGTATAGTGACAGCTGCCTACCAATGATATTTTTTAATGCTAAACTAGCATTATGGTAATTGCATATCACAAACAAGTCATTTCACCTAAAAGTTGCATTCACTTATCACAATAGTTACTTTTTTCTAGATATTTCACATGAAACACCTTGTAGCTGGTAGCAGGTTGAAATATTCACAATATCCTTTCAAAATGATTAAATGATATATCAACAAATCAAAATTTCATGGTCTGGATGTAAAATGACATTTTTTTCACGTCTCATTTCACCAATTAAATTTTTTGCTATCACAGGAATGAACCATAAAATAGGGAAAATATCATTCCTTCAAACATAACTGGCTATGCTGTAATAAATATACTACTAAACAAGATACGAACATGCCAAACAGAAGATCAGTGACACAAACAATAAATTTTCTTCTCATAACACTTCACAATGCTAATAGATAATATTTAAAAGAAGTTTACCGGATATCTAGAGTCCAGACAACAGAGAGCTACAACACATGCATTGATGGCCTCTAGTATTTGAGAGGATGGAACTGTTTCATGGCAAACATGGATGGCTATTCTGGACCAGGACACAATGTAGGGTTTAGCTGCCAGAATTCCCTCTGGTAAGCCCATTGCAAAATAACTCATCATCGCAAATTCCCTGAATTGACGACGTTTATTTTGACCTCTGCAACATTAAATTTGAATTTGTTAAAAAATAATTTCCCGATAAAACAAATCTTTCTTTTTCCTTTTTAGTAAGTTAGAAAAAAATAACATGCATAATAATTTTAATGATAAAAATAAGACACAAACCAATTATTCTGAATTGTACAAGTCATAGTGCAGAGTAAAATATTCAGTATTCAGTATAAATCTAGTATAGCATTGATCAATATATCAAAATTTGGGATAGTTCTGGTTCATAAAATGATAAAATATTGTCCACTTTAAGAGGTTCAATATTGACCTGACTAAAGGGTACAGCACAAAAAAAGTCGGTGACAGACTTTGATCACAAGTACGAGGAACAAAATATTTACCTGGACTGTTTGTCCACCACAGACTTAATTATGATCAAACCATAATCCTTCTGAGAAATGGTCTCTTTAATCTGCAGTGAAGAAAAATCATACACTTATAAAGTAAATGCCTGTTGAATGTCAATAGATCCTGACAAACCAGATACTTCATCTTCAGCACAAGTGAGGATCACTCGTACATAAAACAGACTTATCATTTCCCAATCATATAAAGTCAATGTAATCATATCAAGACCTTAATGTCAATGAGGTGAAGTAGTTAAGGAATAAAGTCACCATACACACACTATGTGATATTTTCAAACAAGAGACCAAAAACATACCACACTTGGCCCAGACCAAGCTGAATTCCAATGATGAAACTTGAAATGAAATTTGAAACAGATGTTTACATTAAAGTCATTATTCAGCAACATTATTACAAAATGGCAGCTGTGACTACCATGTCAAAGTGATGACAAAGTCAAAAAATAATTTGTGGAAGGACTACGGATGATGGGCAGTTTGAGCAGTTTACCATCTGATGAGAACTAAAAAGTGATGGCATTCTCTATGTTAACATGAAACAGCTGACCTCACCGTTCATATTGCAATCAGGAAGAGAGTTTAATGTAAGTATAAATATATACTTATATATACTTACTGTGCCACGATTTGACAAGCCTGGGATTTCAGCCATATTGGAGGGAGTTAAGGGTAGAACATCTCCTTCTGAATGTTTAGGGTCAATCTGTACCATCAGGTCAGGTTGAACAATTCTCAGAATTTCAGCCAGTAAACTTAGGCCAAGGCCTGCAATAAAAAAACCCAGGGTATGAGCTGTGACTTTCATCCTCATTGAAGTAGACAAAACAGTAAAACAAAGACTAATATATGTTTATTTATTTGCTGGTTTATTGCCCCATGATCAGCTGGTGTTATTTTGGGTCAGGGTATATTTGAAATATCCGGTCACTATCTAATTGAAAATAATGTGGAAGGCCAATCAAATGCTATGAAATCGAATGAAGACTGAGAACAAGCATAATGAACCAAGATTAAGAATAGCAATTTCAAATATTTTCCAAAGGAAGGAGCCTCATATAATTTATCTGGCAACAAGTTCATGTCTGATCATAGGCCCACCAATGTTTATTGCAAATATCAAAAATTGCTGTATCATTACATTTACCTGTCATCCAGCCCATTGTGTTGATTATGAGAGGGGGGCGTGGCTTCATCTGTTTGTAGGCATGGAAACAGTGATTTATACATTGGATGTATAAGTGTGGGTTTATACCTGGGCTTGTACATCCATTAAAACACCAGCTGTTGAAAAACAAGTACTAAATGTAAGATTTGCTGATACTAGAAGTCAGCCAGTTTTTATTTAAATGTTAACAACTATCAAATAGAACAAGAGGGCCATGACCCTCAACTGTCATCTGACATACTATGGATGGATGGACAAATCAGAGAACTTGGTAATGGTGATCTGACAAATCCGATTAATTCAAATTTCGAAAATTCATTCAAAGTATCAGAAACTTATAAACGGTAGGCTCTGTTCATGAAAAACAGTTGCATAATCATGCTACAAAATGGTCACTTTGGTTACAAATTACAAATATTTTTCTCATCGGTGTGAACTTCAGACTATTTGTTCTATCTTGGATTTTGGACCAAAGTGAAAAATAAGATTTGGTCAAGACAATCTCAGGATCACTTCATTAATGTTTGATATCGCTGCCATTCCCTGATGTTTCAGGGCAAATTTGGTTGAAATCTACCAAGTCGTTAAAAAGGAGTAACTTTTGAAGCAAAATATTGTTTAATTCCTCTTTTTGGGCCCTGCTCCCAAGTCCTTTGGGGTCGAATCAAGTTTCTGAATTTAAGAAATAATTGCCTTCCCTAACTGATGAATAAGGCCAAAACTTGTTGAAATCCACCTATGCAGAAAAGAGGAGACTAATCTAATTTCAGCACCTCCCCCTTTGGGGCCCCGTCCCTCACATATCACATCAAAATTCTGAATATAAGAAATTATAACCCTCACCAAATGATGCATCAGACCAAATCTGAAATCCATCCAGGAAGGAAAGAGCAGTAGGATTTTAAAGAAACATTTTCCGCACAACGCTTAATAACAGATGAAGCACGGCGGCTATAGCTTTGTGTCAGATGACTCAAAAAGGAATAACCAATTTTGAGGAAGGTTTAGAGTGTCTTAGAAATAAGCATATTGACTATAAGAAAAAGGGAATTTTGAAAAGAGATGATCCCATAGTACATCTCAGTTTCAATCTATACAAAGTGGATGAAACAGCAAAGTAAGGTAAATGGGTAATCAACTGATTACGTAATCTAAAAGTTTCTCTTAACCCATGATCAATTTTGATTTTCCAACCAATTCCAATCATTATCTGATACCAAAGTGTGAGAAAATCAAATTTTCTATTTATAGAAGTACTGACCAAGACCATTGATATGAAGACCTGAAATGGATTTCACAGAATTGATATTTTCAATAAGGAACTCAACTTAACACACCTTAGTCAGTAAGTGTGGAGGACAAAATAGATACTGATGTAGCAATATGCAGAAAAATTGTACTGGAGGTAGAAATTGAATACATAACAAGTTTCATAGTATCATATTAATGCTTACACTGTTGGTTCCCTCTGGCGACTGAACGACGGCCCTGATGAAGACAAAACACTTCAGTAAATTATGGATACACAGTACTGATGATCAGAATCTGCAATCAACAGTTACGTTAGAATGTACAGTGAAAATTGCAAATCTCTTACATTCTATTTTATATAATAAGAAAAAAAAATTGTAATTTTAATTGTCAGAGCCAGCAACAATCTGTGATCATGAATTAATTTTAAAAAGTGAAAATGAAACTGAAGTATACAGCAATGTATACAAACTAAAGTGGAGAGAAAAGACAACTGATTTTTATTTTTTGCTATCCACTGAGGCATATCTATAGAGGGAGTGAGAGTGACAATAAAAAAAGTTTTGTTAATATTTTCCATCTTGAACTACATGTATATTGGAATCATAAGCAAGAAGTTTTTGTAAGCAAGTGTCACTGATATTGATCTCCACTCAACTAAGTCCACCCATATATGTAATTCACAGTAAAGACATAATTTGGGGAAATTAATGCCACTGATAATGTAGGTACTCTTAATCCGGAAATTCATATATCCATGAATATTTCAAGTAAGTATAAGTAGATTGATTGAGCTATATTTATCCATGAAATCAAGTGTCCACAAATAGTAATTTTTTGGTAAGTCACAAAAAATAAGCCCCATAAAAATATATGATTTTACAGTTTTCTGTTTAATAAGATTCATCTATTTAAGTTAAGAAAGCAGTAGTTCCATTAACAACTTACAACTTGAGTAGATGATAATCTAATTTATGGCATACTGATGTATTTGGGGCAGCAAACTTAAATAAGGTAATTCTTACATACCTAAGGCAGGACTATTAATAGTATGTAAACACACACTGCCAGGAGGATTAAACTCCGTCTGTCCAGGGTCACAGTCTAAAAAACACACTTTCTCTATACTGTCAAAATAAAAAAATACTTTACATTACAAATTACTGTTCACTGTTATTTACCAATTAATAATAAACTCTAATTTTGTTATGCCTTTTTGCTAAACTGAATTTAGGGGTGTGTAATACAAAATATGTATTGGTGAGATCTACAATCCATGCAGTATATGTTAGGAATAAGTGTGTATGAAAGATATAAGATGTACTGAAGCTTAACAAATTGTGGTAACATACAGGGGCAAAGATCCCAACCCTTACTACTGAATATTGGATCAACCATCAAAGGATAATGTAACATTAGATAAAGGTGAAATCCCTTCTGAAGTTCTTGTAGTCACTTACAAAGAAACATAAAAGAATCATAAGACCAAGTGTGTCAATGCTCATCTAAAAGCATTGTACCAAGTATGGGATCATGTTACCATCAATACAGTAACATTAGTGATATTTACAGCCTTTTAGATATATTATCATTGATCAATTAATACAACAGGCCCAGCAGGCCTGCATTAATCACAGGATATTAAATGGTAATTAACTTTACATTTCATCTATGAAGTTAGTGTCTTGTTATGTCAAATGATTAAGTATCGCTCAACTTACTCATTTAGTGTTGAGTTGAGTATAAACTGAGTCAGAGTTGACTTTCCTTGACCTTGGTCACCACATGTGATTATTACAGAAGAACTGTCTGCAATGTTCGGTAAAAAAAAATCAACGTAAATGTGTACATCAACATAACTTACATCAACATAATTTATTATTTCAAATTAATCTCAATATCTGAAAAAAAAAGGAAAATAAGTCATGCAATAAGAATACTCATGTACTAGTACTTCATGTATTTTGTAGCCCAATTCAAAATTTGATCACTAAACCAAATTGAATTGAAATATACTTATTTGAATGCAAACATAAAATAAAAGATCCTTAATTTAATAACCCAAAGGCATTATTTTGGCATGATTTTAGGTGGAATATTGATACAATGGAAAAAATTTCATATGTTTTCTTTCCCAATACAAACATCCAAATTTCCACAAGAATGTTAGCCAACAAATTGTCAAAAAATAGTGCCATAAGTTGTATACTAGGACAACACTATCCAAGTTTCTGATAAATTGTGATTTTGTTGATCTTTCTTCCAAAATTGAACACAAATATTGGCTCTATTCCCAAAACAGTAAAAAACACTTTGAAATACCCCTCCCAAAACCGTAACAAATTTTATTAGAAACCAGTAAATGGCTCCTTTGATGAAAAAGCTGACCAGGATTGACTGATGTATAACATTTACCTGCAGATAATTGTTCCTTCCATTTGTCCAGAACAAAGTTGTGGTCTTCAACAAAATTGAATCTGGGAATTGTCTTACTCTCTTCTGGTTCTATGGAAAACCTCCCATGGGGGCCATCCTCAATCCCTCCAAAAAGTTGATTTGCCATGCATTTTCTGAGACTGATAATAAAGTCTATATGAAGAGCTTCTAATTTACTTAGTTTCACCACAGCCACATCTCTGCTTGGTAGTCTATCTATAACATTCTGCTCAAGTTTAGAATCTGTGTAAACAGAATGTATAGTGTCTGAACCAGTTTCCACTCCTCCACATATTATTTTCAACAGACTAGTGCTTACGGTGGAAATAAGTTCAACTGATGGTTTGCTGGCGTCACAATGATAGCCGAACACACTAACAGAGCCACACAGAACTGACATTGTACACAGACCAATGACAGACAATTCCTGTCCATTCTCTAGTATCAACAGTTGTCCGTCCTTGACATCAACCAACCTGAAATACATGATTAATTATATTTAAACATTACAAGTCCTGGACTAATACATGATTTATCTCAGTTACAGCTTTAGTAGCAATAGTAATAACTTCTGTTTCCCTGGTAAGATGACATATACATTACATTGGTTATCTCACACTTCACCCTGTTCTCATTATTAACCTTATTAATACTTATCTCTCTTACCTTGGAAATCATCCCATTATTAACATGATCAGCTGACAATTACACCTGTTATTTTGTATATAAGACAATTAAACATCATTCCTTTAGTTATCCAAAGCTAATGCACTTACCCTAAGTACACAGGCCTATGCGATCCAACACTTGACCTCATCCCTGTTTTCTAAACAAGCTGACACTACACCTCTATTTCCCTCAGTGAGCTATTACCTGCTTCCCATTCCCTTGGCAAGCTGAAACTTGCTTCCCACTCCCTTGGTCATTTAACAATTGATTCCCAATCCTTTGGTAAACTAATACTTCAATCCTTCTCCCTTGTGAGTCAACATTTCAATCTAATTCCCTTGGCAGCAAATTTTGCAGGAATTGTTCAAGTGAGTCTAGAATACTGTTTCTAAAATTATGATACGTCCAATTACAAAGAGATATAGTGGGTCTCGAGTGATTCCCACAGGAAAATCATGAGCCTAGGACTCAAATATCTGAGTAAAATAAAATACTGCTTGGTAAGCTAAAACTTGATTCCCACTCCATCAGTGAGGCAGCACTTGCTTTCCTTTTGGATTCCTATACCTTTGGTGAACTAAAACATGAATCCAATTCCCTTGTGGGCCTACACTTGAATCCCACTTCCTTGATAAGCTAGCACTTGATTCCCACTCACTTGATTAGCTAACACTTGCTATCCACTCTCCTAACGAGCAGACACTTACCGCTTTGACAATAATCCAGGTTTCCAAAATGTTTGTAGTGACATGACTTTCAATAATTTTTTACTTACATCTTGTCTTTTTCTTTAAGATGAACATTGGGTTTTGCTTTTTTATCTTGAGGACGCTTCTTGGGGGTGCTCCTTACTTGTGTTTCATCTATTACACAATCATCTTCAACCATTTCTATCACCTCCACATCGATGTCTTTTGATGATGATGCAGTTTGACCTATTGTCTTTGATATTGGTCTTGTGTATTTATCCATTTCACTGCACTTATATCACTGTTTAATTTGAAAGCAATATTTTGAAAATACAAGCAGAACATTGTATTTGTTATAAAAGGATGTGAAAACGTTACTAGTGGCTAAAAGAATTATAGAATTGAACACTGATGAATGAAAAATGTTGACTGGCATATGCCTATACATCGTAATAATCCAAAAATCTTAATACAATTTCACATAAAGAGATAGAAAATTAGATATAAAGACTAAGAATATTGTGATGTTTTGTTAGAGTTATCTCCCTTACAGCAGTGTATGAAACATTGAGCTAAGACTATGTTTAATCACACACAGGGCATAATTCATATTTATGCATGTTCAGTGTATATTGCTAGATACATGTCAAATGATTCTTTTTGAAGCAATATGGCACTGCGCTTATTTTGGTAATCGGTGGATTATTCAAGATACCTATACTTTACGATTGATCTAAGCTTACATGTCAAGCTTTGGTTAACTCATATATGTTAATCTTTTTAATATACATATAAAGAAAAGTAAACGTTTTCTTTTTTTTCTCCGCAGCATTAAAATTATACAAATCTAAACTGTCTTATAATTTGATTCTAAGCTCACTAGCGTGTTCCCGTTCACCGTTTTAGTAACATCCAGTCACAAACGCCAGTGTCATCATTTAAGGTGTCGTTCACTAAAAAGTAATATCAGACAGAAATATCTCAAATACTCACTGCTGTGTTGAAACTAATCAGCCATTTCCTAAATACTCATCTTGTTATACGACATACCACAGTTCCTCGTGGTCGACCCATGCCTGGGTCCGGTTCGGTTTACTGTTTTCAATCGTTATCAGTTGAACGTTTCTACTGAAAGGCGTTGTAACGTCGAGCGTGTAAGTGACATAGAACTGAAATTGTACAATGGCCGTCCGATGTTGACATTTAACAAAAATTTTAAATTATTCTTTCCATATCACACATTCAGCTTTGAAATTGTGACAAAATATTTGAAAGATGGTTGAAATATTCCTATACTTACATATTGTCTTCAACTGACGGAAAGTCATTCGCGAGCGGTAAGCGTCCTCTACTGTAGAGTATACACAATATACCAGTAGGGTTTGAAGTCTGGCTATATGGCTGTTCGGACTGGGAAACGAAAACTATGCCAATTTGTTGTTAGCGTTTGTGTTTTTACACTGAGCCCTGGAGTTATCTCGCGGTTGTTATCTAATCTCGTCTACCATTGCTCCACCAGGCCATATTTTTTAGTGATTATCATACATAAGGTATATATAATATATAATACATATATACAAATGGGTGACAATAATAGTACATGGTTGGGCAGGATGGAAACTTTTTTGTGTGTGTATTAATTAATCGCATTAATATTGGTAATCAATTTAGCTAATAATATCAAATCATGTAGTGTTTACATGGTTAAATAATGTATGAAATTTAAGTATTTGGTCTTTCATGATAATTTGTGGACACTTCCATCTTTTATTGAGTATTGGTTGTTTGGTACAGTTAAACAGATAATAGAATTTGTCAACAATTTGTCTTAAATTCATAAATTACATTCTGTCTTGACATTGTATATTCAGGATGTCCAATGTGTGTGGTATGAGTGTGTAATTTGGTATAAGTAAACAGGGCTCTCACACCCCATTTTGGGACTGGGGCCCGGGACCCTTAGAGTTGGGAAAAATAGTGGCGTTTTCCTTATAATTGGGAAACTTGGGGTCTAAATTGGGAAAAAAGATACTATTTTGCATTGGGGTATTCGGCCCCAAATCTGGCAGATTGAGAGCCCTGGTAAGTATGGCTGCAGATTGTAATTCTGTTGAACAAATTAACTTAAATTGCATGTCCATCCGAAAACATCGATGTGAATGGATGTGGGGTGCTGTTCTCTGTCTCAGATTGTCGTGCAATCTACTTAATAATTTCAAAACCATAAAATATCAGTTAATATGCCTGTCATGAATGAAAACAGCAAATACTTAATCATCGAAACACAACATTCATTAAAGTCTTGCACAGTACATACATGAGATATCAAGGTTTTTGAACTCTCCATTAACTCCCAAAGCAATGTTCTGCGGTGATATTTGCGCATCATACCAAATTACACTCATCATACTAAACACAAATTAAAGTGATTTATCATAAAGATTAAATGTATCAAATGAAAAAGTTACCCAGCATTTTATATTATTTTCTTCATATTTCAAGCTAAAAGAGGTATACAGTGTAGGGTGATATTACAGTGTAAATAACTTAAACCAACATTTTGTTTTAAAAAATATTTAAATTCTCTGTTCAGTACCAGCCTGCTGCAAATGAAGATGACAATGAAGGTATCGAAAACATGATTTCTGACTTGTTGTACAGCAGATATAAGAACAACTATTTGAGAAAGCATGACTTTTTATTGTTTATCTTAAACAGATAAGATGTTAGAACTGCAAAATCTGTATGGAAATGAAGACATTGACAAAAGAAATAAAGACTGAAGTTGCAGAAAAGTAGTACTGATAACACGACTGATTTACAGACTGTGATTACAGTACAATGGAAGACATTCTCACCAATAACAAGGATCAGGGAGAAAGCCCCAATCAAACAAGTTCTGTTGACTCACTCTCTTGTGATACAGTACTCACTGAGGGTGCTTGTGAAGGAGTGGAGGGAAAGCGACGGGAACACCGATACAGTACAAGTTCTGATGTAACTGTAGAGGGAGTGAGTAACAGTGAAAGTGTCAGCACTCTTGAGCTGTGTGATAGTGGCGAGCAGACTGACAAACAATCTGGCGACTCCGAGTCTAATATTGCCCGACCTGATAGCTTGTGTCTACCCAAACCACTACAGCAGTATGAACGAAAGAGAAGTAAAAGTGACGGACAAAATCAATTGGCCTCCTACATCAACAACGGTACCAATGTAATTACAGAGTGGAGGAGTTGTAGGTCAGCCAGTACTACAGAAGAAATTCCAGTGAAAAAAGATCCCGAATTTGAAAATATTGAGGAGACAATGCTGTCAAAGAGTATGCCACATGGAACCATAGTAAGAAAAGGAGAAATGATTGAGTTTATAGTTGATGATTTACAGGAGAAAATCAGAAGGAGTAGCCCTTTAACCAAAACAGGTCAGTATTTACAACCTTGACATTAGATCCAAATGAGGTCACTATGACCCAGACACATGATCAATGATGGTGTGTATTGAGTTCATTACACACTATCTTTAATCTTGTGGTCAGAGTCGCATGTACAGCAACTTTGATTTTAGTTGAACATCATTTGAAACGAATATGCATATATTGTTGATTTATCTACCTTGCCCTTGAATATATTCAAACAAAGTAACGAGAGCTATTATCTATTCTGACTCTTTTTCTGTGCTAGAAAGTCTTAGCAATAGAAATATTGAAAATATTTTCATTCATAATACATTAATACTATATCATGAACTTGCCTTTAACTTTCGTATTGCATTTTGCTGGGTTCCTGGGAATACCAGGTGATGAAAATGCATATTGTGCAGCAAAGACAGCTTTATCACTACCACCTCTTTTTATCAAACTTCATTTTACTGATTTTAAACCATTTATCAGACTGTTATCAAACAGGAAGAATGTAATCAATATATCAATATGTCCTTGCCCGTCACACATACTTCACAGATTTATATATGTTGAAAGGCAAAGATAATCCTCAGTGCATAGGATGTGATGAGCCATTCACCGTTAAACATTTTTTATTGGACCTTCTGTCTACTTCATAATTTTTTTTTTTTCATAATGTTACAAGTCTAAAGACCCTTTTTGAAACTGCTTTCATTTATAAAATCCTAGGTTATCCGAAAGATGTTGGTCTATATTATAAACTATGACTTTCCATTTTAATCTTTTGTAATAATATCACCATTTAAGGTTTTTAGCATTTGTCTTTTACCTTTCACTTTGTTTGATATTTTTCTTTTTTCTTTTTGGATCGCTGTGTGTTTCACCGGTTGATGGTCCAAATGACCTTTTATGTGTTGACCGGCCGTTAAGACTGTAATAATAATATGTTGTGGATCACATCCAAATATCCATAAGCAATGGGGGAAAAATGGTTTTGACCATCTGATGTGTTTCGAAAAATAGATTCAGTGAAACCGAGTCAGGTGAAAAATGACCTTAAATTTTGGCAACTAAGTGATGAACAAAACATAAAATTTCGTTTTCTTAACATATAGCCAGGAAAAATTATGGAAGTAACTGAATGTTTTGATGAATTGTAGATTCCAGTGGTTTGAGCAGCAGAACCTCCAGTCTTCGAAGCATATCTAGTGTTAACAGCATGTCAAGTTCTTCATCTGCCATGGCCACAAGTAGTCTCATGCAGCAAAGTCCTGATGACATTCCTCCCATTGATGCCAGTGCAATCCTGGAGTTGGAGGCACATGCCCGACGAGTAGCTGATAGTGTGGACCTCATGATGGGCAACCTCAGGTCTAACTTACATAAGGTAAGGGGTTACAGGTCGGAGTTCAACCTCAGGTCTAACTTACATAAGGTAGGGGGTTACAGGTCATAGGTGAACCTCAGTTTTTAGATCATCTGACCCAAAGTGTTGTAATGACCTAAAGCCATCATGCTTCATCTGTTGTCGTCCGCCGTGCATAAACTTTTGACATTTCAAACTTCTTCTAAAGTTTCACTGGTGGGATTGAGCTCAAACATGCAAGAATTAATCCTGAGATGGTCCTGACCAAGTGTTGTTATTTTTTGGGTATGTCTGAAATCCAAGATGGCCACCATTTTGAACAACATATTTCAAATTTCTTCTCCAGTTCCACTGGTGCCATTGAGCTAAAAATTGGTGGGAATGTCAAGGAAAGGTAGCCAACAAAGTGTTGTCATTTTTCAACCTTGTCAAAACTTCGATACAGCAGCCAGGGAGGCCATTGTGTAACATGATTGTGCAATCATGGTTTTCCTGTGTAACACCTATTTCAAACTTCTTCCCAAGTTTCACCAGTTGAATTGATCTCCAACTTTACTGTCAAAAAATAGGTTACACTTGTTACACTTTCCTACTCCTCATCAAAACTACCATCTGCATCATGGAAAACTGCTTCTTAGTAAGATTTCATGCAAAGTAGAAAAAGTAACCCTTCTCCCTGCTGAAAGTTTTTGTAGTCAGATGACTGTTAACACCCATGTGCCTCCTGTTTTCTTACATAAGGTAGCAGTTTAATACAGTTACAGCCTAGAGATCAACTTCTGAGCTTACTTATTAAGGTAGCTTGGGTAGTGGGGTTACAGGTCCAACCAACATAAGGTTTGTAGGGACTTACAAGTCTAATTTACCTTAGGGTAAAATTCAAGGTCTGGTCTATAACAATCATTTATAAAATGCTATAAAGAGGCATTAACCTTTGTAGGGTATAAGTTTAAATTACAAAAAATTGGGCTAAAATGATCATTTAGTAATAGGAACTTGTGGTTGTGCTCTTATTCAAGTGTGTTCAATCAATGTTTATCAATATTTGATTTATAGTCTTCATAATCATTAAACAATTACCATGTTACCAAATGAGCAAAAACATTTTCCCACATCATGTCATTTACAATTATAATTACCATAAGCTGAACACCTGAGTCTTTTGTTTCATGTCTATTTTATACCTAATTTTTAGTGGAATATTTGTTTCTGTTTATAAAGATGTCTGCCATAACCGTAGGATGTCTGGATGCCTATAAAACTTCTGTTGATGTTACCTGTGATTCTGTGGATAGCAGTATTAAGGTAAATGACTATATATACAAATTTACACTGTTTACAGAGCAAAACATTACATGTATGTATCCTGCAATGACCCCTAGGAATCAACACTTAACCTCTGACTCAGAGTCAAAGGGGCTAATTAAAGACAATGAAATATAATTTTTCGAAAATCATACTGAAAAAAAGCAGCAGATACTCCATTTATTTATAGTCTGAGACAAGCTTCTTAGTCAATGATAGTGAACAGCAGCATTATTTGAACAATTTTTTTTTTTTTTTATGGCAATTCATTATGATACAATGTCTGTTTGTTTCTATAGTGACATTGAAATGATCCAGGAAAAAGATTTGTGATTACTTGGTAATTCTATTTGGAAGAATTAAGAAATCATGTTTGAAAGATGGCTGTGTTATAAGAAGGGAGATAATCTGGTAGAATTCACTCTACAGTGTTTCCTTCAATTTGAAACACTTACTGTTGGTATAGAACTGACAGAAGGTTTCATACATGTATAGATATAGGAATGAATATTGTTTATCAATATTTACTGGAGACAGATTTGTATTTGCCTAATTTCATATCTTTATATTTCTTTCAGGCAATGTATGCTCTGATGGCAAAGTGTGAGGAGCTAAATAACAACATGGGGCCTGTATACAGACTAGGGGACCAAATGTATCCTTTAAACTACTTTTTATAGTGAAACAGTAATAAACTAAGAATGTGATATTTCATATTTATGCCTCTGTTGTACAGCTGTTTCCATTTGTTAGTCTATCCATGCATAACAGTTTGGAAAGACTTTGTATTTCTGTATAACTTCATTCCTTGGAAGTGAAATGTGCAACAAATGTATTCTTACATGGATACATCTTCTTGGTTAGCTGTATGTCATTATGAATTATAGGTCAGTGACCTGTATTTTCGGCTTCACCAGCTTCACCTGTAGCTCTAGTACATATATGTGAAGTTTGAATGACACAATATAAAGCTTCCATTTCCAGGAAGGCAGAGACTCTAGAGAGTTTAACATTTACATTAGCTCGTCGATCAGATAGGTTTGGGTTTCTCGGGCATCTAAAAAATTCAGAATTATATGCAGTGCAGTGTATATTTACTGAGGATGTGCTGTATCTGTCTGATGTAAAAGACTTAACCATCTAGTGAAGGATTAATCTTGCAGTGAAATTATTTTTGCGTACGTATGTATGCTCTATTTCTGCAATATGTACATTATGTAAATGCTGTTTAGTTGAAGGTAATGTCTGTTTACTCTTAGTTTCTTGGTGTTCCAACATTATTGATATCTCTTCCCTTTAATACAATTCTGTAACAAATGTGTTTATCATGGTATCACCTTTCCTAAATGTACAGATGCTTTGTAAGTTCATATTGTTGAAAATAATCAAACATTAAAAAGATCAAAAAAGTCTATTCTAACTATACCACGTACTTACATGAAAAATTTCCATATGAAGTATATAAAGTGTGAAACTAAACTGTTACTACCTTGACCACTGCACCAGTAAGGAAATCAAGAGGCTACTGGACAGGTTTGAGTCCCAGCTAACAGACAACACGTCTTGACATCACTAATAGCAGTAGCAAACTACTGGCACCTTGTCAAACTGTAGAGAACAGTGACTTGTTTGCTGCAGTATCCTGTGGTGAATTCAGACCATGAATTGCCCACCTAATCTGTGCAATATCTACATTTATTATTACGTTGTACTCCATAATGAAAATATGTATTGTCTTGTAGTCATATGTCAATTTTCCATTTTCTATGTCATGTGACTAGGTATTTTGCTTACCTTGTAAATCATATGTAACAATAAATAAATTTTCTCTTTTCATAATTGAAATTGATTTCCCATCAGTTAAGAACATTCACAAGCTCTAACTAGTAATCATAAGACTTCTATCAGCTCAAATGTCCTATAATGAATAATTTATCAGTCCTTATGTCCTCCAGTGATGGAGTATTCTATAAGATCAATGACCACCAGTGTTGGAATATTCTTTCATACCAACTGTGCATGAGCTCTTAAAAATTCTTATCTATTAATGCTGTATAATTTAATATGAATATAACTGTACACAGCATTTCCTGCCCAGCTTAAAACTCCCTCATAATCTTTCATTCAAAATTTGCATTCATATCGGTTTTTCAGAAAATATAATCAATACATTTTTTCTTCTTGATACATATAACTATATCTGCCATATGTAATTTGCACCAAAACTTTTCTAAACAAATGACATCAATATATATGTAAGCAAAAGAGTAGATATCTTGTGATGTTACAAATGAACAGTCATACATACATATTGTCATGTTATATTTATTTGTGTTTTCCTGTTAAAAGAAGTGCTTAAAAGCTGAAATGTTTAATACAATGTCAGAATATATTATCAAGCTCTTTGTAATGATTTTGTAATGATGATGTTCAATAAATTTACAAGTTACAAGTACTGGATTGTTTCTTTACTCCTCTATGCCCCCATTAAATATTGATGATCCCTTTCCTCCAGAAACATTACAGTAAAATCATATATTTTAGTGCAGCTCAATTTATCGATTTTTCCAAAAGTTACTATTTCGTGGACACTTGATATTGTGGATAAATATTGCTCAATAAATCTACCTATACTTATTTTAATTGTTTGTGGACATACAATGTAAATGTATTCATGGATAAAGAGCACCAACAAAATGAATGACAATAAATCCCCTAAGAAAATTAAAGATACTGGCAGCATTAAAGCTGGTGCTTTCATATTTTTTGCCGAACAAAAACACACTCCTTAAGACATGTTCAAGATCATAGATCAAGAGAAAAAAATACTGAAGAACCAACACACTATATGTCTCAGATTGCAGTCGAAACGTCTACGAATTAGTCTATAATAAAATCACAACAAGTGTTCCTGGATGTTGAGAATCCTTTATTTTCGCTTTATGTTTTCTAATAGATCTTTGTTATTTACAACAAAATATACATTTATTACAAGTTCCTAAAGAACATTCTTGTGTTCATCCAGTTTAAGGATACATGGCACTGACTGTAAAGTGTATAAGTTGATGTTTCTTACAAAAAGTCCAAGGGCATGCTCAGGGAGAACATCTTTGGATGTGACTCAAGAGATTGACTCAATCAGTAAGTAGGTCAACTGAGGATATCTCATAAGTCCTAGGATAATTGATACACTGTGATGAAATATTCAGAAAATTATAAACTTCATAAGGAAGTCTGCAGGTAATTTGATTCAATAGAAAATATGCAATGATTTGATATTTAATGAAAAAGTATGCAGTTAATTTGATACTCCATGAGAGAGTCTCCACGAGAATCTCTTGGTCTTAGGATAATACAATACTCTGTGCCCAAGGAAAATGACACTCCATGAGGATCTTCCATTCAATGAGAGTATCCCAGAATGGTGTTGCACTGTGAGAAATCACTCGGTTACTGAGTGTGTCCCTGGATAATGTTACCCAGTGGGAAATCTCTTTGTCAATGTCCCAGGATAGTCCCAGACTGTGAGAAATCACCCAATCAGGGTTTAGTGATGCTGTTACCATATATAGCTCTCAGGACCTTAATACAGGAAGAGGTTCAGTCGGAGAGGAACTTTCGTTTTTTGGCAGTGTTCATGTATGGTCTATATACCCATTCCACATCAGCTGTGTCTGCGTTGTCAAGGGTTCCAAGCTGGATCTGGTACACTGTAAAATGTACAAAACATTTTCAGGGTAGTAACAAATTCTATATAGAATAATCCTCTCATGATAAAAATAAGCATATTGTTTATTATTTTGAATTTGAAATTATTTTGATAAATTCAACATACAAATTTTATGACAATTAATCTATCAAAGAAAAATTAAACACATGATTCAGCTCATGTACGTTTATATTTTAAAAGAACATGCTGTGATTTCTACTTCACACATCAGACATAGTGATAACAAGGTCTTACATTTCATTTCAAATCGCGGCCCAACTTCTGATAGTTCAATGTTCCTCCCACCATCTGCTTTTCTATATATATGATGTCTGAAAGTTTATAGAACAGACATAACAAAGAAGGAATATCATTCACTGCATACCATGTGAACTGTTATCTTAGATCTATGTATCAATATAGATTGGCTCAAATATGAAGCCTTTTCTGATTTAAAGTCCTTTATATGATACAACAACAGTGGTAAAAGAAGGACCAGTTATTAAATGATCGAAACAATTCAGATTCAGAATACTTTAACAGTAAATGCAAATAAGAGGCCCACTGGGCCTGAATCGCTCACTTGTTCTACACAGAAAAATTCATTCATTCATAGTCAATTTTTGCAAACCTGAAATCTTACTTATCAAGCATGCTATTACACAAATACCATGACCGAAGACCTATTGCTTGTTGACAGAAGAAATTTTAAGACCTCAACACCTTTGATCTCTGTAACCTTGAAAGTGGATTAAGCAATCATTTGAATAAACTTGGCAGACCTTCATTCAAATATGTAAAAAAGCCAATATCAATAGTCAGATCCTTCAGGTTATTAAGACAAATTTTTTTTAAAGATTTTAATCCTCCTAGCATGTTACTGTGCCAATTATAAGTAGCCTGGGTCTTTAGATTATTGAGAAAAGATTTTGTATTAAGATTTTAACACATTTGACCCTTGTGACCTTGACAGTTGGTCAAGGTCATTCATTTGAACAATTGTAGAAGCCCTTTATCCCAGCAGGCTACAAGCCCAATGTCATCAATGTGGGCCTTTTTATTATTGAGAAGAAGTCACTTAAATATTTCAACACATTTAACACATTTGAGTCCTGTGACCATGAAGGTGGGTCAAGGTCATTCATTTGAACAAACTTTGTACACCTTCATCCTGCTTGCTACAGGCCCATTATCAATACCGTGGGTCTTTTTGGTCACTGACACAAAACACAAGTGGCTATGTTATCATGACCCTTCAGGTAATTCAAAGGGCAAGTTTTAATGACACCACCAAATACTGAGAAAAAGTTACACACAATAAGGATTACGCCTGCAAGACATCTTAAAGAACACACAATCATTGGATCATTTAAGTAAAGATTCTCCAATGCTCTTTACATTGTTTTGAATTTGCCAGAATATTATCACACAAGTGTTAGACTCTCTGTAGTATGATAAATGCTTTACATCAAAACAAATCACATTTGAATGACAAGTCATACCTAAATGATATGTGATCGTCATCATTGGCAAATGTGATGATACGCTTACTGTCTTCTTTTGGAACAGGAAATAAGTATTTCAGTATATCCATAACCTGAAAGTATATAATACATGTATAAACACTTAATAAGTATCATATTAGGTATTCAAAACAAAACAAAAAAATCCCTTTTTGTACCATGAAATATTTCTAGTGCAAATCTTTATTTTGAAAATTTTGTATGACAAACAAAGCATATTGTATATCTTTAATGCCATTGACTGGGGTCAAAGTTCAGTATTAATGTTCTTTATCAACTTATGATATCTTCTCTATATATCAGTAATCAAAATATCAAGGTAAAGTATCTTTACACTGCAGAATAATTCTAATTTCATGAAATTCATACATTTATGTTAGATTAACTGTAATCCTTACAGTACATTAAATATTTCTAATCAAGTAAATAGAAACACCTTCATAAAAATTTTACCATTTACACGATATATTCAGTCATATTGTTTGATAGAGTTGAACTTAGTACACATTACAAAATACATACACAAACAGAGGAACATTGCCTTTTTTTGGTTTTACTGTCAATAAAGTAGGTTACTTGCCCTTTTCCCTAGTCTAGAGGACAACATGTGGAAGATAAGATGGGGATATGCTTCAGACATGGTGCCTACGTCTGGGATGTCATGTCGCATCACAACATTAGACAGAGTGAAGGAGGCTGTAGGTCCATGAGGTAAGTGACACACGATCAGTCCATCTGGTATACCTCGGTGTTCATGCACCATTATTAAGTCTGTCACTTGGTTTGCCCTACAGGCATCCATGAGCTGCTTGGTCTCATAGTTACCCCTATTTATTCTCTGGCTGTTCGGGAAGATCAGTTTGATCTCCTATAATGAAGGCCGAAATACAATAAATTAAGACAATTAGACGTTCATATTGCTTAGCCCTGTGTAAACCTACATAATCTTGACACTTATATAAACCAGACCTTCACCATGGTCCCACTGTTAACAATAATGTATAATACAGACTACTGTCTAGATATCAACTAGACCATGCTGTATACACTTCCATGTAACCCTGAACAATATATGGACAAAAAACCAAGTCCCAGTGTACATATTTCTATGTAACCCAATAGAATCTGGAAACCTGTATAAACTATACCTTCCACAGGGTTCCACTGTATATATTACTATGTAACCCCGTATAATCTGGACACCTGTATAAACCAGACCTTCCACAGGGTCCCACTGTACAGATTTCTATGTTATACTGTATAATCTGGACACCTGTATAACCCAGACCTTCCACAGGGTCCCACTTTATACATTTCTATGTTATACTGTATAGTCTGGACGCCTGTATAAACCAGACCTTCCACAGGGTCCCACTGTATACATTTCTATGTTATACTCTGTAATCTGGACACCTGTATAAATCAGACTTTCAACTATGTCCCATTGTATACATTTCTTTGTAACCATGAATAATCTAGACACTTGTATAACAAATCATTTCACTGGTACACAAAGCATATATACTTCAATATAATTTAAATTGAATAAAAACCTTTATGAATACTAATACCATATCTTACCACAAATAAAACTCAATCCCCAAGTGAAAAAATATTGAAATACAACCAAATAAATGTAGGGAGAGGTCTAATATTGAAAGCCTTAACCCTGTCGATTCTCACCTGAACCCCTACAACTGCTGTTCATGGAGAATTGACAGGAGAATATTGGCTCAAACTAGTACCTGACACATACAAACTTACTCTAAGTCTTATATATCTATAAATTGATCAGTAGCCAGAGTGGGAAGTAGTGATGTCATTTTGACCAACTCACAACTACTTTCTGACAACAAGTATCATCAGAAAAGTCTTTTGCTATATCTTTCTGCAAGGTACAAGCATATACATACCACAATCACTAATTAGGCTTTTAAGTATTAATAATGATGGAGAACTACACATTATTCATAGATATCAAATCCATAAAGATTTTGTGAGGTATTGTTAATTGTTTTCTTTACCTGTATCAAGATGTACAATACATCAGGGTAACTACATATTTTACATTGGTGCAAGCTATTCACATTTCATACAAACTGACATTCATAAAATACCAACACAAATTCCTTTATCTTTAAAGTTCATACATTGTTGTATCATTAGATATATATGTATATATAAGGTCTAAATAAACATTGTTGATTACCTTTGCAAATTGTTTCAGTTTTGAACTTGGATCTCTTGATGTTGTGACAACAATCTTGGGATCCTCCACACCAGCCCATTTGTATTCATCATCTACCCTGCTGGTCTTCCCTTAAAACATAATTAATCCACACTCAGAAATAATGGATATTACATTAATGATATCACATTATCAACAAATTAAAGCCAAAGGAGATTGATGACACTGTTTAACATCGTGCTGAGGCTAATTATGAGAGTGTCATCTACATTTACCATGGACCAGTAGTGCATCTTTCTATTCAAGTCAGACATGTATTTTGTACCTTTTTTTTATGTCATTGGCATCCACCACACCCTTCTATCAAAGTTATCTACATATACTACACCCTTTTATTAAAGTCAAGGACATATAATGCACCTTTCTATTAAAACCAGGAAAACATATTGCCCGTTTCTATTGAAGTCCCTGACATTAACACACACACTGGGTAAGTAAATTTCACAAATCCTAACATATAACATAATACAAATTGAAAATTACACAAGTTTAGTCAGATTAAAGGATCCATAGCTCCAATGGATGAAAATCTACACTAATTTATTGCTATTGTATGTGATTTCCTTCCTGTAATTAGTAAAGTTACGATACATTAAAAAAAAATCTTTATTCCTAAAACTTCAAGGAAAAGTTCAACATTTTAAGTTCAAATACAAGCAGCACAATTTTTTTGACTTCATAAACCAACCATCTGCTCCGGGGCCTTCCCAGCCTAAGGTCTTCTGAAGGTCTACAGCATCTGCCCTTAAGTCTGTCGGTATAGGATCACCACCTGGAAAAAGTTGATATTTTGGTAAAAATAAGCATAAATAAATACACAGCTAAAAGATGGTTCCATTTTGTATTGTGATAATTCTTAATAATTTTCAAATTATTATAATTGCTAATTGAATTTTAAACAAGCTTAATAATACATTTACATGTTCAAAAATACAATCTACTCCTGTTGATGCATGCAGAGGACACACTGTTTTAAAACATCAATAATCCATCCAACAAAACAGATTGAAATGTTTGCGTCTCATTGAGATTTTTTGCAGTGACTTTAATGACAGCATAGACCGGTATGTTTCTCAGCTTCCTAAGAAACAATTACTGCAATGGGTAGGAAACATCGAACTACATGTACATAAATCAATACTCTATCAACTGTGCAATGGCAGTTGCTTGTCTGATTGTACCACTTTAAACACTATTGATGTTCATCAAATGAGGTAATTTTTTTCTTTCTTTTTTTTTTTCATAAAGTGAATTTAGATTTACTATGCATCATGAATAGTTACAATTTATATTGCTTCATACCTTTAAATAACTAACAGCATTTAGTATGAACTGCTTCACAAGAGTGCAACTTATTTAAGCGTTTGTTAAAACATAAGTTAAATCAAGAATAAGACATCAGCTTTGCTGTTATTATAATTATCAATTAGTTACTTTCTAGAGCTGCCTTCAAGCGTTGTTTTTTATCTTGTATGCTTCTATCGCGTTGTTCCTCTGACTTTTTGTAGATGAATTCTCTCCGCAGTCTTGCTTGTCTCCTCAACTGTGATCGATGAACATTAAAAACAAAATCAAAGTATTAATCATGTGACTTATCTATTTAAAGCTATTATCATGTTAGTATAAATACCATGAGAGATTGAAATTAAAAATAAGCTGAGATTCACAGTGGAATGGGTAAGCATAACTTTTGCATTCCGATGATTCTGCAGACGTAAAAAATCTCATATTTACACAGGCGCTAGCTTCTGGTCTAAGATACATATCATAGATGTAAGATAGTCATTATTTAGTTGTTTTTTCATTTCTTATTGTTTTCATTTTTACTGTACATTAGAAGCGACTGACTGGTGTCAGTTGCTTTGTAACTTTTATAGACAGTAAACTACAGTACAAAATTGTAGTTAACTTTCCTTTCTTTTTGACTCTAGACACAAAATTATAAATTACTGATCGTATTGAGCTAGTGAAATTCAAATGGCATAGGACCAATATTTTCGTGACAAAACTAAGATCGCTGTAGACAGGAACCCTTCACACTCCCTTTTCACTCATCCTAAGATTTTCAAACATAAATAGTTTACAAGAAATAAAAAAAAATGACTTTACAAGATACTTCATAAATGCTGCCCATGTAAACTCACCATCTTGTTTCAGCCAAGCAGCTCACACGTGCTAGGTTGCTTCTGCCATGTGTTGACATACGATGAGTGTGAGGGTGAAAACTTGTAGGTCTACTCCGGACCGGGCCGAAATCGGACAGGGTCTCGAGGCCGACAGACTTCAATCATATTTTTGTTATATCTATATCAAGAACGAATTAATCAATAACATTAAAAATTTCTGAAACAAAGCACTATATCAAACAGACATGACATCGAATAAATTTACGATAACGTCCAGAATTGTATAAATCGTCAATATGGCCCTTTCTCTTACAAAAGGGAGACTACTCTGCAGGCTTATTTATTACGATTAGCATGATAGAACAATTTTGCCCTTCCCCACTCTCCCAGCTCCCGGATGAATTTGAAACATGTATGAATTACATATGCATGTCTCTTGTACTAATTCAAGGCGTCTTTTTTTTTCTTCCGAACGATCATTCCAGTGCACATAATTTTTTAGCATGTCATAATCCTAGGACTGTGAACAAGCCCTATGCGGGCTTATCGAACTTGTGTAAGCTTTTGTGTTCGTTTACTGAACCATGAAGCTATTAGAGCCCTTCTCCTTACAATTGTTATCTAATCCAGAAGCCTAAGATTCACGACCATTGTGCTTTTGTACAGCAGATACTTAGTAAGTTAGTTGACATACTGATAGTTTATACCACTTTATTGTTTATATATATCAGTTATATTGCAAAGCTGAGTGATTTGCCTCTCAACACTTCTTTAACAAATAATTTTAATTCATTCTTATTACGGACTTAGATCACGGACTTGTATATTAAGTTAAGTGGGGCTTATCTGGTGCTAGTTTTTGTGATTGTTCACACGTGTGCCCTTAACACTTATAGCGGCCTGATGTGAGCCCTTTTTACTACTTCCTAGATGGTAATAGCTTTCTTCAACAGGTTGAAAACTTTGCTTTGCGCGTAGGGTTCGTCTATGGTACAGAGTTAGCGATAGAACAAAATTTGGTTAAAACAAATAACTTGTTACTACTAGCAAAGCACCACAGAGTCTTGACACAGCTGATTTCACAAGAATTAGAAGGTAAAGAGCCAAGTATTTTATATTTAATTATAACAAATGAAGATGAAATTATTTTAGAAATTCATTACAAAAGCCCAATTTAATAATGACTTATTGATGGTGATCCTTTTAACTATACGTCCTTGGTGTAAGACGCAGCAGTAGGCTTGAAAAAAGTAAGGTTAAAACAAGAAGTATCTTTCATAAGGCAACCAGATTTTCCTCCTCAAGTTACTTAAATGTAACATTTAGATGTGAATAACGTAATTCTCATATAAAAAATATTACTTTTTATAAAGATATGTCCCTGTTGAGCGTCAACTTCAATGTTTGTGCCTAAATGCGGGTTATGAGCTATATCCCCTTGGAATGCAAGTCGGAGCATGGCTCTGATCTGGGTCCGGGACTGGCGTACAAGTTGTCGTAAACATTTTCTGCAAACGTTTGAAGTGTACGGGTTTAGGACCATACAGGTGAAGCATGTATATGACACTGACAAACATATGCATTACAACGTTTCCGCTGAACTTCGAAGTGTGTGCTGATAGAAAAGACATTGTTTACAATCTGGTTGAAATCGTCTTTAACTTAAAAAGACCATGGTATGTATTGGATTATGGCGATATTATTGTTGTATATACATGTCAGAAGTACTTATACGTCTTATCATATGAAACTTGTTGTGAAAATTGATCTTGTTACTGTAGATTTTGAACAGTTAGACCCATGTGCAAGCATTGATAGAATTGGCAGCTAGAACTAATTGAATCGGTGTTGGTTAAGAATACCGTTATTTATGACATCGACATATCGATAATTTGAAATTTACAGAGGAAGATAATAAAGATTTTGAACCACATAATTGATAGTGAAAAGATAAAACCGTTTCAATTGGGTCTATATCAAAAGTATAACAAGTGACAAGTGTCGTATAGCGTCTTCAGAAAAAATAGTTTTAAAAGTACCTTATGAAGTTAGCAAGATATGTTATAAATATAATCACAATACATCTCTGTGCTACCTTTCATATCGATACTTTCGAGATTGATTGAGTTTGGGAGAATTAAATTTCCTCGATCGTAATATAATTTTAAACAATATACATATTGTTACAGTGCCATGCAGGCAAGTGATTTAACCACAGGGGTCTAACTCAGTGAAAATGTCTATATTTCAAATGATTTCGTTTTTAGAAGTTGAACTGGCCACCATTAATGTACTCAAAACAATTTTTTTCAGAAAAGTTATTAATTTGAAAAAGTAATTAAAAATTGAGGAATTGATATATAAAAGAGCTTTTTGGAATTCCCCACCTCCAACTAAGTTTTTTTAAACAAAAAGTATACCTTATTTCCTGGAACTATTGGTCATTCATGTCCTTTGATTATCCATTATGAAAAAATTATTTGAATAACAAATTTTCATTGAGTTAGCTCCCTGTGTCTTCAAGGCTTTTTTTATTGGTACATGTGTTTTCTGGTTCTGGAAATCTGGGTAGCTATAGGTTGATTTCTCCATTGTCCATATTGTAAGTCTGTAGTTTCACCATTGTTTATTCAGAGTTCCCTTGAACTCAGTGAGTGTGCTGGAAGATAATTTTTTTTCAATCATAATGTTCCATGAATTAACTATGCATTGTGAAAACGAGTACTACAATGGTTCTTTTGGCCTCTAGTTTCCTAAAGCAATAGATGTATGTTGCACTTATCAATGGCAATTTTCTGAAGAAAATGCAATTCCATAAACATAAGCATTTAAGATTCTTATCATACAGTTGTCTCTTGAGTTAGAAAATGCTGTTATGAAGTTGATATTTTGATATTATATGCACCAGAATTTGTTTGATTTTCATGCAATGAATAATTCTTTTTTCTAATTCTTCCTATAGGCCCGTAATAGTGAAAAGGCTATGTGAGTATGATTTTCAATAATTCTGTATAACTATTTTTTCAAATAATCATTAGTCTGAAATGGTGTGTTAAATTTTCAGAGAATGTACATGCACAGAACCTGTAGAAATAATTAACACTTACATTCATTTAAAACTGATAATTGAAATCACAGTCATAGTTGTTTATTTAGCAAAGTTCATGACGTAATTGATGATTGTAAAAGAATAGTTAATTTGGTTATCAGTTATAATTCATAAACTTTAATATGTTTCTTCCGGCCTTAACTCTAGGCAATAGACATTTTTAAGGACAAATATCTCGATATGGTGTAGGTCTGGTTTTTCACACAAAACTTAAGCTGATAACAGGTAATTCTGTTTTATATATATATATATTTATGTTTTTACTTCCTTTGTAAATTCAGGACAACATTAGCCAGATGGCGGGCAGCTCATCTTGGTGATAATAAGGAACAGGTAAGATTTGGTGGGTCAGTAAACATCTGTAAGGTACTTACAAACTTACTTCTAATTATCAAAAGTTCTTGAGAAGTGAGAACTTCTGTAATTTCCCCTTATACTATAATTGAAAGACACATGAATTGTAATGAAAATTTATTTTTGCCATGCTTTCACTTTTACTGCAAGTCCTACAGAATTTTCTTCCTTTTTTGAGAAAGTACTGATCTTTTAAACAAACACTATTTGAAAATATCTTCTCAAAATAAAGCTATTATACCAAACTGGTGAATCTTATTCCTTATATAAGCAAATGAAAGAATTTGTGAAGTGTTACTGAGTTTGAAAACTATTTGAATGGAATATGGTATCACACTGCAATATGAATCTAGAAATGACAGATATCTGTTTTGTTTTTAGTCAAATGTGAATACATATCAGTGTCTTGTAATTCACTGGAAGTTAATTCTCAGTTATAATAAATGTACAAATATGTCATCAATCTGTTTGTTTCATCCATACTAATTTCTTGTTTCAGGAAAGACGGCCATATATAGCCTCAGAGTGTACTGATTTAAGGAAAGCAGAAAAATTTAGAAGACAAATAATAGGAGAAATTTCAAGAAAAGTCGCACAAATTCAAAATGGTAAATTCCTGATAAACATTTGTTTTGTTCAAAGTGGGGTGAGTGGGTAGGGGGTCATGATAATGTGTTCATAGACCTTATTTTGCAATTTATCTAAAGATGTATATGCTGTTTGAATATTTTAAATATTTCTTTGATAAAGGGAAGTGTACAGCTGTATTTGGTATATCATTACAATAAACTTTTACATGGTAAAAAATCATGACAGCAGAAATGTAAAACATAATTTATATAATTATATATCCAATGTGTCATTTTACAATTGCTAATCTAATGCTACCCAAATGGGAACTCTTTTTGAAGAAAATTGGTAAGATTTTCTGCTGAGAGTTTGACACTTGCATTTTCTTAAATATTTCACGAATTCCTTCAGCTTTCATTTCATGCTTTGGTTACATGTCAGTTGTGTGTGTGTCTATAAATATATCACAAAAAGCATGCTAGGTTCAGCAATGTATTTTAGCAGGTAGGGGTAGCCAAAATGGAATGCCTCTTATCTTCAGTTTAGTTATGTAAATAAATGACATAATTTTGAGTATATTTCTTCATTTTATAAAAGTTTACCTTTCTCATTAATTTGAATCATTTATCTGTCAAAAATACTAATTTCAACAACCTCATTTCTAGTCTAGAATAGTTGATATTCGTTTGCATTGGAACATAAAACTTATGCATCAAATATTTGTGAAGATTTCCATTTTGGGTAGTGTTCTGTTTTGGTTGGCATTACATTAAAGATAAATACCATTAAAACAATTATAAACAAGAAATTTTTTAAGAAGCATGTCCTACCAGAAATATGTTTTGAAAAGTATGAATTTGAAAGTAAAATTTTTGCATGATGAATTGAATTTTCAATAGCTGGTCTTGGTGAGTTTCGACTGCGAGATTTAAATGATGAAATTAACAAGTTGCTACGAGAGAAGGGTCATTGGGAGGACCACATCAAGGAGCTTGATGGACCTGACTACAGGGTAAGTACACATTTTAATTATTATTGGGAGTCAGGTGTTGTAATGATCCCAATTGTTTATCAAAACTACTTCAATATTTAAACATTAGCAGGAAGACACTGAATTCTTGGTTCAGATCTAACGCATTTTCAGTTGGATGTGTTGCAAAAAAAATTGTATTTTAAAGGGAACTATTTAACAAATTGACTGCCAAAGAAGTAAATTATCAGAAGGAAAAAGATTTAAATTAAAAAAATGGTGAGTGTGGTTTCATGATAATTGAACATTCCTACCTGATGTGGAATGGAATTTATTTTATAGAAAATTGGGCCAAAGATGTTGGATCAGGAAGGAAAAGAAGTACCAGGGAATAGAGGATACAAGTATGTTATTTGAACATTGCTGGTTTGTCACTATATCCATATTTAGAACAACTACTAGACTATCTGATCCAAATCATTGGTAATTGAGGTGAGGCATAGACGACAACAATGTCGGTGTCTTGATCAGTGATAGAAAGGATTCTAATCAGTTTAATGAATACAGCTTAAGTGCATTCAGTTTAGGCACTTCATGTCTGTTCTGTAAATAACACAAACTGATGTACAGAAAATATACCAACCTGTGGCAGGTTTGACATTAGAAATTTATATACTAGAAATGTGCTGGATGATTTGACCCAAAGATAAGTAAATAAGCAAAACACAAATTAGGAAAATAAAAATACTGTTTTCGTCACCTAACATGCTGTGTTATAGTGACTTCATTTTCTGATATTTATTTGCAAGGTGTCTTGTATTGGTAAAGATTAACTGATGCTTCACACGCATGAAAATATAAGATAATTAGTCATGCACATAAAGTATATATATTAATGATATCCAATGGTAAATCCGTCAGCATTCATAGAGATTTGGACAGTTTTGTCTTACAATAAATTTTCTACATTTGAAAATTCATTCCTTTCACCTCAGTAATGTCTTTTGTTCTCAAACAGATAACACTATATGTAGTTGTAATAAGATGGTTTAGAATAAATGGAATTGAATTACCATAACAATCTATAAGACTTTAAAACTGGAGATCATCTGTTTTGCAGTTGTGACCCACTGATATCAATAATATATTTTGCTCCATCAAAATCACAATGTTGTAACTTGCATTTCTGCTACCTTGTTTTCAGATATTTTGGAGCAGCGAAGGATCTTCCTGGTGTCAAGGAATTGTTTGAACAAGAGCGTAGGTTTCGTTAGTTTGCATCTTAAGAACACTTCATTATTTATAGAATGTTTTAAACTTGCTATATTTGTGTTTTCCTGTCTTGTTTTAATAAACAGCATAACATAAAAATTTTAAGTCATACCGCATATTTACGGCATAGGTAATATGAGTTTAAATTATTTATCACTAGCGCCTCCCATGTTGCGGAAAACACGTGCAGAAATGATGAAGGACATTGATGCTGATTACTATGGCTACAGAGACGAAGATGATGGTATTATTGTACCTATAGAAGTGGATATTGAAAAAGAAGGTAAACAAACTTTGATACTACACGTACATATACTGGAAAGTTAATGGGCCTAATGTGTCAGGGAAATTAAATGTGCTGATATAGAAAAGGGAAGACATTAAACTCTACCCTAGATACATCCTGCAACCTGGTTAGTTGTGTTTTATTTATTTTTATATTGTTTATAAGATTCATATCTTCAGCTTATTCGGACATATGCATCTAATGATTTATAAATTTTTCATTTTTTAAGAATCTGTAAGTTATTTAGACCAATGAGCTACTATGCCTGTTCAAATCTTTTTGCCAGAGCCCATTTCCTGAAAAATTTCATTTGGTCTCTGTCTGAAGACACATTTAAGGTGGTCTTTCACCAGTGTATAGGATTTGATCATTTTCTGGCCATGACTTAATACATGAAATCAGGGATATAATCCTACATTTGATGGTAATCACTTTGAAATATGACTGCTTCTTCTTAATGTGAAGTCATAAAATCCTCTCTTTGTCACTTTTATAGCAATGTACTGTCAGAATTATGTATTATTTTATTGAAAATACATGTTATTGACAATTTGTGACAAAAACACGGACATGAATCATTTCCTAGGCCTAGAAATTTTAGAATAGATAAAATAAATATGTTGATGTATTTACTAGTTTTTTGATGGTATCAAGAAATTAACAAACAAATAATAATATCCACACCACAGCCATTGCCACAGCAGTGAGGGAGTGGAAAGAACAACAGGAGGCCCGGGCCCAGGGTAACCATGGTGACCAGGAGGAGGAAGAGGATGAGCCCGCACTGTATCAAAAAGAAGAGGTATATTCTGAGCTTAAACCTGAAGGATTTCCCCACCCCACTCTAAGATAGTTACCTGTTGTTTATTTTCTCTTCAGAAACTACTTATTTTTAAAGCTATTATTGTACTGTGTTTTCATTTACAATCCTTGTGGATCTCTGACATATAATTATAATTACAATCTCATTCACTTTGTATTGATTTGGCCAATGTACATATTTTCAACTGAATTTGAATTTCAAACTTTCACCTTTCTGGAGAGACCACTCTATAAATTGAACAGAAAAGTAATTATTCTTTCTCATTCTGATAAGGTATATAACTGAAGCCTGGATTAAGACATGTAATTTGCATATTAAATTAAATGTTGATAGACTGTGACAATACTTTTATAATGATATTGAAGATTGAGGAAGAGGAAATGGAAACAGAGAAAACTGAGGAAGAAACCCAGCATTTTATTGCTCACGTTCCTGTACCATCACAAAAAGAGGTAATTATTTCTCTCACTTCTCCTCTAATCTATAAGAGCATCATACACCTTAGACCTTTGTCTTTTTATCAAACTTGGCATTCATTTATATAGGATATGCTAATACGGAGGTTAATAGTGTGTTTGTGATTTATTTTTCAATTTGTAATTATCCAGTATTACACTTTTTGAACGGTATAGTTCTTGATATAAAATTGAGGAAGCTTGTGAGTGGTATCAAGTCAGCCTTGGACTTACTATTAGAATTGTCTGTAGTTCATTTCTGGAATTCTGTGAAAAATATATTTTTTCTTGTTTCAAGCTTTTAGTAAAACCGTGGAAATTTTAACCAATGAAAAAGGTCTTCTTTACAGTACTACATAGTTGTTTGTATTAAAAATTGTAAAAAAAAATGCACAAAATCACAAATTTGTGTGTGAAAAGATTTTTGAGAAAAGCTCACCTGGTATATCATCACTGAAGAGATGATAACATTATGAAATTTTTATTTTAGATATTATTACCATAACTTTTCCATTGATGATATATCTCTTTTGAGTTTTGACCAATCAGAATAGTGCATTCTGTTCACTGCAATGGAATTACTGATTTTGCTGTTGATTGTAAATCAAGTTGATGTTGAATAAATTTGGTGTTCACCTGATCTTTTGCTGTGTACATGACTGGTTTTCCTTCAGTTAATTGCTTATTACATGGTGGCAGTGATTTCCTACAGGAAAAACAGTGTAATGGCTGATACAAAATGGAGCTGTCTTATTGTCAAACATTTCTTCATAACAATCAGACATCAAGGTATATGCTATGAAATGTTTCTTGCCTTTTTTTTGGAACACAGATTCGTTGTATAAATGGATCATTTTACCCTTAAAAATGGTTGAAGGTTTAAAGCAGATCAGGAAGAAGAATGTGAAATATTGAAATTTAGACTGTTACTATACTTATCTTATACAATTACAATTCACGTTTGAATGTTATTCAGATTGAAGAAGCCCTTGTCCAAAGGAAAAAAATGGAACTTTTACAAAGATATGCCAGCGAATCACTCCAAACAGAAGAAGGCCAGTCTAAGGAGATGATGGGCTTATAACAGTGAAGGTTACAGATTGTGTGTGTGTTGGTGAGCTGGTAGTGAGCCTGTATTACAAGAGCACTATCATAGTGTTTGTATGTTAGTGAGCTGGTACATATAGGAACAATATCATAGTGAGTTTGTATATTAGTGAGCTGGTATGTCTTAAGAGTGTTTATATCTTAGTGAGCTGGTATGTCTTAGAGTGTTTGTATGTTGGGGAGCTGGTACATACAGAAGCAATACCAAAAAGTGTGTTTGCTTATTTGTGAGTTGGTTTATACAGAAACAACATTGTTGGGTTTGGTTTGTATGTTAGTGAGCTGATATGTACAGGAACAAATCGAGTTTGTATCGAAGTAGGTTTGTACATATAGATACCACTCTGTTTGTATACTAGTAAACTGGTAGTCTGTATGTTCAGAGACAATATCATGGTGTGTTTGCATGTAAGTGAGCTGATATGTATAGAATCATTATCATAGTGTGTATGTTAGTGAAATTGTTTGTCCAGAATGTTGTTTGTAAACAAGATTAAATATGCAAAACCAATATTACAGTGTATAAATATGTTAATGAGGTGGTATGTATGAAAAAAAATGTAGTGCATTTATTTGAGTGTGAACCTGACATGGTGTAGTGAGCACACATTTATATCATGTACGGTGGAATTTCTCCAAATGGACCATGCATGAGTGATTGATATTGGGAAGGTTATTTTTTACCCTCTGTAATAATGAGGACATCATTCCATACATCACCATTGCCTTCAGATTTAAGGGGAGATAAGTTTTGAGAAGGATCTGTTAAAGGTAGTATATACTGTATTATTCATAACTTGTGTGTACACTTGAGTTTGTACAATATAGTTAAATGACTCAGTCATGTAAAATTCATGAATCTTACAACAGAATTAATAAGATCAGAAAAATCAAATGAATATACTCAGTCCACTGATTATATCAAATATTCATCAATATATTAGGTTTTAATGATCATCCTTTGTTCATCCTTATACAATTCTAGTTATCTTTGTTTAGAAGTGAGAAAAATTAATATGAAACATCAGAAAGTATGCCATTGTATAAGGTAAAACCATTTAATATGTGTGAGTGCAGTAGTATGATTTGTATATTTCAGGACATCCTCAAATAAATGTTGGACAGGTTAGGTGTGTATGTGTTATTTGATGTGCAGAAGTAGGAGATGAGACACTTGATAAATGTCTATTTACAAATGTTTATGAAAGAAGTATAATTTGTAAATAAAGTGCTTAAAACAAACATTAAACTATTTTGTAAAGAAAAACCTTCTTGTGTTTTAATTTCTTCCTCAAATCAGACAAAGTAATGTAATGTGTATGTAAGTTATAAAGTTCAGTGCACCAATTCCCTTATTTAGAGGTCAAAATGGACATACAAATGTATGTAGAAACTGGCAGCTGTCTTATCTGTATCTATCTATTCCTGATTTCAGTCCAGTGTTTCCTTTCTCAAAACTTGATGATTTTTCAACCATATTTTGTTCTGGAACCAATTTACTCTATAAATCACCATGGATCAATCTGTCTGGACATTCTAATTGGCATAAATTCAATCAATACAGCCTCCTCTCCGATTAATGGTAATCTATCCAAGATGAAGCAGCTTCTGTGCTATGTATATAATATAAACATACCTTATTTATTTATCCTTATTTCGGCATTTGTTTTTTTATGAAATGTGTCAAGAAGTTTGAGTAAAAATATGATTCTGTGACAGCAGACCTATAGGCTTCATTTGTATAGCTAAATGATGTTGGTTCTATGAGAGAAATTACATAGGCAGAAAGAATGGTTATGTATCCTTCAATGTCTGAATGTATAGGATGTTCATTTCATTTGCTGTTCAAACATTTGATATTGACCATTCGTATTGGTTATCTCTTTTTAATATTCTTAAAATATAACAATGTGCTATCCTTTAACTATAATCTGTATTTACTTCATTGATTTTCAGTCACAGACTTGTAAGCTGTAAAACAATAGACTATTGACATACATATTTTTGTGGTATTAATATTTCAGTGCTATTAGAGTTTCTGGGTTTTGTTAATATAGCAATAACTGTGGATGCACTATTTCATCATTGTGCTAATTTGCCTAAAAATGATATTGTGCTAAAGTTTTATTGTGCCAAATTAAGTACCGGTACATATTTACCATATTGTGGTTCCATGACTAAGACATCATATGAAAGTCTAAATCATTGGTGTTCTCAGTCAATACTGATTGTAATAATTATATCCTCAGAAAAAATCCAAATAGTAAAAATGATTTCATTAGGTTTTTGCAAAAAAGTATTAATATAAAAAACAAAAGCAACATTATGGTACATAATTTAAAACAAATTTAATATTGTTTAAAATCCAGTCTTGCTTGTTCACTCATGGTGTCAAACTATTAAAATTACACATATATAGTAACAACTATGAATGTGATCTCATAAAGACAACAATGTATAGAAAATAAACAAAGTAAATGATCAAGTCTCGATACTTTAGAGGGTGTTACTATAAACTTATATACAGGCAGTACATAAATAATCTATATTAATGTCACCCATCTGTTTTTCTCATCACATTCATACAAATACAATTACTTAAGTGCATTCAATTCCTTTTCACCAAATAGCCTTGTGGGTTTTGTCAGAAGCTGACTTACTAATTCATAGAACCATAGTAGACAAAACATAAATCAAAATTACACACTTAATACCACATCATATCAAAATATAACATGTATTCCAGAGAGGAAAAATCTAATCTGGTAAGTTTCATTTTGAAGGGTGAAAAATTACACAAAATCCATAGATTGGTGAGCATTCTGCAAGGAATCAAACTCTGTTTCAGTAGAACTGGTAATGAAGATTTCTAAAGACAACTGAGTTTTTCTATTGGTTATCTCCCCTCACAGTAAATTTCATATTGTCCTGGTGCAATTTGATTTCTATGTAATCATACAGAGTACATAATCACATGACTACCACATGATGCAGTGGATACATCCATATATCATCTGTATTCCCTTGTGTCATACATTTTTCATTGGGATGTCGTAGACCAGAGACCTAATGTCATTCATAGCACTATGTGACATTGAGAGCATTTAAGACATGAATTCAGTATTATGATGAAAAAGACTTGAAATCAAACTGCAGAAAACATGTTTTGATAAATTTCTGCTTGAATATTTCATCACACAATATACAAAACCTTCATCTATTTGATTTAATAAAACCTTCGATTTTATCTTTTCATATAACATTTGGCTGATAACTAAATGAATATTCATCCAAAGTTGACACACATGTACTTTTTATCCCTAAAATTAACAAAAATTTGAATTGAATAAGGATCAACTATTTACAGGTAAAATACTTTACAGAACATCTGTGGCATTTATCTTGTACATACATATATCTCTGTATCCATGTGGAGAATTGGCATTGTCTTCTAAACCATCTAACACATCACAGCACACAAGTCTTTGTATGTTATGCATTGAAGTCTTCGACAACCAATGCATAGAGGACAAAAACCAGTAGTGATATCTTGAACATGTAAAATCACTCTGATCATAATCCCAAACACAAATACCTGAGTTTTGTTAGTTATCTCAAAAATGCAATTTTACATTCCATGTACCATATTATGCAAAATAGAAAAAATCATTTCAAACATTTTAATGAGTATCACTGCTAGCACCATTAAAAATGTGAAAATGTCACCAAAATCTCATAAGAAATCAAATTTTCACTGATTTTTAATGTGATTGTCACAGTTCATACATCCCCTGGCTTTTTCATAGTTTCTTCAAAACTATTGCAGTAATCTATGATCTCATTCATTCCTAGATATGTTAACACTTCAATAGTGAAAGACATACTAGTGTATAAGTAGAGGCCAAACATATGAGAAGAGCAACATACTGTCTAAGAATTACACATAGATGTACCGTACTCCTTGTTTTGTATGTCTTACATCCATATCTACAAACATATATATTGGATATAACTTGGTTAATGCACCTCTTATATGTTAATTTTATTACTATTGAAATGTAAAACATGCTAATCCTGGAACAAATCTTGATAGTAAGTGTGCAAGATTAAAATATTGAATTCATCCAAGAGAAATAGTTTACGACAGATTTTAGTTGACTAGTCATTAATTACCCAAACACTGCATATTTCATGTTAAGTCCTCAATGCCAAGTGTAATGATTCTTTTGTAAAAAATATTACTAACAAAAAACAGTTTGTCAAAATACAAACAAGAACACAGTCTCTTCACAAAATTCGGTGTAAATATCTCCAGGAACAAGGGTTTCAAAGCCGGGCATTGAAAATTTACCAATGCTGTCAGAAACAAAACTAGTCCTTATATGAAAAACTAATGTAAAAAGTAATCTAATAAGTGCTGTGATGACAAGGAATATGGCAAAGTGAATTAATCTGTCACAATTTTATATAGACCAATAAACACCTCCTTTTTCTAGTGACATCAATGATTTTAAAGTTCCTATCTGGGCTATAAACACAAAATTGCTGCAGGAAAAACAGTAAAAGCAATATTTTCTCAAATTCTTGAAGCTCCTGATTATAATAAACTTTCACAACACATCTTTCAAACCACAATATCATAAGGCCATGTTTAAAACAGTTTGGCCATAAGCATGTAGGAGAGCCCAATAGGAATTTCCCGTCAGTCAAGTGATAGAGTGGAGACCAACTGGTTGGAACCCCACCTGGTGCAGAATGTTAAGACTGAGATGATTACAACGAATTACAAACAAGTATATGTACCATGAAGGTTTTGTAAATCAGTAAAATGGCTAAACAAAATACCAACATTTTTATTATTTTCATCAAAAATGGTTCCGTATGTATGCAATGACTAGATGTCTGCTAAGATTTACAGTTAAAGGTTTGATGGGAATGCCAGCACATTATTTCAGGTTCGGTCACGTGGTGGACTTATTCTTGAAAAATGTATACCTTTTTCGTGGGACAGCAATAGATATTGACAGGCTTGTGACTAGCTATTGGCTTATCACTGGACATATGTCTGATAGTCAAGAATGATGACTCTAAATGTTTATGCAAACTTAAGGTAATATATATATATATATATAAACCAAATCTGACAAAATTATTTGTATGGAGAGACATGGATTAACATGAGAGATCTCATTTCAATATGATTGTCATAAATACCTGATACCTGAAAATATTAATAGAAATCGGCTAGAAGAAATATTCCTTTCCTGAAACTCAGGATATGAAGGATTCCAATCATAATTTTGCTATACTTTTGACTTCATTATGACATTTTAAGTCTATGGTGTCTTTTCTTTATCATTTCAAAACATAACAAATTGGTCATGTTACACATATTCTCTAGCAAAAAAAACAAGGTCATATTTGTTTGATAATATGATTATTGTGCAATAAAAACATTTATCGGGTATCAGGGAAAACTGTAATAATCAAGAGAAATATTACAGAGTACCTTTCTACTCTTCTGGTGAGACTTAACATGGGTTTGAATTGAAATTGTAGAAATTATCATTACAATGATGTGTGTACATGTTCACTAATGTCATTAAAATTTTTAAAGATTTTGGAAAACAAAGCAATGGATCCTTATTTGATCTTTTGGTCATTACTAACTGTCAGATGAAGAGAAAACAACAGAAATGGTGATACAAACTAATTGAATCTCATTACCTGAGAATTTAGACTTACTCTAAACATTGATTGACAATCCCAATATCCCTGTTTACTTAAAGGTGTTCTTGAAAGGATGCCATAGATGAATATACCCTCACTAGGATATCAAACTGTTCCTTGGCTATGAAAATCTGATGGAAATTATGTCAACAGTGATGATAATTTCCTGAGTGTTTTGTTATATTAGTCGATGCATTATTGTCTTTACTTATTAAACTTACAGTCAACTCTTTCATGAATACATTTTAACATGTGAACAGTCGAGCCTCCTACAGGATTTAGGGTACAGAAACACGATAAAATCAAGGGGAATAACTCTAATAATTCTTAAACAATAAACATATACAAGTATTAGGTGAATCAGCACTGGTTTGAGACAAATTTCAACAGTAAAATGGTTATAAACAAAATTCTAAAGCAGTCATTTAAAAAGTTATTCAGTAATATTACAATATCTTTTCAGACCTTAGTAGATGAACTATCGGAAATATATGTAATATATATATATACTATGTCAGTTCATTTGTTTGCAACAGCAATTCTGTTGGACTGATAACTATTTCAAACCTTGTGAAGCTTTAATAGATTCTTAACCAAAATGCTAAAAAGTTTGAAATGTGTTAAAGTGTTCTTATATTTTTATATACAATGATGATGATGATGATGATGATGATGAAGATGATGATGACATTGATGATATTAATCAACATTACTTCTGGTACAAAAAGCCTGTTTTAAATAACCTAACTTCTGCAACAAAAAAGCCAGCTTTAAGTAACATAATGTACCCTCGATTCATTGTAACTACAAGCTTTAAGTAACCTTATGTATTCTCAATCAGGTCATCAAATAGACATGTTCATCTAAACAAGTGCATTGATCTGTACACTCCATTCTTAGTCCGATAATTCTCAAATCAATCGACAACTTCAAATTCCTGGGGTTTTAGCAATAAGTTTTTGCAATATAAATTTTCAACAAAACAAAAAATAAACAGATCTATAGTTGCAAAGATGATAAAGATGATATATTATATTTGTATGAGTATAGCCCCTGTTATAACCTACTAAATAACCATTTAATGTAACTAAAACAAGAAACTTAAATTAAAACACTCAATATCACCTTAACAAATCTCAATCTCTATAAAGATTCTTTTGGAAGAATCAACAATACACACATTAAAAGCAACATAGATAACATTTAAAGTTGAGAGAATATAATTTACCTACAGAGACCTATGCAAGGACATTAATCAAGTCAAACCCTCCTTTTGCAGCACAAATTTGACTGCTTCATGTACATTCGCTGTCACAATTTTGGGTTGTTTAAGTTCAGGATCTAGTACAAAGTCGCGATGATTGTGATTGGACATTTGGCTAGAATCGTAAGATACATAATCCCGTGAAGAACAGTACACTCCTGTACACACCAGGATTGAGTGACAGTTACGAGCAAAATGTCGTCCTGCTTCTGTATCCTCTGTGTAATGAACCAAACCATCCATGTCATCATCGGTGTCAGTGTCCTGTAGATGAGCCACACCACCTGCTGTGTTCTGCACTTTGACCTTCAGCCTTTGCTCTTCCTGACGTCTTGTAATATATCTGTTGTACAAGTTAGCACCATAGATGTCTGTCTCTGGATTGTCCCTTAAAACACAATAAATCTTTTTATAGAAAATGAACAGAATTTCAGAGAAATGGATGAATAGATTAATATCTTTCAATGCAAAAATTATGTACTCTGATATTTCTAAAAAAAAAATTATGATAGCAACCTCGCTACACTGAGCTACAGGCCAAATTACTTTTTTTTAAACAAACCTTATTTTAACATTTAATTTTACATCTGTGATCTGGATAGTTAACTGATCTTAAAACAACCCTTCACTCCACTAAATCAAATTTTATACCTTAATCATGACTAGACTTCATGGCTTTTAAAAGGATATGCGGTACAAGTTAGGATTTCATATGATTTTTTTATTAAAAAGTTAAAAAAAGGATCTACTTATGTTCTAATAAATATTTTATGTCTCAATTCACCAAATAAACAAAAAAAAATTAAATAGATTCCAGCTAGATCAATTTACAAACACTAGCTCCACTATGATTTAGTCACAACACGTTTGGTTTTTATCAGCCGAACGGTGTGAAATATTTCTTTAAATATTAAAATCAACAGGAAATCAACAAAACAAAGCAATGGAATTCGGATCCCAGCAGAAATTATATGTGAACAGCATTAAGACCTGTGCAATTACCCAACGCTTTGCATAGGAATCTATAACCTAATTAGTGTTTCTGTTCCTGATTTCTTAATGAGCTATATTTACACAATCTAACTAGATATTGGAACTTGTCTAAACTGACCTCAGGAAATGATATTTTTATGCTGACAATAGTTTTATAATTAATAAGCAAGAGTTCTAAAATGGTACAAGACAGCCAGAAACTTGTGCAGAATATCAGTTTTGGAATTTTTGAAAGGATTTTAAATAATTCAAAATAGTATTTCCATAATTGCTAAAATGGTCTATGTAGATCATGTTTATGAAATGAAAACCTCATCTGTGATGCAAAGGCTTAGTAAAGTTAAGCTCCAATACTCTATACAATACAGTGTGTTTATGTTGAGTCAAAGATAATCTCTATCAGCCCAAACATTTACCCTATACAATACAGTGTGTTTATGTTGAGTCAAAGATAATCTCTATCAGCCCAAACATTTACCCTATACAATACAGTGTGTTTATGTTGTGTCAAAGATAATCTCTATCAGCCCAAACATTTACCCTATACAATACAGTGTGTTTATGTTGTGTCAAAGTGTGTTTATGTTGAATCTCTATCAGCCCAAACATTTACCCTATACAATACAGTGTGTTTATGTTGTGTCAAAGATAATCTCTATCAGCCCAAACATTTACCCTATACAATACAGTGTGTTTATGTTGTGTCAAAGATAATCTCTATCAGCCCAAACATTTACCCTATACAATACAGTGTGTTTATGTTGTGTCAAAGATAATCTGTGTTTATGTTGTCTCTATCAGCCCAAACATTTACCCTATACAATACAGTGTGTTTATGTTGTGTCAAAGATAATCTCTATCAGCCCAAACATTTACCCTATACAATACAGTGTGTTTATGTTGAGTCAAAGATAATCTCTATCAGCCCAAACATTTACCCTATACAATACAGTGTGTTTATGTTGAGTCAAAGATAATCTTTATCAGCCCAAACATTTACCCTATACAATACAGTGTGTCTATGTTGAATCAGAGTTAATCTCTGACAACCCACACACTTACCCTATACAGTACAGTGTGTCTAACTGTTGGATTCCTAGACTCTTAGCCTGGTGCCAAAGAATAGAGTCAGCATGATGATATGTGATTCCACTTGGCTTTCCTATTAACCCAGTATACTTTAATTCTCGGCCGGTAATTTTCTAAATGAGAGAAAAAATATATCATTACTATAAAATGGAAACAAAATAAAACAAAGCAAGAAATTCAAGGGCTGGAGCAAAATCTTCATGAAAATGAACAAATAACAAAAGTCTTACTGAGAAAATTCTCCATACTGTTAAAGGAAGTTCAACTTTATATCAATATACAACAAAAGAATGTGGGAGTGCACCATCATCTATTATTTAATTATGCCATAATTCTCAATTTCGCAAATACTAGTCATTTTAGTACAATTTTAAATTAAATGATGTACTTTGGTCGAATGAATTTCCCTCTGCAGTTCTGGAGAGGAAGAATTATTGTTCACAAGAAAATGTTAATCAGACAATAGGCATTTAACCATGACAAACTATATATCAGAAAAACTGTACAGTTTACAGAAATTCCTTTAATCATTCCTGATTAACAAACAATACACAAAGTATGTTTTGTTCATAAATACTCACCATATACAGATGTTCTAAACAGGTGAGGAAACATCCATGTCCAAACCTATAGTAAAAATGCATCTCTATAAATATGACGATTGATTATGTCACAATATCATTACTGAATAATTAAAAAAATCGCATGAAGAAGACTGCTAGGCCTGAAATGTCAGAAAACTGCCTTGCTGATTTTATCTTTTTGAACATATATTAGAAAATTAAAATTTACAGTGTCTGGTACAAACATTTAAAGAAAATTGGAAACCCTCCTGATATGTAAAGCAAAGGTGTTTTTTTATCAAATCTTCAGATGCTTACATTTTACTGAGGTAGCAATACTAATTGTAAAATATCAGATGATTGGAAAGTACTTATGCTTTACTCATCAGGAGTGTTTTCCAGTTTTGTTCTTTATACATATAAGAAATATTTCCATTGAAAATTAAACAAATCATGCTAAAAAATGCACTTTTCCTACATAAACTACATTAAACTTGACCATCTCCACAAGGGGAAATGTGAGACCATGGGGCTATGGAATTCACATTTTGGTAAAAGCACCATCAGACTCTTCCATCCATAAAGAACATTTGATTCTGCCGTATCTGGGTGCTGAGCAATTTTTTGAAATTTGAGTCAATTTGACTCTTTTCAGCTCTCTCTGTCAAGCCCCTAAGGACCATATCATTCACTATTTTGGTTCATCTTTATTTAGCCAAGGAAGGTTTCAATGAAATTTATTAAGGGTTTTTTGAGAAGTCGAAAATGTCAAAAATTTTTGGGCACACGACATCAGAAAAAAAGCAATTGTAATAATCACTACAAGATTTTGTTGGTTATATGTTTACATTCACTGCTTATTTCATGGAAATCCAACATTTGAGTTGAAAGATGGTTAATTTGCAGCTAAAATGCTGACATGTTTCTAATAATGTGCTCATGTACCATAATATACCATATCTATCCAGAAATAAGCCGTGAATATCTGGTAATAAGCCCACAATTATCTTTATATTTATACAATTGCTCTCCAGTAGAATTACTAACACATCTTGTGGCATTGTTCTGCAATAAGCCCACCCCCTGAATTTAAGTCACAGGTTATGAGTTGGCCCCTTGAGCTTTTGTATATTACCTTGGCATGCATGCTTCTGCCATCCAAAGTAGATCCATATTGCAGGCAAGTACTGGCAGGTGGGGGTATGGAATCTCCCTTGGAGCAAACATGGGTTTCCCATTTGTAAGTAAAACATCAATAATGATCTGAAGATTGGTCTCCCATCTCACTGGCTCCCCGAAAAGTATAACAGCTGTAAAATAAATTAAAGCTCTTTTTAAATCATATCAAGTTTCCATATTTAATTATCAATATATACCGGTTATATATTTCATATTGATTGTGAGTAGACAATATGAAAACTTAGAAAATATCTTACTAATTTCTTAGTAATACAAAATAGCAGTATATACTGGTTAATCAGTTGGCAGTGTAGCTGTTGGATGATGACATTTTCTTGGTCTGCTCTGGGCTATTGCCAAATATAACCATTCTTTATATGCATTAGCAAAATTAATACAAGTATAGAGGATTATACAGGACATAAGACCTCTTTTTTAGGTGACTGACCATTCTGTTTACAATCTATAGCCAAGTGGTTCTAAATCTCATAATGTAATGTTACTTATACATAACACAACATTACAAAGGAATTATAAGCCCATCTCAAGGACATTTTAGGTGACTGATCAGTCTGGTTAGTACATACCACTGCCACCTGAGTTTTATGTGATATTACTTATATACAACACATGATTCTAATACAGGTATGTCAAATATATCAGACTGATCCAAAGCCTAGCCAGTGTAGAAACATAATGACCTGATAAAGAAGACACTTTATTGCATAACTGGCCTGTTCTCCAATGTATATTTTGCATATAGAGTATAGCATATGGAGCATTTTCATCAGTTCACCAGTCAGAAATTGATTATATTATAATATTGGTAAGGATGCTATATCTTAAATTAAAAATGGTGCAAAACTTGTCTGTCTTGGTCTGATTTTGTCCTCTATATTTTGAGTTTAAAACCTGACCAAATGTTACTTTTTTGAGTTATGTGATTAGAATTATCTTACATTTGTTTTCATTTCACATCAGATTGTATGAAACCTGTCTCAAAGTTTAAATTTTTGCCCAGGCTAAAATTTAAATTTATCTCAAATTCTATAAATGCATACTAGTGAAAAAGGTTCTTTTTTAAATACAAACTGAAAATAACAATTTCCTTGCAGAAAGGAAGACTTTAATTGATTCACTAATGCAAATAAGTTCAATACTGTAAATAGGCCAAAACGGCACTCACATACTTCAATAAATTTTAGATATTGTTTAGAAATGATAATTAATACTTTGCAAAACATTTTGTAATTTTAAACATGAATTTTGTTAATCTTTTGAAAACTCATTTTAGCTTCAGGATCATAATTCAATCTTAGTAGTTTATAATTAATGCTGCTGTATTAAACACTTACCTTCTACTGGTTGAAACAGTCTCATGTCTTCTTCCTTAGGCTATAGAAATAGACCAATCTCCTGTTAACTTTTTTTGAAAAAACTAGCCTAGACTATCATAAATTTTGTCATATTTTCTAGAATTTTCATTTTCATTATTTTAAATTGAAAACAATGTATTATTTTTTCATCATTATATGATTAATCAAACATGTACCAGGAAGTTTACAAACACTTCATAAAAAACTGTAAAGATAATTCCTTAAAGATTTAATGTTTTAACATTTTGAATATTGTTTTTATCATCAATTGGTATTAAAAGTGGTTTACACATATTATTTCAAGATATAATTGAAAGAATGTCAACAAATGAGAATAAAACACACAACTTACAGATGCCCTCCTTCGTTTATGATCCACCATATCTAAATTGGGGAAGACTTGACGTAGTTGATCAATCGTTGTTATTTTAGAGAATCCTAGATTCTGTGCTATTTCCTCCACTGGACCTTGTCCAGACACAAGCACATGTTTATTATGAAATTCTGGAAACATCTTGAGAGGACTGTGTGACATCACCACCTGATCACTGCTTACCTATTAAAAACATGATCAAATGGTAAAGTCATGTTGCTATAAATCTGACTTACTCTTTCATTTCTGTAGATTTCTGTAAATATGAAATGTTGCCTTCTCTGAGTTCTGACAAAATCTCCAGTAATGTACAAACTAGAGTCTACTTGGGCACACCCACATTTTCATGATGGCCAAACAAAAGACAAAAAGATTTGTCATCATTAAAATGTTTAGATTGCACAAGCAGCAGTGCGGTCTGATGCTGTGTAATGAACTAATATAGAAAACATTGTCAATGAAGTCTACAAAACATCCATTTCTGATATAACAAACAAATTTACCCAATATCCTGTTTGTAATGGTGCTGAAATCAGGACTAAATGTTATTATCAACTTGGTTTACCTTGACATCAAGCCACTCGGAGAGCTGTTCTGCCTTGTTTTGACGGAGGGTGTTCCCAGCATTAGTAACAAACACTGCTGGGACCCTGAAGTTGCCATATCGGTCTGTAAGTAACTGGAATGCTTCCTTTACATACGGCAACAACTTCTTTCCACGAACGATGACACCATCGATGTCAAACATAAAACCAAACTTTAACATGTCAGCCTGTAACAGCAAAAGATAAACCATATGAAGAGTGGGATACTCATTGTAACTACTAATACATTTACATGTATATCACTAGGAACACAAATTACAATTAATTTAATAAACTAACAAAAAAAATCATTTTTTGATTCCTTAAAATAATTCTTTTGAATAACTAAGACCTCTGGGCTAATATGATGACTTGCTAATTATAAACAAAGTAAAATTACCTTTGCAAATTACTTAGATTTCTAATACAATAAAGTGAAGGAATCATTTAAATGAATGACTCCAGGTCCTGAGTTCTTGACCCAATTTCATGTCCACATGGGATAAATCTAATAAAACATTTAAACAGCTTTTCCTCCAGAAGAAAGATGTTTTAAAGAATAATATAAGGCTAGCTTGTGGCGTATTGGATGATTGTTATATGATTAAAAAAGATTTATTTTGGCCAACTTCAAGGTCATAAAATTCAAGTAATATTTTTTCATTATTTTGAGCAGATTCATTTTATCAAAATGCTTAGATTTGTGTGCATGGATAACAAATTTAAAAGAATCATATTCATGATCCTTGTATACATCCTTAATTAAACAAGTTGATACATATAGAGACAGCTAATGAATTGCTTGTAAATGTTATTTATTAACTATGACTGTAGCATGAATTCGTTCTGAAATAATAATCAAACTGACAAGTATTTGTGTATTTGCGTGCTAGCTAATATTTTGTTGCATGACTATCTGTAACAAGAGAATATACTGACAATACTACAAGATGGTTATTTGAACCAAACATTAAACAAGGGAAAAAAATGAACAGAAAGATTTACATAAACACTGGTTTTAAAAGTTTTAAAAGGGTATATATTAATATCTGCAGTATCATCTTTCACACCTGACATATGTTTGTCGCCATCATCAACCTAATATAGCGACAGTCAAATTCTTCCTTTGAACCTGGTACAACTCATACACAGTGACAAACACATCTTAAAATGACAATGTGGCCATTTACGGTAGTCATCTAAACATCACACTCAAATCTTCTACTGGTTGTGCTATAAGAACTTCTATTCTAATGACATTACCAACCTGAAGAAAACATTCCCAAATACATGTACATCTTAAACTTCATATGAAATGTTGGCTAAATATCAAAGTTTAACTTTACCATTGAAATATAATGTATTGTCCTAAATGTCAGAAAAGTAATATAACCGAATAAATCTCATATTTAAACAGCTTACATAACATTCTGCTTCAAATAAAATTGATTCTGTATAACTTTGACTTAAGCCGCTTTACTGTCTGGTCTCTTCGTTTCCATTTGACCAACTTGACAAGTTTAAAAGTCCTTTTAAAAAGATGTTATATATCTAATATATGTAAGATTTTTTGTCAATGTCTTAAAATTTCAATAGATGCATTTATGCACCATGATGATTCATATCATTTAAAAGATATTGGAAGAGAAAGATTATACAAAAGACACACTAGTGAATAGCACAGTACAGTTTAATACAAATTAAGAGTTAGACAGCCAAGTAATGCATTAAACTACATCATACAGGTGGGTCACCAATCTAGGACTCACCAGTGAAGTTAACGGCCTTATTTTGCAGTCAAGGAGATGACTGATGAAAATTCAAAGAGATCAAAGTGACAATTCAAAGAGCCAAAGGATTACTATTAATCCTAATCACAATAATACCTATTGTCTGTATGTAAAACTACACTTGACTAGAAAACTTATTTAACTGGGATCAATACAGTGACAAATTCTCAGTATCATTAACTAAGTTTGGTAATTATTTATACCTAATTTGTAAACATGAGCCTCACATCACAGATACAGCTTCAAATTCATGATGTCCACAAATGCTATTAAGTTATGGGATGGTAATCTCAATGGCTTCAAAGATATAATCTGTATGGGGTGGGACCTGATCCCAGGACAAATTATCAGCTATGATTGTGTTTATCTTCTGATGCTCAGCAATGCTGTAGTTATTTAGAGGGGATCACAACTGTTTAAAAGAACCAAATGAATTGGTCCCAGGGGCCAAAACCCACGCTTTATACAAAACTGATTTCCCTTCATCCAAGCCATGCTTCAGACCAAATATGGACAATATCCTGCAATTCCTAAAGAAGAAGATACATTTTACAGAAATTGATAAATTTTCGCTTTTGGGCCCTACCCTCTAGCTCCAGTGTGCCAAGACCCCCCATTTACACAAAATTGATTTCCCTTCACCTAGGCATGCTTGTTACCAATTTTGGACAATATCCTGCAATTCTTAAAGAACAAGATAGAATTTAAAGAAATTGATTGATTTTCACTATTCAGCCCCAACCCTCAGGCCCAGGGAATGGCGTCCAACCCACCATTTACACAAAATTATAGTAAAAGTTGACAGGCGACAAATGTTGACTTTGGGCCTGGTGAGCTAAAAACTGGAATGAACAAGATACTATCTTGAATATGTAACTGCATAAGATACTATCTTGAATATGTAACTGTATCAGCAAATACATCACAGAAAACACTGATATTTCAACAGAGAATATTGATTTCAAATCAAGGAAAAAAGGGTAGACTCTGATAAAAAAAAATACCTGTAAGATGGAGAAATCTAAATGTGAACCAGGATTATTTCCTACAGAAATTTTCAAGTACCATAAATTGTCAAGTGGTGAGAGAGTTATGTAATATGTTAATTATATAAATCTAAAGCATAAAAAAAATTACTTAGTGTCTATTCTAAAGTAGTGATTACACCATCCCAGCTAATTACAAAGTCTGGCACAATTAATGAGAGCTATTTTTTAAATTAAATAACTGGCTTCAGATTCGCTATCATTGGTCATAAACTTTGAGGTATTTAATGAGGTATTTTTTTTATTAATACAAATTAAGTATGAACTTCATCTAATTTAGGTAATAGGTAACATTAAAACTAGGGCGTAATTCATGCGATACAATATCAATTTATTTAGTCATTGCACATGTACTTGCATAACATTGGCTGACATTGAAGGGGTCAAAGATTATACTAAACACACACTTTGCAATACAAAATTACATTTTTACTGTCTCTGCTAGGTTTCAAAACCAGGACCATCGGCTTACTATCATGCTACAGAGAAGCTCTTTAAACAGAGCAGTATATTGTGGCTACTGGCTTGTATTTATCAGGGTAACACACTCCTCCTCAGGAAAAAACTCAACAAGTTTCCTGAGGTTACAGCTATGCTTAAGAAAGCAATGCTAAATTCTATTACCAAAGTAATTATCTATTTCATCATTAAGTTAACTTCATCAGATCTGTTTTGTAATGGTCTCAGTTAATGAAACGTAGAAGGCAATTAACCGAAGAATATCAAAATAGCTCCAAATCAGTGTTAAAAACTAGAAGGAGATGTGAACTAGTCCAAAAGTTCAAGAAATTATAATAACTTAATTATTCCAATAACATTCAAGTATATGTTTATATTCTCAACGAATCAAAATAACATATATCTGAAGCACTAACTCATAATGTAACTGCTATGTATTTTGAAATTCCACTGTATCATTTCAAGTCATACAACTGATCACATTCTTAATTATTAAGTTCAAAGGTTATGAAATGCTGTCTTAGTTTATTTTTAAAAGATTGAGATTGTGCAACATACAATGTAACATATTTATATGTATCCTTCAATAAAAATTCCCTACATACAACCCCTGACCAAAGTTGGCAGCAAGCAGATTTCTTGGCTAGTAAACAGCAATTACTTTTATTGTAATGAACACCAAAATGTATTGGTTGACTAATAACCATGCATAGGTTATACTGGATATCATTACCAGATAAAACCAGGAAGTACCACCATGAAAAGTTCTGAACTATCTATATCCAGTAAAATGTTTTGTGTGAATGACCATGCAGTATATGAGTGGGAGTATTTTGGTAAGCATCAATTAAAGCTAACAGGATTAATAAACATTACAGTGTAAACTCTTGTTCAGTGCTTATAATCATGGTTCCCATAAACTGTTTGCAAATGTGAATGTTTGTAAATGCTTTTACAGAATTTGCCTTGTGCATCATTAGATTTTTATTCTCATAAAATAAACAAAACCAAAAGTTAATCTATAACTAATCATGCTTTCGCCAAAATTTCATCAGTTTCCTAGTTCTAGTTTCAGTAATCATAAGGCATTTTGTGTCTTAACAATTACTAAAATAAAAATCCCAACCATATATTGAAATATGGAGTCAAGTTTGCAAGAAATAAAATTTGAAACATGTCTCAAATTTTATTTATACTATTACAGCCAAGCTTTCTGCAGATGCATAATGTACATATAAAAGAATGTTTTTAAGAAGTTTTTTTATCAATTATTTGTCACAAGCTAACCATCAGATCGATTAAATCATATAATGCTGCATTTAATACGATCTAGTCAGATTAACGAATCATGTTTGCACTCAGACGCCATGCTAAATACTTTTAGAATTAGTAAGGCGTAAGTGTCATAACTGTTTTAATATCAGGTTGTTAATAGACAATATTGTAATAATCTGATCGATGCTAATTTATTAAGCAACAGAGCACTGTTTATTGATAATGATGTTAGCAGTGCCATGAGATATATCTCGCCATGAGTGCATATATGCAAGAGAATTCAACCAATGTTTACCATGCCGATCATGTAGCATATCACGTGGACAAACATGTGTGATTATAATAAGAAATATTAGTATTCTGACAATATAGTCTTAGACACTAGTCACTGATCATTCAATATCAACAGATATATTGGTTGTATTACTGATATGCAACAATATGAACTTATATCAATTTTGTCTCGTAAAGCATGAAATTAAGATTTTAACGTTATTTACTTTGTGATCTTTTGTACATATTGCGCAGCGTCACATCTTATTACGAACAGGGCAGTTCAATATAAGAAAACATGCAAATAATTAAATAATTATAAACAGCAGAGGGAAAGTCTACTTCCTTAAGTACCACACAAATGAGATTACTGGCTCAAATCAGCTGTTGTTCAAAGTGTTATTGAGATCGATCGATGTGTCAAAACAAAATAAAACGTCGACACAGTAATAAACAACAATTGATAAGAAGATGAGTCAATAAGATTTACAAACCTGAGTTGTCAGTGTTTTCCTATGTACATTTCGACGCATACATTTGAATAAGTTACGGCGAGTGGTGGTTGAAAAAGCCATTCTTCCCTTCTAGTAAGACATAGAAGCCATTGCTCCAGCTCGACCTTCACCTTTCAATGAGAAGGTGTGACATTATTGGCCAATCAAATCGGTGTTCGGTGTGACGTAGCCAAACAATGTGTACATAGATAAACAGCATTCGTCACTTCTCGGTCGACTCCGTACATGACCGGAATAACCTTCTAGGATTACTATCAAAGTACTGAAATCCTAAAGCTTGCTGTATACGTAATGTTATGACAGTGCTAATTACAGATTTAAAATTGCTTAGCTATTCATTAAACGGATTTTACATCCACTTCCATAGGGACTTGGCAGAAATTCCCTACCCACTGACAATTTAATGGTGACAAGAGTTTTAACTCCCGACAAGGGAAAACAGAACGTAGACCAAGTAATAGTTATGATCTGACAAGTTCGAGTAGCTAGGTAGACATTTCCATGTTTGTTTGAAACACGCTCACATCTCTACATGGGTACCTCAGCAAACATGTGCTGTAACTAAATAAAACTTTGAATCTTGAATGCCGAAATAGCAAAATATATGCGCTCGTGTATGTATGTACAGAACCCATGATCACGTCACATACATATACTGTCCTTTGATGTTCCCAGGTTACATAAATTGTACGTGACGATTTATGGTGCGCAATTGTGTCTATTTCGAGTATTGAATTTATTTCATACTTACAATCGTTGCCAGAGTATATATTGCTTCACATTTTACTAGGAGGTCCTCTGGCATATCAGTTAGACAAACATGATTTTGAACAATTTAGACTGAAGTCAGCATGTTCTATAAAACGGATGCTTGAACTATATGGCTATGTATAGTGCGCCAGGAGGCCTTCTGTATCATATACACTTAAAACCTATTATTGTGACATATATACTTAGTACGTAATTATTTCATAACATTATAACTTGCAAGATAATGCTTCACGGAGTATAAATTACATGAAACTAACATATTGTATGTATAATCATAATTTGTAAAATCTACATTAATTTCCACCTTAATGGTATGCTTTTCAAGTTGATTTATTTTGTAATTTGTATGTAATGCTCTTCTTCTTTGGAGGAAATAAAGACAATGATAATAGAAATTCCATATCAGCGTCAAGGTGCGCAATTTCTTCCACAACACCAGTCATGTTTTCTTTGATGTGGCTAACCACCGGTGTACGCCAATATCTGCCTAAACATTGGAGGGAGGTGGATACTTATCTAGAGTTTGCCAGGATGCTGCACATCTGGGATGGTCTCGCATGTAGAGTTTAATTTAACTTATTAAGCTTAACTTTTAACAACTAGAAACAAATAACCAAGAAATTACAAATACTGACATTGTTATTCCCAGTAGTAGAGTAACGTGTATGGCTATCTGATAAGGGGGCCAAGGTGACTGACTGCCGCCTTTATCATCCCCAATGGATAGAAAATAATAATAAATAACTCATTGAAGAAGTAATTTGCTTTGAATGACAATGTAAAAACTTTGTATCGATTTCGAAATGAAATATTTTTCAATTGGAACGGTCTACTAATACTTCAACTTTCCAACCAACACACTAGAGTAAAAACAAGAAAACACCGACGAGTCAACAAAATGATCATTAATATTTTATTGATAAAAATTGATAAACGTCAAAAAATCTTTTCCCCATAAACACAACAGCCTCTTCGGGTTACAGTAATAATCTTTCACAAGATCTGTGGTGTCTACATAATTGTTATAGGTTTAGACACACACTGGACGATTCATTAAGGCATTCAAACGGATGTGCTAAACCTCAAAAGCCAAGAGTCTGTATTTTCTGTTCTTCAGAATTTAATTGGCAATTACATAAAGTGGTGACTTCTGTATAAAGCAGATTTTCAAAAAGCCACTATTTCTGTTTTGCAACAAATTTGCTACCATTTGAGTAATTTAGCATCCTTCGCATATTCCAATAGTGAACTTGTGGTATTTCTCTGTGACTTTCTAAAAACATTGATATTTTCACAAAACATTGATATTTTCACAAACTTTGATAACAGGATACTCCTTTCAGATCGGGAGGAGTTTCTCCGAAGCCTTCTGTTTAGGGAACATCTGATGAGAAATAAGAATAACATCTGCAGTATCCCACTGTATATTCGTAAGAGGCAGAATCGGATGTTTTCCTTCCTGTCTACAACTAATAAGACATTGAAAAGTCCAAAACAGATCTGCTGCCTCTATTGTAACACGTGAGACCTTTATCTATCCGTGCTGTAGTTTTCGTCATAGGTGTCCCTCTCATTGTTGCTAACCTCTTGTCAAATTATATCTTGTGACAGCATTCAAAATCAAGGGTGACTGTGTGTTTTAAAGGATCTTATAATAAAATATTTTTAAAAGAAAAGGTGTGTGTTTCAGTACAGGTATTTTACAAACTTGTGGAGTATACTTAGTTTTATGCAACATGTTCATCGTGCAATATTCGTATTTTTATCTTAAAAATAAAGACACTCGAACGGTCGGTGTCTACCAGAATTATGAAAAAAGTGATGAATTATGTTACAGGTCTTTAAATTTACTGAAATTTATTTCAAATATATATGATACAGTGAATGTATTTCTAAGGGGGACAGCAGTAACACAAGTAATATGCTTGCTTGTTTTAATTTGTATTGATAGACGTAGGACTTGGTGTGATCTAGTTGATATTTTTGGCTTTCTTCTTCAAATTCGTCAAAGTTTTTAACTGAATTTAATTATTTTCTTAGAATATCTATACTTGATTTATATGCATGGTTAAAATAAGCATGAATAATTATCAATGTGGTCAGATTTTCCCATATGTCTTACACATTATGTAAATCAGGAAGTATAGATTCTTATCGGTGTAAAAATTACTAGAACTAAATGTACATTCTTTTCGCACCACGAGTAACACGAGTAGCCTCCCTTTATCCGTAATTTACGCCTTAAAATTTATTGCGTTATGACAATTCCTGTATAAGATTCAGTTATACATTCACTGTAGAGATATATATTCTAGTGTCCTGTTGTTTTATGTTGGGCCATCAAAGATATTCCTATACATAGTTTTAGATCCCTATAGAGTATTTCTTTACCCACCGTTTTCACTTTCCACGTTTATGCGTCGATCATTTCTCAGTTTGTACTAGGTGACCCATCCGACATTTATGAAAAATATGGGACAAAGCCACAATTGGCCGGGTTGCGGGATGAGTGAAATAATATATCTATAAACACCCTACAAAGTTTCAAGCTTCTACGTCAAAAACTCTAGGAGTTGATTCTACAAAACTGGTACCCCTTTTCCCCGCCCGCCCACCCGACATTTACCATAATATAACCCGGATTTGCACTATGTGCAACCCGGCCAAAATGTTTCACCATCCTTGCTTGGCACAAACAATAGGACCTAATAGGGATGGTGTTGTAACGGGATATTGAATTGAACATAAATATAGTCTTTCTTCTGGTTCTAATAAATAGGCAAATTTTACATCATGCAGAATCCGTAGCATGGCATAATATATTGTAACTGCTTGTACTATCGATAGAAAATGCTGGTGACTGTGTGATAGTGTGGTACCTGTGTGATAGTGTGGTACCTGTGTGATAGTGTGATACATGTGTGATAGTGTGGTACCTGTGATAGTGTGGTACCTGTGTGATAGTGTGATACCTGTGTGATAGTGTACTACCTGTGTGATAGTGTGATACCTGTGTGATAGTGTACTACCTGTGTGATAGTGTGATACCTGTGTAATAGTGTACTACCTGTGTGATAGTGTGATACCTGTGTGATAGTGTACTACCTGTGTGATAGTGTGATACCTGTGTGATAGTGTGATACCTTTGTGATAGTGTACTACCTGTGTGATAGTGTGATACCTTTGTGATAGTGTACTACCTGTGTGACAGTGTGATACCTGTGTGATAGTGTAATACCTGTGTGATAGTGTGATACCTGTGTGATAGTGTGATACCTTTGTGATAGTGTACTACCTGTGTGATAGTGTGATACCTGTGATACTTGTGTGATAGTGTTATACCAGTGTGATAGTGTGATACCTGTGTGATAGTGTGATATCTGTGATAGCGTGATACAGGTGTGATAGTGTGTGATACCTTTGTGATAGTGTACTACCTGTGTGATAGTGTGATACCTGTGATAGTGTGGTACCTGTGTGATAGTATGATACCTGTGATAGTGTGATACCTGTGTGATAGTGTGATACCTGTGTGATACCTGTGTGATACCTGTGTGATAGTGTGATACCTGTGTGATACCTGTGTGATACCTGTGTGATAGTGTACTACCTGTGTGATAGTGTGGTACCTATTTGATAGTGTACTACCTGTGTGATAGTGTGATACCTGTGTGATAGTGTGATACCTGTGTGATATTTTACTACCTGTGTGATAGTGTGATACCTGTGTGATAGTGTGATACCTGTGTGATAGTGTGATACCTGTGTGATACCTGTGTGATACCTGTGTGATAGTGTGATACCTGTGTGATACCTGTGTGATACCTGTGTGATAGTGTACTACCTGTGTGATAGTGTGGTACCTATTTGATAGTGTACTACCTGTGTGATAGTGTGATACCTGTGTGATAGTGTGATACCTGTGTGATATTTTACTACCTGTGTGATAGTGTGATACCTGTGTGATAGTGTGATACCTGTGTGATAGTGTGATACCTGTGTGATAGTGTACTACCTGTGTGATATTTTACTACCTGTGTGATAGTGTGATATTTTACTACCTGTGTGATTGTGCTACCTCCGTGGTAGCTTACGTTGATTTGTCCTTTAGCAAGACTCTACCTTATGACTATAGAGGTGAAACATGCCCAACTATAGTGGTAAAACAGGCCCAAGTACAGCAGTAAAACATACCCAACTACAGCAGTAAAACATGCCCAACTATAGTGGTAAAACAGGCCCAACTATAGTGGTAAAACAGGCCCAACTATAGTGGTAAAACATGCCCAACTATAGCAGTAAAACAAGCCCAATTATAGTGGTAA